CCCCCCCTCCAGTGCTCTCCTTCCCCCCCTCCAGTGCTCTCCTTCCCCCCCTCCAGTGCTCTCCTTCCCCCACTTCAGGACATCTCATCCCCCCCCAACCAGTCCCCATCCCCATCTGCCCCTCGCTACCCCCCTCTCACCCCGCCTCCTTCTCCGCGCTACCCACTCTCGCCCCTCACTGCCCTTTCTCCATACCCCCCCTCTCTTCCCCCCAACCCCCCCCCCCGTCCCTCCCCTGCCAATGCCATGCTACCCGTCACTGCCCTTCTCTCACTCCCCTCCCTCTCTGGCCATCCCATTCTGGCCTTTGTTGCCCTTCTCACCTACTCAACCCCCATGCCCATCCCCCTCTACGCGTCTCCTATCCCACACTGCCCTTTCTTCCCTGCCTATCCCAGTCTCGTTCCCCCTCCCCTACCCTTCTCATTCCTCCCTTCTCATTCCTCCCCATACTGTGCACATCCCCCTCAGCCTCGCTGCCCTTCTGTCATCTCCTACTCTCCCCCTTGCCCTGGGGTGGAAAGGAGAGCGGAGTGAGCATGGGAAAGCGGGAGAGAGGCGACGTGGTGTGCGGAGTCAACCAAGAACAATACCCCGTAACAAAGTTAGGGGTGTGATTTTGGCCATGGAGGATATTGTGGGGAAGGGTATGGGGTGCATAAGCTGGGTTGATGTGAAGATGCAACGAGGGTGACAGAAGGGATCTCGTCTGGATTGCCGAGTTACAATGCATTAGCCTGTAATTATTGACGGTGGCCTGTATTTGCAGCCATCAAGTGTACCTTGACCCAAAGAGCCTTGGTTATGGATGACGATAATGTTTGAATGAAATAGACTTCACAGCACTGCAGCATGTCTTTGGCTCCTCTGTAGATAATCACCCCCTCAACACCAACCCTCTCCCATGCTGTCTTGTCTTCTTTCATCACCTACTCCATACCATCTATCTATGGCTGCCTCATAATCCCCCGACTTGGCCAGGCCCTCTAATCACATGGCGGATGGGAGCATGCAGGCGTGGCTGGAGGAGGGGAGCAGAGTACGGAAGAAGGGGAGGAGGGGGGGGAAGGGAGGGCGCATGGGAGATGGAAGGTGGGCAGGGATATGAGGGTTGAGAGTGGGAGATCTGGGGAGCGTGGAGATTTTGGGGGGAGAGCAAGCCAGGAGGGCATAGAGCAAGGGAGATGGGGAGAGACCTTGAGAGGAGGGGGATTGCAGGCGGCATGAGGGGGGCGAAGGGGGTGGAATGAGTTGTACGGTGGGAGATGGGCTGTATGGTTGTTGAAGACAGAACGGGGGGGGATGATGAGAGGTAAGGTGGACGGAAGGGCAATAGAGGGGGTGGGCATCAGAGAGGGGCGTGTAGCCATGGGAGAGGGGGAGAGAGCATGGGAGAGGGGGAGAGAGCATAGGAGAGGGGGAGAGAGCATGGGAGAGGGGTAGAGAGCATGGGAGAGGGGGAGAGAGCATGGGAGAGGGGGAGAGAGCATGAGGTGGGACGCAGCATGGGGTGGGATGCAGCATGGGGTGGGATGCAGCATGGGGTGGGATGCAGCATGGGGCGGAATGCAGCATGGGGCGGAATGCAACATGGGGTAAGGAGCTGCATGGAGTGGGGAGCGGGAGAGCAGGAGAGCAGGAGAGCAGGAGAGCGGGAGAGCGGGGGAGCGGGAGAGCAGGACAGCATGCGAGCGGGAGAGGGGGAGGGCGGGAGAGCAGGAGAGCAGGAGATGGGGAGAGGACATGGGAGGAGGTGGGTGAGCAGGGGAGATGGGGAGCGAGCATGGGAGGAGGTGGGTGAGCAGGGGAGACGGGGAGAGGGCATGGGCAGAGGTGGGTGAGCATGGGAGATGGGGAGAGGGCATGTAAGGAGGTGGGTGAGCAGGGAAGATGGGGAGAGGGCATGGGAGGAGGTGGGTGAGCAGGGGAGTTGGGGAGAGGGGATAGGAGGAGGTGGGTGAGCAACGGAGATGGGGAGAGGGCATAGGAGGAGGTGGGTGAGCATGGGAGGAGGTGGATGAGCAGGGGAGATGGGGAGCGGGCATGGGAGGAGGTGGGTGAGTAGGGGAGATGGGGAGCGGGCATGGGAGGAGGTGGGTGAGCAGGGGAGATGCATGGGCTAGGGAAGGCGACCATTCGCCCCTCTAGAGTCCTGACTTTCCCCCTATTCCCTGCCACCCTTCCTGTTCCCCACCCCCCCACCCCCCCCCCCCCCATCCCCTCCATTCCTCCTCCCCCTCTCCCCGTTACCCCGTCTGGATTGGAGCGGGGAAAGGCAGGGATCGGAGCGGGGAAAGGCGGGGATCGGAGCGGGGATAGGCGGGAATCGGAACGAGGAATGGCGGGGATCGGAGCAGGGAAAGGCGGGGATCGGAGCGGGGAAAGGCGGGGATCGGAGCGGGGAAAGGCGGGGATCGGAGCGGGGAAAGGCGGGGATCGGAGCGGGGAATGGCTGGGATCGGAACGGGGAAAGGCGGGGATCGGAGCGGGGAAAGGCAGGGATCGGAGCGGGGAAAGGCGGGGATCGGAGTGGGGAAAGGCGGGGATCGGAGGGGGGAAAGGCGGGGATCGGAGTGGGGAAAGGAGGGGATCGGAACGGGGAAAGGCAGGGATAGGAGCGGGGAAAGGTGGGGATAGGAGCGGGGAAAGGAGGGGATTGGAAAGGGCGCATCGGCATGTCGTGACCCCACCAGCGAATGAACATAGCGCCGGCAGGCAGGGCTGCGTGAGCTGAATAATGCCCCGCTGCGTGGTTCACGTCCCTCTATAACTCGCAGTTATCTGAAAATAGCGCGTGCACGGTGTTTACTCGACGGGAAGGGTGGGGGACAACGTTTTGACCTAAGAGTGCAGAGTAAACTCCGAGGCACTTTGCATCTTGGTGGGTTGGTGAGATGCGCGTTCTGCAGTGCTGACCCTGCGTCGTATAACTGTTGCTTGGCCAATCACCTATTTGCGCTTGCCAAGTTTCCCCCTCTCGCAGGCCATCAGGGTTAACAAGTTTCCTGTGTGGGGGCATGTCAAGGGTTCGCCCGTTTGAAGGTTCAAAATCCTTTGAACCTTAAAGTTATTGTATACTTTCGCTTTAAGTAGCGGGTCAGCGCGCCCATAGCCCTCTAGGCATACCAGCCTATGGCCCTTCCAAGGATCTTCTAGGGCGACCCTAGCGAGTCTCTTGACAGATGTATGACTGTTGCTTAGATATGTGGTTGTTTGGTTGTTGCTGTCTGCAGTGGCAGCAGCAATGTCAAGAAATGGGCCAAGCTTGCCATTAGATGAACGGGAAAGTGTCCATGTGCTAAATGTGTTACACTGGGATAACATGCACGAAGCCCATGGGTTATACAGTTAATGGGGTGGTTTGTAGTGGTGCTGATGCGATAACGTGTCCTTGATTGAAAACTTCATGTACCAAAGACAAGTGTGCTGAACAGAAATCGCCTTAAAAATCATTTATCTTACGTATTTGATGCACCGTTGTAAGTTCCACATAGTTTTGTCCATCACCTTGTAGCTCTTTTCACTTTTTGGGGTTGTACTTCATATGTAATACATTTCCTTGGCTATCTTGCATTTTCTCACAGGTTGTGTCTCTTTGTGGGACTGCCTGTAGTGATTGAATCATTTGCGTGCGACTGCGAGAGACATTCACGTGACGCAATCGGATGCTGCACGATTGGCTTTGGCTTCTTCTCATGGTTGAAGGACGTGGCCCACTGCCCCACACAGCCCAAGCTGTCAGGCATATCTCCCGCAACATCCAATCAAATTCCTCCACCTCAGTTTGGCAGCCAATACAGTTCACTACTTGTCGTTTTTGTTTTCTTGTTATTTTGAGTTTTTTTAGTTTTTTTTTCTCTCTCTCTCAAAACAGCTTGTTCACCCGTCAGGCTGCATATGGGTGGAGATTGTTTCTGTATATCCATATGCTGGTGCTTCAGGCACTGGGTACACTTCCGAGTTGCGTATTTAGAAGCGTCTCGAAAATTTACAGGGATTTGGTGGTCAGCCCTAAGGGCAAACATATCTCCAGCTCACAGGGTTTGCACGATTTCGAGCCCACCACAATCAACATTGGCTTCGCTAAACCCGACTCGATTCGACATTGCTCCCAACCCAATCCATGGCTCTCTGTTTCTCTTCTATTCTCCCATCCAGGGCTCTCGGTTCAAGGGTAAACATCCGGAGTGACAGGTACATTCCGGGTCTTTCCCGCTGAAATTCTGATTTTGAGGGTTTCTAACTCACAAACCTCCTGACTGATTCCGAGCGTCTTTAGGGAACTCCCTGAGAAATCCGGATTGCGACTGGCATCCGACTGGCATGGAAACTTACTTGTGCTGGAATTACAACCTGACCCTTCCCGACCCTCCCCCCCCCCCCCTCCCCCAATCCTTCGCAACCCTGACCAATTTTCCACGCAATCTGAAGGTGCGACCCGTGGAACTTTCACAACTACAAAAGTGCAGGGCTGTCAGACTATCACAACCCCTTAATATCACCTTAGCCAGGTTGCACGCTGTCACTCTAAGCTGTACGCATTTCTGTCGCGATTAAGGAAAGTGTCGAACTTGGTGTGGTGGTGAGGAACAGCAGCAGCAGCAGAAGTGTGTGCTATGCATTCTTCTCCTTTTCTTCCATCAATGTCCTTCCTACTTCTCTCGAAGAGCTCACAGGTTCCGCTGATATGTAGGGAGTCCCAAAAATCACTCCGAATTTCATATTGAAAGGTCAAAGTATTCCTGAAATATATTTCCCAGAAAAACGAAAAATTAGCCCTGCTCCCATCCCTGAATCCGCATCAATCATGCCCGTCTTTGAGTGGCACTCAATCAGCTTCGCTGCTTATCTCATGCACCCATCACATGCTTTCGATCGAAATCCACCACTTCGAAAAATAACGCTAGATTCTCCCATCGACAGGGAAATGGAGGCACAACAAGGATGCCTGTTGGATGACTACTAAAAGCAGCCAGACGACCACTGCCTGACTACATGATCTTCCACTCGCCCTAATTTCACCACGCCTTTTACCAGCCTTTCATTGTTCTGCTACCGGGTCTTCTCCATTCTCGGCTGCTCCCGTGAGTCTTCCAGCCCTCGAATCTTAGCATTCTACGCCGCTTGAGGCTCTGATAGACCACTGAGCATTTTTCCTGCCATAATGGCGGCAGCCGCGGAGCCCCGCACGCTGGAGCGCCTGTGCTCGACCAAGTTCGCGAAACACCTCATCGCGCCGCTGCAGCGCGCCTCCTCGCTTCTCGGCTCGGGCGACCTATGGCAGATGCACGCCGACGCCGACGACGCCGCGGAGGCAGCCGCCGCCGCTCAAGGCGGCGCCGACGGGACTGCCAGTGGCGCGCGGCGCTTCTGGAAAATAAGCACCGTCGTCGAGCGCATCGAGTCGTCTTTATCTCGCTTCGCCTGGAGTAAGCCGCCTCTTGCGCCCACTGCCCTGGGAAAACCGCTGAAATCGCTGCGAATCGTGATCGGCACGACCCGCGATTCGCCCACTGGCACGCTCTCGCCGACATCCCCGAGTCCCGCGTCTAGGAGGTTCAAGCAGCGCGGCTCCGCCGAGGCGCAGATTAAGTTCCGCGTCTCTCCGTCACCGCTCGGCGGCGCCTCGGGCATATCCGAATCCGCCACTACTACTACTAGTCGTAACAAGGGCGTTACCTTTCAGGTAACGAAGGAGGAACCTATTGGCGGCGCGGCTCCCATCGCACGGCGTAGCAGGGCGTGCATGAGCATGGACGACGAGCAGCTGAGCGCATGGCAGCAGGAAGCCGCAGCGACGCTGTCAGACGACGACAGAGACAACGGTAACGCAAACGCCACGTCAGATTCGGAGGGGTCGTCGCCGACGTCGCCCGAGGCAGAGAAACTGGATCTGGATCTGGGGAATCTGGGTCGCGCTGACGTGTCACAGCGGTCTGCCGCGCGCGTGGCGCGTTCCAGCAGATGGTGCACGCAGAGCGGTCCGCTGGCGAGACGGAGCCATGAGAGTCACGGCAACGGGAACAGCCGCATTGTGGTGAGCCCTAATGCCGGCAGTGGGAGGGGCGGCAGCAGCAGGGCTATGGTGGTTGGTGTGTCGCGGTCGCTGACCCCACCTGCCAGCCCCACCGTTAAGACGTTCTCCTTCGAGTCGTACCGCCAGCAGATGACCGCACAGTGACCACATAGAGACCGCACAGTAACCACATAGTGGCCAGAACTGGTTAGATAGATACAGCATGTGTGCTTGCCCTCTCTGATCCGACATCTGCTGGCAGCAGATGACCTGGCCGCATAATGGCGGTGTTGACTCGTAGGGTGCTTGCCCACCCTGGGGTTTGCCCCTTGGCTCCCTAGTCAGGTCGGTCTTGCTGGCTCGGGCTTGCTTCTCCTGTCAACGGGGAGAATTCTCTCAGGCATCTGACAGATTCATATGTTCCTGTTAGCTGAACAAAATGCTGTTTATAGAGCCCAATTGTGAGTGCTTTGTACGCTCGTTGCATTGAACTGTTTTGTGGTATATCCTGGCAGAGGACATCTCCTGCCTCCAAGGCGTTCTCACCCACCGCACACATCTTTCAACCTCACCTTTCCTCCTCTTCCCAACTCATGTCCAAAGTATGACTTGTGTAGAATATCGGATTATACAGTGCCCTTATTTCACACTACTGTACCCTGTATTCCCATCACCACACCTACCCAATACTCCCATGGATTTCAGGCTAGTACAGTATCGACGAGCCTAGGGACATAACGCACGTGACTATGACTCTCTCGGAAAAAAGGGCCCTAGAACGAATCTACCACATTTCCACATCCCAAGTATGCTGCAGTGAGTTGACAACCCCTGCAGCCAACCCCTGAGTTGACAACCCTGCAACCACCTAGTGGTGCCCCCATCAACAGCTTGTAACCCCCTCCTTGTCATCAGCTTGAACAAGGGCGCCAGCACCAGCGATTCCACCGACTCGACCAGAATCTTATGTGCCAGGCCCGGCATGTCCTCTATCGCACCCCCCAGTGTTACGACGATGCGCCTCAAACGCCCCTTCTCACTTGGACTTGCCCCAGATGAGCCCCCCGTGAGCAACAAAAAACGGCGCAAGCACCAGAGACTCTACCGCCATGAGCTTGATCAGAATGTTCAGCGACGGCCCTGACGTGTCCTTGAGGGGGTCCCCCACCGTGTCCCCAATCACCGCCGCCTTGTGCGCCTCCGACCCCTTGGGCCCCAGCGACTGCGCGTGCTCACTCACCCCCGCCTCGATGTACTTCTTCGCATTGTCCCAGGCCCCTCCCGTGTTGCTAGCTGATACTGCCATCTGCACTCCAGACACCAGCGCCCCTGCTAGTAACCCCGCCAGCGTGGCGGTTCCGAAGAGCGTGCCGGTGATGATGGGCGAGAGAAGCACGAGCGCGCCAGGTGGCAGCATCTCATTGAGCGAGGCCTTGGTGGAGATCTGCACGCACTTGCGGTAGTCGGGGCGGGCGGTGCCCTCCATGAGCCCCGGGATGGTGTCGAACTGCCGCCGCACCTCGTCCACCATGGCCAGTGCCGCCTTGCCCACGCTCTTCATGGTCATGGCACTGAACCAGTACGGCAACATGGCGCCCACTAGAAGGCCCACGAATGTCTGGAGGGCAAAGGGGAAAACATGGGACATGCAGTGGGTGGGCACTCATCTCTTCATGGTCATGGCGTTGAACCAGTAGGGCAGCATGGCGCCCACTAGCAGACCGACTAAGGTATGTATGGGGGGAACAGGGTACATGGCGTGGTGAGCAGATGGTTTTGCGGCATGCTGTTAAATAAATCTCTTACTATCCTTAGATAAAATGACGTCCATATTTACCTAATTCTTGCATGTAATAAGCACCATTCAAAAAATTCCATTCAAGAGCACTGACTTCGGAATACGCACTCAAGCACAGGTTCTTGAAAGAGTTTTTTCGACGATTCATGGGCAGAAGAACACCACAATGACCTGCCGGTTGGTGGTGAGGATGTAGGTCACCTGCGCTTGGCTCACTCACATAGGCCCGAAGAGAGGGCATTTGAGACCGTTCCTAGCAGTCCGTGGCACACTCGCACTGGCGAATGATGTAACACTCACCTGCGGGTTGGTGATGAGGATGTTGGTCACATGCGCCTGGCTCACATACGCTCCAAACAGGGCGAGAGACACCAAGGCTGCTGATCCGATGGCAAAGCCCTGCAGGGGAAAGAGGAGGAGAGAGAGGGACAGGTGAGGAGGGGGAAGGACGGGGAACGGGGAGGATGAGAATGGGCTCACAAAGGCTCCAAACAGGGCGAGGGAAGTCAAGGCGGCAGATCCAATGGCAAAGCCCTGCAGGGGGTAGAGGAGGAGAGAGAGAGAGAGAGAGAGAGAGAGAGAGAGAGAGAGAGAGAGAGAGAGAGAGAGAGAGAGCTTTGAGACGGGGGTGAACTCAATGAGGCTGTCCCTCTCTCAATGAGGCGGTGGACGGTGCACGGTGGACGGGGTCCACTGATGCTCGGTGGACGGTGGACCTTGGACCGTGGACCGTGGACACCGGTGGACGGTGGACGGGGTCCACCAGTGGATGGCGGACGGTGTCCACTGCTGGACGGTGGAAGGTGGACGGTGGACGGTGGACGGTCTCCACTGGTGGAAGGTGGACACCGGTGGACGGTGGATACCGGTGGACAGTGGACACCGGTGGACGGTAGACGGTGGATGGTGTCCACCGATGGGCGGTAGACGGTGGACGGTGGACACCGGTGAATGGTGGACGGCGGACAACGGTGGATGGTGGACGGCGGACTCTGGTTGACGGCGGACGGCGGATAACGGTGGACGGTGGACACCGGTGGACAGTGCACGGTGGACACCAGTGGACGGTGGAAACCAGTGGACGGTGGATGGTGGACGGGGGACACCGGTGGACGGTGGACACCGGTGGACGGTGCGCAGTGGACACCAGTGGACACCGTCCACCGGTGGATGGTGGACAGTGTCCACCGGTACCCACCTTGCCAATGGCAGCAGTGGTATTCCCAACCAAATTCAGCACAACCGTCCTCTCCCTCACGTTTACCCCAAGCCCTCCCCTGCATTCCCCTCCCTCACCCATTCACGGTCACGCCACCCACCTTGCCTCCCGGCCCACCATGCCAATGGCAGCAGTGGTATTCCCAGTGGAGTCTAGCGCGTCCGTCCTCTCCCTCACGCCCGCCCTGTTCTGCCCCCCTATCCCCTCCCCAACCCCCTCTCCCCCACTCTCCCCCACTCCCAGCCGTGGTGATATACCCACCTTGCCAATGGCAGCGGTTGTATTCCCAGCCGAATCCAGTGCGTCCGTCCTCTCCCGCACGTCCGCCCCCAGCCCCGCCATCTCTGCAATTCCCCCCGCGTTGTCAGAGATGGGCCCGTACGCGTCGATGGCCAGCCCCGTGGCGAGCGTAGACAGCATCCCCAGAGCAGCGAGGGCCACCCCATACATGGCAGCAATGGCGTAGCTGAGGTAGATGGCGGCTGCAATGGCGAACACAGGGACGATCACCGACTTGTAGCCCAGAGCGAGACCGAATATGATGTTGGTGGCTGCTCCTGTCCTGCACGAGTCTGCTACATCCCGTACAGGGCTGTTGGGAGGGGAGGGGGAGGGGAAATGGGGGGGAGGAGGGGGAGGGGATGAAGGGAAGGGAGGGGATGAGGTAAGAGGAGGGCATGCCCAGTGCGGCGAACTTAGCCGATGAGAAGCCGTCCGCTCCAAGGCATCCTAGCTAGAGCGCACCTGCCTGAGTGCTCACTGAGCAAGGCTGTACGCGTGGCTGGTGAAATACTCGGGTCACATAACCGATCAGCAGCCCGCCCCACAGCCCCGACGCAACACAGAAGAAGATCTGCCAGTTCTGGGCGGTCTTATCCGCCTCTTCCTTGCCTGCACCCATCTCAACTCACGTGTAAGCATGGCTGGTGAAGTACTCGGTCACATAGCCGATGAGAAGCCCGCCCCACAGCCCCGACGCCACACAGAAGAAAATCTGCCAGTTCTGGGCGGTCTTATCCGCTTCCTCCCCCGCCACCACGATCGTAAACGACGCGGGCAGTGCGAGATAGCACAAACCCAGCACCAGCGGCGTCATCAGCACAGTACTAATCAGCAGCTGGGCTTTAAGCTGCGGCTCTACATGACGTGCTTCAGTGACGTGGAACCAGTCGGTGGCGAAGAGGGTGGTGAAGAGGCACACGAGGATGCCGAGCGCAGAGACGAGCAGGGGGAAGCACATGGCGGTGAAGTTGTGGGTTTGGCCGAGAGACGAGATGGACGCGATGACGAGAGCAGCGCAGGTGGACTCGGCGAAGGACCCGAAGAGGTCCGACCCCATGCCCGCTATGTCGCCCACGTTGTCCCCCACATTGTCTGCAATGACCTGTTGTTGGAACAAGGAGGGGGGAGGTATGGAAGGGGAGCATGAAGAGTGAAACATGGAGGAAGGAGAGGCGAAGAGGCCAGAACCCATGCCCAGCAATGTCGCCCCAATCTTGTCCCCCACGTTATCCCCCCACGTTGAAACTCGACAACTCACCGCAGGAATCCTGGGGTCGTCTTCTGGGATTTTCCTCTCCACCACGCCCACCAGGTCCGCGCTCACGCCCGCCGCTTTGGTATACATGCCCCCCCCAAATATTCCAAGGCTCACAGACACTCACATACTAAAAAACTCACGGAGAAGCAACTCACCGCAGGGTTCCTGGGGTCGTCTTCTGGAATGTTCCGCTCCACCTTGCCCACCAGGTCCGCGCCCACGTCCGCCGCCTTGGTGTAGATCCCCCCGCCCACGCGCCCAAACAGCGCGACGCTGGAGCCGCCCAGCCCGTACCCCGTGATGGTCTCAAAGAGCGAGCGCCAGTCGTCTCCGTAGTAGAGGCGGAAGAGCACTATGGTGATGAAGAGGACGATGAGGCCGTTCGCAGCTAGCAGGAAGCCCATCACTGCGCCGGAGCGGAAAGCGACGACGAACGCTGGGCCGATGCCCCGCCGCGCCTCCACTGTGGTGCGCGCATTGGCATCTGGAAGGGGGTGGGGGGGGGCAGCGGGGGTTAGGAAACGGGGGAACGAGGGAATGGTGAAGTCTGGTAGGTCAGAGGTTAAGTGGGAGATAGATTTCGATGGAAAGGGAAGGCTAAGGGAAGCGATGCACAAGTGGCGATCTTACATCCCAAGATAGCCCGACAGAGTCGGCGTGAGCGCGCCAAGAATGAATGCGACGGTGGTGAAGAAGGCGTTGGCGAGGGAGGGGGAGAGAGTGGGAGAGAGAGAACCACATATCCCCAAGAAGTATCACGTACAAGTGGCGATCTTCATTCCCAGATAACCCGACACAGTCGACGTGAGCTCGCTGAGGATAAACGTGACGGTGGTGAAGAGGGCGTTGGCGAGGGAGGAGGAGAGAGGGGGGGAGTGGGGGGGGAAGGGGGGGGGGGGAAGCATCACGGTTCCCCAAGACTCACTTACAAGTGGCGATCTTCATCCCCAGATAGCCAGACAGAGTCGACGTGAGCGCGCCGAGGATGAAGGCGACGGTGGTGAAGAAGGCGTTGGCGAGGGAGGGCGCGCATTGCTGCGCGGGGTTGTCTGGGCATGGCCGCCACGCGGTGCTGAACTTATCGACGGAGCCGAGGAAGAGGAAGACGAGCACGCTGAAGAACGCCATGAACGCCGCCAGGTACTTGTACTCCGTCGTCAGGAACGACGTCGCGCCTGAGATTCAAGGGGGGGAGGAGAGGGGGGACGGATGCAGGGAGAGGAAGGGGAGGCGTAAGGGAGGACGGTAGGAAGAGGAAGACGAGCACGCTGAAGAACGCCATGAATGCCGCCAGGTACTTGTACTCCGTCATCAGAAAGGAGTCGCGCCTGTGAGCATGGGGGAAAGAGGGGGGGAAAAACAGAGTCAGGCAGAGGAACGCTGGAAGAACGCCATGAACGTTGCTGAGGGGGGGAGGTACGTGGACTCCGTTGTCAGAAAGGACGTCGCGCCTGGGATTACGGTGGAAGTGGGGGAAAGGCGGGAGATGCTTGGGACGAATGGCATGGAGCAATGTTGCGAATAAACATGAATGGGCGACAAGGAGAAACAGGATGGATGCATCGAATGATGGACGTCAAATTTCGACACTGATGAACGGCTCGCAGGGGAAAGAACGAAGGTGGAAAGGATGAAGCTTGCAAGGGTAACAACGAAGGTTGCAGAGGTAAGAATAAAGCTCGCAAAGGGTATGAATGAAGCTCGCAAGGTAATATTGAAGTTCGCCAAGGTAATAATGAAACTCGCAAAGGTAAGAATGAAGCTCGCACGAAAGTGAAGCAATCTGCAGTGCAATGCGCTCCTGCTGGCAAGAAGCTATCGTACATTCACGCCTATTCGACCTGATACATGCACCGACTGAACCGTACAGATCCATTGGCGAGCACCGCCATGCGCATTTATTCAGCTGCAGTTTTTTAGATTAACCGCCACACACAAGTACTCAGCCGTACGCACATATTGAATCTGACCCACTTATTCTAACGTACGCACCCGTTGCAATGGCATGCTGAATCTCCGCAATCTGTTGGTCCACGTTCTCCGATTGGCCGTCTTCCAATCCGTAGACGCTTAGCGGCGCTGTCAGCTTCACCCGGCTCACCACACTCCATTGGTACAGCGCGAACGCTATCCCTAGAGCCGCCGATAGCGGAATAAAGATGTCTACGAACGTCTCGCCTAACGTGGTCTCCATGTTCCAGGTCTCTGCGATTACTCCAGCAATCGCCTCTGACATGAATAATGGTAAGCGTGTCGCATTAAGTCAACCCTTCCTATTTGACAGCAGACTACAATGCGAGAAACCAGCCTCAACGCCTCGCACTTGGCTTAGGTATTGTCTAAGCGCAGAGAGAGAGAAGACCAATAATTGCAACCATCAGTCTGGCTGTTTGACCTTGCAAATTTCTGACTGAGCAATGTTGGTAGAATGCTGGAACAGGCAGCTGACTGAACTCGTGTGGTTTTCTGACAAGCACCGGACTTTCCCGCATGGTACCGTACTTTCCCGCATGATACCGTACCATTTTTTCTTAACCCGCAATATCAGACCAAAACACCACCCAGCCGGCCATCGGATTGAGTTTATCGGACGGCTATTTGCCCCTCAAATTTGCCTTGAGATTTGGTCACAGTCCGAACCAGACGTAAAGACCAGACCAGACCAGAGCCATGGAGCTGCACCCTCGTGACTGCTGCCAGATCCGTGAAGTGTGATCACCTGCGCTCCATTTCGTCAGGTCAGGAGGACGCGATACACCTGTGTGGCTTGGCTGGAACCTGATGACCGAGCCAGGAGTTCCCGGGGTTGACGGAGGGAGAACCTGAGCAATCTAGGCATTGACTGCTCGATTTGAGGCGCAGTAATGCATAACATTTAATATATTTGTACACTAACTTATCTAAGGTGCTTATCAATGACATTTAGAAATATTGTAGGCCAATGAGGACGTGAAATTTATCAAAACGAAGTTACTTATTTCTCCACCTTTATTTCTTCCTGTTCTGTTTGAAAATCCTGGACAAACCTTACAGTTTCTCTATCTACTACGCAATGAGCTGCCATAGTATGCGTTAAAATGATAAATAATTTATGTTATTGATTATAAACCATGTTTTTCTTCCCATTCCAACAGACGTACCTTTGCATACACAAGGAATTGGAATCAGACATGGTGTCACAATGAGAACATTTTGATTTTAAGTGATTGAGATACAGTGCATTACGATGCTTCTATAGTGCGCATAACATTTTGAGCAATCTGTGGTGGAGCAGATCTCCATAATTTGTGGAAGTGTTGGCCTTATTCGTCGATACTGGTTGGAGCTCCTGAATTTCGTTGGTACCTAAAGCGCGCCGTTGATCGTCGTCAATGCCCCTGGAACGCTCCTAGCGACGTTGGCGGCGACAGGGCTTGTGGCATGTTGAAATCATTCTTTTCGGCGCCGCGCACCCCCAAGGGCATCCGCGCTCCAGAGTCATAGTGCCACGTGTTAGCTAAACCACCCATTTTATGGCACATGTCATAGCACGTGGAAGTAGCAGCTCCTTCGCTGACACTGAAGACCACTCACCTCATCAAGCTCAGCTGGAAGAAGGGCGAAGAGTGGGCGCGGAGATGTTTTCTGAATTTCCGAAAATCCGATTCTTTTTGGCTAGTGTAGCATAGTTTTGCAGTAGTAGCAGAAATATTCGTTGAGATTGCTGCAGTAGCACCGACTCGTCCAAATGTTTTCAGAAGCGTACATCCCCATTTTTCGTCTAGCTATCCCAGTTTCGTCTGTGTGTTGGTCTAAACCCTCCTTCCAGGGTGATCGTACTTTTGCTGACCGGTGAACCCAACCAGCCGCTTTTCTTTTCTGTAGAACCAGTTCAAGTTGCTGACGTGGGTCAGATATCGTCGCGCGGAGAACAGTTTCGCCTCGGGTACAGTACAAGAGTGATTTTCGGAATTACCCGAAACTGTAGAAGGCCCTTCTGTACACGTCCATTCTCTTTCGTACCCATTCGTACAGTTTGGTAAGTTGTCAGAACTTGCACGAATGGTAATGTGCTGTACAGGCAGACCACGAATGGTTATGTGCCGAAATGTACAGCATAGACATCAACAGAAGGGCCTTGTACAGAATCGGAAATCCCGGAAAAACACACTTGAACTGTACACGAGGCGAGACTGTTCCCGGTGTGACGATATCTGACAGACGTCAGGGGGTGTCCAAGGCTAATTTCGACATCCGACGACATCCGTTGGGGAATGTCGAGGGGATTTCAACCATTATTGGAAAGAATCTATGGTTGACATTCATCAACATTCGCCAACGGATGTCGCTGGATGTCGAAATTCACTCTGGACACTCCTTCAGCAACTTGAACTGGTTCTACAGTTCCAAAAACAAAAACAAAAACAAAAACGGCAGGTTAGGGATCGCGGTCAGTAAAAGTTCGATCACCCAGGTACTGAGAGTTTAGACCAAAACACAGACGAAACTGGGAGAACTAGATGATGGTTAGGGATGTACGTTTCCAAAAACATTTGGACGAGTCATTGCTACTGCGGAAATTTTAAAGATTATTTATGCTACTACTGCAAAACGATGCTACGCCAGCCAATGAGACTGCTAATTTTTGGAAATGCAGAAAATCCCTCGTGGGCGCAGCAGCTGCTCTCTGCGAAATTCAAGCCCCAGCGCGAACACGTTTCCTGGTCCCGAAATTTCAGGCGTCAGGACAATGCGACAGACTTTTGCGACTTTTTGGATCAGTTACATTCGTCGATTTCATCGGCCACATTCTGTGGATCCCCTCGTAGTCGTCCGATCCGAACGCGGTCCCTTCCTCCCGCATCGCTCTCTCCCTCCATCAAATTCAGCCACAAATAGGCCGAGGGGGGTCCATTTTCCAAAGCGCCTCTCCCTATCTTCAGAATCTTAGATCCGCCATTCAAGGTGTGTGCTTAGGGTAGGCCCCCTCGTCCTCCCCAAGCTGCTACTTGTGATGTGCGTGAAGCGCCTCAGCCATTCTTCGGTATTTTGATTCCCTGGAGCCAGCGAATTCCTAAAAAAAAACTCGGGTGGACTCTGGCCACTACCGAACCAGCAAATCCTTCAACTGGCGAAATCCTGTCGTAACCGGGTAACCATGAAGGTCCTACTTTTCCTCGCCGTCCTCGCAGTCCTCTCCATCGCGACACTCGCGGCGGACAATCCAATCTCGTCAGAACCACGTGGCGAGCACGACCTTGATTCTCTACCCAGGCGCGGCGGGCCGGACGATAACTATGTGCGGCCGCCGCATCAGTTCACGGACCGGCCGGTGGTGGGCGTACTGACGCTGCCGATCACCGTGCCGTCGCAGCGCAAGATCGGCGTCTCGTCCTTCGCGACCTCGTATCAGCGATGGATCGAGGCGGGCGGCGCGCGCGTGGTGCCGATCTTTTATGATTCGAGCAAGGAAGAGCTCGACTTTATCCTCAACAGGTGAGACTTAGTAGGTGAGACTTGGTCCCTGCTGGTTGCGTCTTCTTCCGTTGAAGGAACCATCTTCACGGATCGGACTAATTTCGTCATAAATTGCTGGCTTACGGCAATTGTATCGAGACTTGCGGATCGTGTCGAGCAGACTCACTAGTGGGTCATAAACAATGGCTCTACATTGCCAAATTGATGTCGAAATCTCACAATTATTCCCTCGCCCCTCCTTCGCCATTCGTCCGATGAATCTCTATCCGTCGCCTGCATTCAGAATCAACGGCGTGTTTTGGACGGGCGGGCTGGTGGACTTCAATCCGACGGAAGAGGATCCCGAGGGGAGCAAGTACCTGGCGACGACGGAGTACGTGTGGCGCCACGTGGTCAAGGAGAACAGCAACGGCAACTACTACCCTCTCTGGGGCACGTGCCTCGGCTTCGAGCGCATGTTCCAGGTCAGTGCCACGTGTGACAGGGTCGTTCCAGGTCAGTGCCAGGTTACGTGATGTTTCGGCTCGTAGTATCGAAGGATTGGCGCTTCAAACGCTTTCTCGTGTGACGTTAGAGGAGTACCTTGGCGGTATTCCCTTTGGGACGCCGTCAAATCGGCGATTTCTGAGTCGACTCAAGAGTATTACCTTTGCGGTGCTCACTTGGGGACGCCGTCAAATCGGCTGTTGCCACGTGTATGACAGGAAAGTTCTGACATTTTCTGACCAGAGTGGACGTCATAACCTCGCATGCTCCAGTAGTACTACTAATGCAAAATCTGAGTTCGAACCCAACCAACCTTCACAGCCCGCCCTCTACGAATGTTATCTATTTCCGGAATTTCAATCGTCCCCAATCCCTCCCCCTCCCCCCCCCCCCCCTCGTTCTCGTCGTCGCAGCTGTTCGCGAACGACGTGAACGGCACGTGGATTCGCGAGGTCGACGCGGAGAACTTCGCCATCAACCTGGGGTTCACCGCGGACGGCTGGCTCTCGCGCCTCTTCGGCGGGATGAGCTACGAGCTCTTCAAGCAGGTCGCCTCGCCCCTCGGCGACCTCGCGTTTAACAACCACGGGCTGGGGGTTCACCCGGACGACTTCCGCGCGTCGCCCGCGCACGAGGTGTTTCGCATTCTGTCGATTGACGCAGACCGGAACGGCACGCAGTTCGTGTCGACGGTGGAGGGGAGGCACTTCCCGTTCTACGGTTCGCAGTGGCATCCTGAGAAGGCGCCTTGGGAGTGGAACCCGAAACACGAGATCGCCCATAACGAGGTAAGCGCTCTGATTGCAACCTTCAACGGTGTACAGCCTTCCCCATCTTCAACCCGGTGCCTGATCCCTGTCCTCCTCCTCCTCTCTCTTTCCGTCCTCTTCCCTTCCCCTTTTTCCCACTCCGCGGAAGTCATGCATTCACATCAGCCCCTTAACCCCGAAAACCCCCTTGTACCCTTGTGAGGTTACATGCCAGTATAACCACCGAATCCAGCAAGGATCCTCCTATCTCTGTCCTCCGTGCTCGCTGCGCTCATCGACATGTCTCCTACCATGATGTGATATGTTTCTCACACTTCCCCCTTTTCCCATCTCGTTCCCTCCCCCCCTCCCCCGCTACAACCTGGTAACCACGCAGTGGGCCGGAACATTCTCCAACTACCTCGGCCGTTACTTTGTAACGGAGTGCAAGTACAACAAGAACCAGTTTGAAAGCGAGTACACTCTCTCCAAGTACCTTGTCGAGAACTGGCCCGCCCGGCCCACGGGTAAATTCCACAAAATATTCAGCGCGTACTCGCAAATCACCTTCTTCCCGTCGCACAAGCCCGTGTGGGTGCAGAGAGTGGAGGCTCTGGAGGCCGAGGGAATTGCGGTGAGCGAGGAGCAAGCGGCTGAGATCATGTTAACTGATTTGTGATTGTGGTGGCTGGCGGGATGATGCTCCAAGTTGATGGCTGTGGAGGCCGAGGGAATCACAGTGAGCGAGGAGCATACCGCTGAGGTCATGATGACGATGGCTGACTTGTGATGGGATTGGGATGGCCTAAACTGGCAGCATTTTGATGCTCTGTAGGTGGAGGCTATAGAATCCGAGGTTGCTGTGAGCAAGGATCAACCGCAGAGATGATGCTGGTGATGCTGATAGCGATCTGTAATGTGCCGGTGCTGATACTGGTGCCGGTGCTGGTGGGTGGATGGTCAGTCATGGTCTCGAGCCTTAGGGAGTCCTGTTGCAAAGAGCAGACGGGGGAGGCATGAAAGTGCCCAGGGTCTGATATCCACCTCCGTTTAGTCTAGATCCTTGACAAGGTCAGGCGTTCTGTGCATGGTTTTGTGTGCCTGTTTCTGAGGCGCTTGAAAACTAGGCATGAAAGTGCCCAGGATCCAATCTCCACCTCCGGTTTAGTCTAGATGCTAAGGGCAGGCCATTTCTCCCGCTGCTCGCTTCTTTACTGTATCATATATTTATTGCGAGATGAACCTGCTAAACTGGTGATCTGTTAGACTTTATAAGTTGACAGGTACTTCGTAAACCACTGAACTTCATTGTTCTTTTATCCACTTGACAATGCACTTACTTGCACGAAAGTAAACACGAAAATACTTCATTAATTTCGGACCACAAAAACGATATTGTTGTTCAGGCAATTCAATAGGTCTATTCTCACGCCTCTATGAGTACTGTACACTCTACAGTAACTGCTAGGATGGCACTAGTAAAACTAATGAAAGCCTCACCTCTCACACTGCGGGAATATGTCAAGCAGGTAGTGAATGGATGCCGGCACAAATATGCCTCACACACACGCCTCCCCCACCACAGTAGTAGTAGTGGTGATTCCAGATGCACTCTCTTGGCCTCACCTCTCCAGCAGAGGGAGTATGACGGGCAGCTAGTGCATGGACGCCGGAACGCATGCGCCTCAGCCGCCCCTCCCCGAACACCGCACCCCCCTCCTCCATTGTACCCCCCTGGTCGTAACCACCGCTAACTGCCAAAACTGCAGGACATTTTTCCGGTGGAGGGTGGATTTAGAGCAGGTAGTGTATGAACGCACGCATGTGCGCCTCACCCACCTCCCCCACCACAGTACTAGTGGTAATTCCAGATGCACTCACTCTCCCGACCGGCCTCACTTGTCAGGTGGGGGGAGGATGTAGAGCAGGTAGTGGATGAACGCACGCACGTGCGCCTCACCCACCTCGCCCACCACCGCATCCCCCTCCTCTGTGGCAACTATATTAGAGTAATGGTGGTCGCCGGGAATCGCCGTGTCCGTGTACCGAGGTGCGTCAATCACCCACGTGTCCAGAATGGTCGCTGCTCCAGCTGGTATGTCGTTCTGCTGCGCTCCTGCTTCATCTTCTGTTTCTGCATCCGCTTCTGCGTCTGCGTCTGCTGCTGCGGCTGCTGTTTCTTCTCCTGTTGCCTCTGTTGCCTCTGTTTCCTCTGTTTCCGAAGGTGATGAAGACAGGGGCGTTGGGGGCCCTGAAGAGTCGGCATCACCCTCCTTCTCGACTCGTTCTCTCACGGACTCTCCAATCTTTGGGGGCCCTGAAGAGCCCTCCCCTGGCAGCCTCTGCAAGCTGTCATCTAGCCCCACCTGAACCTGCCCCTTCTCCTGCCCCTTCTCCTGCCCCTGCTTTCCCCCTCCACTCCCCCCCTCTTCAACTCCAGCAGTATCCTCCTCCGCTCCTCCTCTTCCCTTCCCCCCCACCACGATCCGCTTCAGCAGCGCATTGACCGCCATGCCCGCTCTATTTGTCCTCGGCCCACTGTACCAGCCATTGCAAGAGTTCCATTTCACCACAAACGAGGGGATGGTGCGGAAAACCGCCCGGCCTTCCCCGGGCGCAACGGCTGCAATACCCCAGCGCACAAACTCACGCAGGTACACCCGGAGGGCTTTAAGGGGCTGCCGGCAGAAGGAAGCTCCCCAGTACCCTCCCTCAAAGAGGGTGACGTCAGCAGTGGATGAGATGTTGGGGAACTGGGTCTCTCTCTGTGTGGTGGTGCCCCGGTGGCTACATCCAAACTCCCCATTCCTGTATATCCCATCGATCCAATAGAAGTTAATTTTCAACTCCCGCCCCTCACCATCCCTAGCCGAATAGAACAGATTATCGCGCCACTTCTGCATCCCCATGTCTGCCCGCCCCGTCAGCAGATAAAACAGGTGCGCAGTGAAAAACCGCTGGTGCGAGTCCCCCACGATACTTATCTCGCGGATGCCCCGTGTTTCCAGCGCGGCTATCCAGCGAGACGGGGGAAGCTCTCTGTGGGCGCAAAAGTAGGGGGTCCAGTGGTACGTGCCGTTGCTCAGTTTCCACCGGGCGGGGACGGAAGTACCCGCACAGGGGTTTGCAGGGAGGAGAGAGCCTAGTCTGGGGTTGGCTTCGGGAGGGTTTAGGTGTGGCGTGGTTGCTTGGAGGTGGGGAAGTGAGGCGGTGGGTTTCTCGGGTGAGATTTGATCTGATTGTGGGGCGGGATAGTCGGCAGTTGCACCAGAGGCGAGACTCCTGCTGCTGCTGCTGCTGCTGTGAAGCTCCGCGTGTGTGGAGTTGGGTGCGGTGCGGTGCAGAACGGTGAGGCGCCAGGTGACAAGGTCGTGCTGAGCTGTCTTGTTGAGATGGGGGAAGAAGTACGGCGAGAAGCGCAGGTTGGCGCACCCTATGTGGACCGTGGCCCTGCCGTTGAGTGGGGGATGGGGGGAGGGGTGCGGGGAGGGGATGCGGGGAGGGAGAGAGCGTGAGAGAGAGTATGGGGAAAAGAGGGCTGAGGGGAAGAAGTGCGGGGAGGAGCGCAGGTTGGTGCAGCCTATGTGGATAGTGACCCTGGGATGGGATGGTTGGTAGGGAGGAGGGAGGGAGCGATGGCATCGCATGGCAACACTTGAGGATCGAGAGAGGTAGGAATGTGGGAAAATGAGGCATCAATGGCCTTACAGGTAACCATATGGTAACCATATGGTAACCATACTCACCAGTAGCAACACATTCCAACCCCCGGTACTCCCAGGGTTTCTTCCCACATCCCATAATCGGTAAGCCAAGCCGCACTCATCTCCCTGCAGCGCGGGGGATCCAGGCACCGCACGTCCCCCGCCCCCAAGGCCGGCCCCTCATTACAAAGGTCCGTTTTCACCGTTCTCCACCTCACAGAACCCCTTGTCCCCCATACTCATACTCACAAGTATTCCCCGACATCCCACAGCCGGTAGGCGACACTCATCTCCCTGCAGCGCGGGGGGTCCAGGCACCGCACGTCCCCCGCCCCCAAGGCGGGCCCCCGCATTGTAACGGTCAGCTCGCGCTTCCACCAGCTGCGCTTCCGCGCCTGCAGCACTTCCTCCGCCCAGTGCGCGGGCGCGCGCACGGACACGCGGAAGGCGCACAACTCCCCCCTGCGGCAAGACGTGCAGTCGCGCCCGTGAATGGTGACTCCTGGGGGCGACGGGGAGGTGTAATCTGGGGAGGGAGTAGCAGGGGGAAGGGGGGGGGGGACGGGGTGGCAACGAGACGTCACGCATGCGCGTGTAGCAGACAGTAACGGGCATCATACATGCTGATTCGTCGCATACTATGCATGCACTGCATGTGCGCATCGAAGGTGCGTGTGCGCGACTCACCTCCCGACGACGTCCAGCAAACGTGCTCCGACGCCTGCTGCTGGTGTCGCCGCCGTGTGACATCCTCGTCGCCCGCGATAAAATCGCTCAACCCCGTCGCAGACACCCGCCCCCATGGGCTTACTGCTAGCTCCCCCGAACTCTCCGCCGCCCCTTCCGCGGACCCCCCGCCGCCTGCGTACCCTAGGAACAGCGCTTTCCGCAGTTTCCCCAGCATCAAACGCTTCCCCCAATGCTCCCACGACTCCCCCCAGGCGGACATGCGCAGCGACACTCCCCCCGCAATTGCGCCTTCCGCGGATGCGGCTTCCCCCGCTCCGCTGGCTGCTGGCACCACCCAGTGTTGCGGAGCGGATCGCGCTATAAAGAGCACAAGGAGCAACGCGTTAAGACCTAGAAGCATGTAGTGAAACCAATCCATAGTACCTCTGGGGCTTCTGCTCCCCTCGGTTACTAAGACACTTCCCGATTTTGAACTCACAAACGCGGACAGAGGATTCGATATAAGCCGAAATATGGGAGAATACACGCGAACGAAGAAAGAGCCGGTAGAGGAGACGGAGCCTCTGGAGCTAGGAACGCGCGTGATCTCATCAGTCGGTGATTGCAACGCAACGAGTCTGTCCGTCGCGTCGGCTTCGGCGTGTACATGCATGGCTCTAAACGCCGTGCCGTTTCGTTCGGCCATGCTGCCGGTCCTGTCCGCTTCCCGTCTACGTTCCGTCGGCGTCTGTCTCCTTAGCTAAGATGCTGAGAAAGCTGTGCTGCTCGTATCGAGTCAAATACGTCAAAGATTTCTCTGATGCTACTTGCAGACGGCGGCAGAGAGGAATCAGTTCTCCTGATCTTATACTGAAACGGCCTCGCGAGTCTGAAAAGCGAGTCTGAAAAGCGAGTCTGAAAAGCGAGTCTGAAAAGCGAGTCTGATAAGCGAGTCTGAAAAGCGAGTCTGAAAAGCGAGTCTGAAAAGCGAGTCTGAAAAGCGAGTCTGAAAAGCGAGTCTGAAAAGCGAGTCTGACAAGCGATGGCTGTTAACCTGCGACTTACTATCTGCGATACGCAAAGCTCGCGGTGAACTAGAAAAAGCAGAAAGAGAGAGGACGAGAATCTCACGCAGAAAAGGATTAAGGGTATTTGTAAGCCATGCTTTAGCCTTGTGCCGCAGATCCCACCCAACTGTGTCGGGGCAAGATCAGCTGCACTCGCATCGCGGCCTCTAGCATAATGTGAGCCTGTGAGTTCAGTGATTCCCCATTCCCCCCCCGAACGGACTGTGACTCCCAACGTCGTGGATCGTGATTTCCACGGGATGTGAGTCACGACTCACGGCGCGTCCGCGTGTCCTGCCGAGCTGTCCTGCCTGCTAGCCGCCAACACATATCTCCCTGGGAAATGATAAAAAAGGGTCATCGCTTTGCCAGAGGCGTGAGCAAAAAAGGTCCGGCAATATTCTGCCCCAGGGAGGGAAAATTACTGCCGCGGACTGTCCGCAAATCTTTTCATACTTTCGTGGACAACCCCTACTTTCATGGACACCACATCAACATTTCGCTTCTCCCGTGGACTCCGTCCCTACTTTCATGGACATCCGCCTTACTTCCATGGACAAGGTCAAAATCGCAGGAAATAGGCGAAAACTCAACTGTACAAAACATGACGGGCGCTGAAAAAAAAACAGCAGCTCAGCATGCGTCGCAAAGAGTCGCGCACTACAGTGCCCCAAACCTAATCCGAAACAGAGTCTCCCCGAAATTGGGAACATGACTTTCACGCCAGGTTTTCGTTTGGTGCGTTTGGCACAAAAAGTCCTGTGATGTGTGATTCGGCAGGCAGTACCCACACGTTTCTACGTAACTGTACTTCAGAAGGAAAAATCGGTACGCTCTGTAAATTTGTCTACCAGTTCAGACTAGTGCTGCTGTTGTTGTTTACATCATATTCGCAAAAGGAAAGGTTTCTTTCTCATGATAAATGTTTTTGGAAAATTTCCCTGCATAACTTCCAAAATATATTATGTTTTTTAACAAGGCTCTAAATAAAAATGCTTCTTTGAAATATGATTCTGATTCTGTTTTGGATTAGGTTTGGGGCACTGTAGTGCGCGACTCTTTGCGACGCACGCTTAGCCGCTGTTTTATTTTTTTTCAGCGCCCGTCATTTTTTTTGTACAGTTGAGTTTTCGCCTATTTCCTGCGATTTCGACCTTGTCCATGGAAGTAAGGCGGATGTCCATGAAAGTAGGGACGGAGTCCACGGGAGAAGCGAAAGGTTGATGTGGTGTCCATGAAAGTAGGGGCTGTCCACGAAAGTATGAAAAGATTTGCGGACAGTCCGCGGCAGTAATTTTCCCGCCCCAGGGACCTCGCCTCTGAACCTGAAATACACTTCGTTTGCGGTACCATTTAACACTTTTCAACGGGCAAAACTAAAACCCATTGGGAACGGAATTCCGTTCCGGATGGCATCAACCCTAAACACGCGGCCCTTTTGCGAGTTTTTTGTTGATGCCACCCCGATTCGCATGCGGTGCCCCTATGGGTATAAGTTTTTTTAGTTTTTTTTTTTGGTGCCCTAACACAGAGCATTGAATTCGTATAAAGGTCCCACGACAGGATTACGACACGAAGTGCCCACATGAACCTGCAAATGTTTCACCCTGTAATGTGTGCGTATTGTATTACGAATAAGTTGTAGTACAGGCTCGGAGACGAGGTCTCGGGGCAAATAGCTGCCGGACCTTTTTTGCTCACGCCTGTGGCAAAGGGAGGACCCTTTTTGATCATTTCCCTATCTCCCTCGCACAGCGAGGTGGACTGCTGCAGTTTGCACGTGACACATCTGCCTGCGACTCACATCGCGTGGTCTGATCGTGGACCGTGCGAGCCGCAACGACGTCACAAAAAGCCGCTAACCCTGTATTTGGCGCGACAATACTGGTTCGTATGTGACCGGCAGAGTGAGGTCGCATTCAGTCAGGTCGCATGTGTCAGCCGACTGACACCAGCGTGAAGTGGTACCGCTGAAACATGATTCGATATATGTGTACATTAGGCCAGTGGAAATATAGTGAAGTACGAGAGACGAGAGACCTTTGAGAATTGTGAATTCTTGTGGGGGTCAAATGAAGCAGCAAACAGCGAAGCAGCAGTACATCGAGAACACCACCTTGTTCGCTGAATCTGACCCTTTTCTTCTTCGGCAGTCCCAAGGGCGTCCATCTTCGCCTTACCTAGAGAGTGCCTTGATGTAGTCGCCAGGTGCTCATAGCCCGTTGGTGCTCAGTTCGACGAGCGGGCGGCCTCTCATCCCATCGCGCTAGTCGTGGTTGCTCTAGTAGAATACGACCTGTATACCTAAAATCTCACAAAGGCTGCCAGACCCTTTTGATCATGCTGCTCACTGGAGCCTACCGTCGCCGTACAGTGCGTACTAGCAGCGAAGCATACGACTGTACATACAGAACTGCGTGTTGTCGAGAACCAGGATTAATTACAGTCCAGTAGCAGTCGTGGGAGTAGGACGCGACCGGTGCAATGCACGTAGAAGGCACGGGGGATGCAACTGCGGTTCTCCTTTCCTCTCCATTCTCCTCTCTCTATTCTGCATTCCCCTGCTGGTAACAGTAGTCACAGCGCATTCTTCTGATCAGTTGTAGTACGAGGGGTGCGCGGTGTCAGGATGCACCTCATTCAGCAGCTCATGCGAGCACCGCTCGTTTTGCCTTCTATCATGGAGCCTCACCTACTGTACGACCCCCTCGTCGCTGGCTCCTCGCTGGCTCTAACTCCCCCTCGCCCTCTACAGTATCGTGCTGGCTCGGCACTCGAACCAACCTGAGTCGTGTTATTCGATGTACACCCAAGTATTCGATGACATAGCACATATTAGAGTCCACTGTTTGTTACCATCACCCCAAGTTCGGTTCAGGTTTGTAATGTCGCACGGAGAGCGAGTCCCGTCGAACGTGGGTTTCTCCGGCAAGCGAACGTGGGTTTCTCAGGGTGACGCAGTATAGCGGTACAGTCACCACCAGTCAAAACAATCGTTGCCATCGAATACTTGGTGTACTGTACTCTTGTAGTAGGATGCGTCTGCCGACGTGGAAGGGGCACAAGCCAGGTACAGTAGCGTTTCTCACCCTCCCCCCCACTACCCCCCTAGAACCATTCAAGGCTGGCCGCTATGAGTTTCCATCCTCACTCGCCTAACACGCCTCACTCGTCTCACTCGCCTCAGGCTGCGCCTCTCGCCCAAATAGAAAGAATCTTCCTCTCCGCGGACCAGCGGAGGGGTGTCAGTCACTGTCCTCCTCCCGTCCTGCGCGCTAGAAAACGCTCCGATTCACCCATTGGCCAGATTCTTTCTGCATACTGTAGACCGCTCTTCGCTACAGTACTACTGCGCAACAGTCCGACAGTATGGTACAGCTTGCACCGCTACCGAGTAGCGCCGTGAGTGGCGGATCCTCCCAGAATGGACGTGCTGCCTTCTAGCCACTCCTCCCTCCCTCTCACCGCTCCTCTTTCCTCCGTAGTTTCTCTTCGCCACTGCCTTGTCTGATCGAACTAGACCAGACTCTCTGCGTCGTCCCCTTGTCGCTTGGCAACGGACGTCCGCTCGTTGCCCGCCTACGATCCTCTCTGCCTCAACCTCGAAAACGCTTCCTTCTCTCCACCAGAGACATTCGCCCTGTATGAGCCCCTCTTTTAGACGCGCGACCAGCTGGAATCCGTGCTACTGACTCCCTGCGCGCCTCAGCCACGCTCAGTTCCTCTTCGGTTGACTTCAGCCAGCCACGGGACCCGCGTTCGAAGTAGCCGCTGGTCAACGCGCCATCCGGAGCAGCGCGTTTTCGACCAGCCTCATAATCCATGGCGGCTCCTTTCCACAGGGCCCACTCCGCCGACACCGCGTGGAGAGGGGCAACCGGGGGCACCAGGAGGCAGAGGAGGCGGGGGAGGCGGAACAGCGGGGCGCATAGCTCACAGCCCGAGTTATCCCAACTCTGGGTATGCTACTAACGGGGATGGGAACCTTGGGGGCTCGCGGCGGTCTCTGGAGGGCGGAGGCGGTAGCTCCAAGGCGCTTTCGAGATCCAGTAGCGGGGCAGTTGCTAACGCGGATGCCACGGGTGGTAACGGAGAGGTGGGGAGCAGCAGGTGGCTAAGGCGGGGGGAGAGCGGCGAGGGGAGCGGGAAGCATTGGTCCGGTACAAGCAGCGCGTTTTCTGCTAGTAGCGAAACGCCGCGAGCCTGGGCGAGCCAGCTGTCCGCCAGTGGTGACAATAGCGGGGGTGCTATTGTAGAGCTAGGTGACTATAACGACCAGATGGCCACATCCCCGTACCCAGAGGCGATCAAAGAGGAGGAAGGGTCCGTGGAGGGCCGGAATGTTCCAATGCCGGATGTGACTCTAGAGGAGGAGCTCGCCGAATCCCTCATGCCGCTCAAGTGGGTGTTCTTCCCCGAGGCAGACCCCATTCAGCAGTTTCGTGGAAAGCCGTGGCGGGAGAAGATCTGGGTGTTCCTCAAGGGCGTGTTCCCGATCCTGGAGTGGCTGCCCAAGTACGACCTGTGGTACTACCTGCTGGGTGACATCATCGGGGGGGTGTCCATCGCTATAATGTCCGTGCCTCAGGTGAGCCGTTCACTGTGATCCGGTGTGTTGCCTTGCTGTGCCTTGGCATTGCATTGCCGTGCATTGCCTTGCCGTGTGGTGCATAGCGTGTTGTGCCTTGGCACTTGCATCTCCTTGTGTGCCAATGCGGGACCTGCTGTACTACCTGCTAGCCGACATCATCGGGGGGGTGTCCATCGCTATAATGTTCGTGCCTCAGGTGAGCCCCGCATTGCGCTCCCCGCGTTGCCCCGCATTGCATTGCCTGGCATTGCCTTACCGCGTGGTGTGTGACATGTTCTGGACGTGCATCTCCTTGTGCCAGTGCGGGTCCACGTTTCTTCCTGCTGGTTCTTTCCTGTCCGTGCCTCAGGTGAGCCTCGCATCGCTGCATCGCTGCATTGCAGTGTGTGTGTTGTCGGGCACCACCTCCCTACGCCAAGGAGGAGGGACCCCGGACCTGCATTTGTCATTTTCTCGGTCTCCTCTCCTCGGTGCATTCTCCCCACCCACATGGTCACATCCTGCCTCTCCTAGCCATCCTCCCTGCCGAGTCCGCTCACCGTGACGTGTCTCCCTCTCTCTTGCCTCAGAAGCCAACCTAGCCACGTCTGTGTGTCCCTCTGTGCGTGTATCTAACTCTGACTCTGTGCCTCTCCCGCCCTCCCAGGACATCTCATACACCAATTACGCCAACCTCCCTGCCGAGTCTGCTCGCCCTGCCGAGTTTGCTCGCCCTGACAGCATCTGTCCGTCTCTCCCCACCAACCTTGCTCTGTTTGTGCGTGTCTCTGTGTGGCTCCCGCCCTGCCAGGACCTCTAGTGAGCAAGTACGCCAACCTCCCTCTCTCGCCCCGCCAACCTAGCCCGGCCAACCTAGCGCCCCGCTTGTGTGTCCCTCTGTGTGTGTGTCTACCTCCCCCTCGCCCTCTCGCGCCATCCCAGGACGTGTCATACGCCAAGTACGCCAACCTCCCTGCCGATTTTGCTCTCCGTGAATGCCTCCATTGCCCCACCTTCCTTCTCCCCCCCTGCATCGTCACATCTCCCCCCTGCATAGTCACATCTCCCCCCTGCATCGTCACATCTCCCCCCTGCATCGTCACATCTCCCCCCTGCCCGTCACATCTCCCCCCTGCATCGTCACATCTCCCCCTTGCATCGTCACATCTCCCCCTTGCATCGTCACATCTCCCCCCTGCATCGTCACATCTCCCTCCCCATCCTTCTCCTTGCATTCCCTCCCTCCCTCACACCCCGCATGCGTTGGCGCTACCTCACGTACCATTCCCTCCCTTCGTACCAAGAAGCACAAATACTGCTTTTGAGTTGACTCAAAATTTGACGCTACCTCACGTACCATTCCCTCCCGTCGTACCAAGAAGCACAAATCCCCTATCCTGCCTCTTTCCAAAAACCCCCCACCCAACCCGCCCCCTCCCCCCCAGGCACCAGTTTCATCCCGCCTCTGCTGTACGCGATACAGGGCTCCTCCAAGCACCTCGTGATCGCCCCTGTGTCCGTCGTGTCTCAGCTGCTGGGCATCACCCTCAGCGCCATAGTGGACCCCAACGCCGACCCTGCTCTCCCTTCTTCTCCCCCTCTCCCCCGTTTCCTGCTCCCTCCCCCCCAGGCAGCAGTTTCATCCCGCCTCTGCTGTACCGCGATACAGGGCTCCTCCAAGCACTTCATGATCGCCCCTGTGTCCGTCGTGTCTCAGCTGCTGGGCATCACCCTCAGCGCCATAGTGGACCCCAACGCCGACCCTGCTCTCCCCTCTTCCCGTCGCACAAGCCCGTGTGGGTGCAGAGGGTCGAGGCTCTGGAGGCCGAGGGAATCACAGTGAGCGAGGAGGAGCAAGCTGCAGAGATGATGATGACTGATTTGTGATTGTGATTGAAGAGAAGTGATTATGCTGTCTGGCATGTTGATGCTTTGTAGGCGGGGGCTCTGGAGGCCAAGGGGGTTGCTGTGAGAGAGGAGCAAGCCGCACAGATGACGCTGATTATGATGGTGCTGATGGTGATAATGATGGCGGTGGGTGACATCTGATGCTGATGGCGCCTGTAATGTGCTGGTGCCGGTGCTGGTGGGTGGATGAGCATGCATGACCTAGAGCCTCAGATGGCCGCGCTGCGCAGAGCTGCCGGGGGGCACATGAAACTCCCCAGGGTCCATTCTCCACCTCCAGTCTACTGTAGGTACTAAACAAGGTCAGGCGTTCCTGGCCAGGTTGTGTGCGCCTGTTTTTCCTGCTGCTTGTTTCCTGCCTCACCTGCTTAAAGTCATGGGACATTGGATCTTGGGGCGTACCGATCTTGAAGCCTATTTCTGTAAAGTATTGTATATTTATTGCAGCATACCCTGCTGAACCGCTGCTCTTTTAAAATGAAAAGCTGGGGTTGTGGTTTGTAATCCATTGTCATCCACAGTTCCTATCTAATTCACAGTGCACAAAATTACACGCAGAGAAAACACGACAATACTAGGTGTTCCGACCATGAAAACTACTATACTGTTACGGTAGCCAGAAGTCATATACAGGTACAGGCAAGAGGCATGTTCTCATGTGCCTGTAGTTACAGTATGTTTCTACAGTCACCTATAGGACGACAGTAATTACGGTGTTGGAAATACCTCGAAGACTTGAGCGTTTGTAAAGTGTAACACTACACTCGAGGAAAGTCGTATAGGGTACACGAGTCAACAGAGGTTACACGAGGAGGTTGGACAAAAGAATACGAAAGGGCGAAGGTCTTAGAAACTTGGGACTAAAGGTTCTTAAACTTAGGAGGCTAGGTTGGCTAGGATACTAGGAAGAAGACCGCCATGGAATGGCGTGAGGAAAAACGGATCTAGGAGGTGAGAGGATGTCGAGAAGAAAGGGAGTTGGATTAGGAAGAGAGGGGAGTACAAGGAGGGGTTTGTACCCCCTACAGAAAGGTTCAGTAACAACCTACCAAGCCTATATTAAATTATAACTTATATAATTTTAACACACCCCCTAGGCTTGGTAGTGTCAAGCCCACGCACACCCCCACACCCACACCCACACCCACACCCCCTAGCCCAGCACCCCCATTCCCAGCAGGAGCCGCAACGACTCCGGAAGAGGGTAGGTCTCACGGCCCCTTGAGACGGCAATGGCGGCAGCAGCGACAGTGACGACGGCGGCGGCGGCTCCAGGCCTGCGGCAACAGCGGCGGCGCCAGCGGGTCGAACGACAGAGGCTGGTGCGGCGGCCCCCGCCCTCTCGGCGGCATGTCCTGTCTCCTCGGCGGTGGAGAGGTCCCTCACATGGCAGTCATCGGCTGCAGCAAGAAAGGGGGGGATGCAGGGGAAGCAGGTGCAGGTGGGGGGGGGGAGGGGAGGGGGCGGGGCGAGGCGAGTCTTCAGCGACGCGCCATAAGTGGCGCGGCGCTTACTGGCAGGAGGGCGGGCAGGTGGCGGTTATGACGGCGTGCTGCCCGCTGCCGCCCATCCACGCTGCCGCGGCAGCATGACGACGCCGCCAGGGCGCGGCGTCGACGCTGTGGCGGCACGCCGACGCTGCAACGGCAGCAAGGTGACGCTGCCACGGCAAAGCGTCGACGCAACCGGCTGCGGCCCGACGGCGCCGTCGACGCTGCAGCAGGACGTCGACGTCGCGACGGCAGAGGCAGCGTCGATGCCGCAGCGGGACGTCGACGCTGCGACTGCAGAACGACGGCCCGACGCCACGGCAGCGCGTCGAGCCGGTCGCGGCACGACGCGGCCAGTGGCAGCGCGACGTCGCCACTGCAGCAAAACGCGGCCGCCATGGCCGCTCGAGCTAATGAGAGCGAGGAGTAAATTGCGGAAGCGTGAGGAGGCGATCCAACAGGGAGGATCTCCTGCTCTGATACCATCTTAGAAACTTGGGACTAAAGGTTCTTAAACTTAGGAGGCTAGGTTGGCTAGGATACTAGGAAGAAGACCGCCATGGAATGGCGTGAGGAAAAACGGATCTAGGAGGTGAGAGGATGTCGAGAAGAAAGGGAGTTGGATTAGGAAGAGAGGGGAGTACAAGGAGGGGTTTGTACCCCCTACAGAAAGGTTCAGTAACAACCTACCAAGCCTATATTAAATTATAACTTATATAATTTTAACAGAAGGGACTCGAAGGGTCGCAACCGGAGGTTGCGATTGACCGTTGCGGCTGCAAGGGCGGTAACCGAACCGATAATCGAGTCGCTGTGCGACTCGATAACCGTTCCTTCAACTGTATTCTACAACTGCTTCATTTCTTATTTTCAATATATTGCTGGATGCTTGTTTCTTTTAATCAATCACTTGCTCTCACATACTAGTGCAAGGGTTCAACTACTCAACACTTCCGCTGCACTACTCAAGCGTTTTGTACAAGTGGGACTTAGTCTCTGAAAAGGTCCTAAGGCTTTTTCTCAGCCCAACATGGTATGAGAGCTGGTCAGAGACCAAACTCCCATCGACAACATTCTATCTAGAGTCAGCATATCAAAAGCTTCATCGACAACAAGACATGGACAACAAGGGCAAAAAGTCTTCTACGTGCTCACCCAGCGCCCAAGCCACTCAACCCGGCACCTCTGGACTACACACCTCAGGACTACAAACCGAGACCGGCGCTGCTCAAGAAACAACAGGAAGAGTACCAGAAATGGTGACCCCTTCACCCTCTTCACGTGTGGACCCAAACCTTATGGAAAGGTTCTTCAGCTTCATGTCGTACTTCGACCAGCAGCAGCAGACAGGGACACCTGCGCATTCAACACAAAGTAATGGAGAAAATACGGGGTTAACAACGATGAGCCTCGACAACTAATAATTCGGGCGGCACAACCAGGCGCCTACCTTTGCGCCTTATCACTCTTCACCAGGGACGTTCAAGTTCATGCCGCCCCGTGCTCAACCGACAGCAGTTGCATCACAACACACACCAAACAAAATATTAAGTCTCCAGGCGCAGTTTTCACATGTGATCAAACTGCAGACATCTTCACCGTTCAACCAGCACGACTTCTTTACCTGGAGCTTTGAGTTCGAGCTGCTGATAGAGGCCGCGCACCTCTTGGGATACTTCAACGGGTCCCTGTCATTTCCAAGCAATGGCACTGCAAAATGCAGGAAATCTTCACCTATCAGTCGCTGCTGGCATACACAGTTCTCCTGCGAAACCTGTCACCACAAGAGCAACAGAGCATCAGAACATATCGGAGCTACGGAAACTCCGCGGAGCTCGCCTGGCATCATCTGAAATGTCTATATCAAGCAAACGACAGTGTGACACAAAGCAAACTCATGCAGCAGTTGACAACAATACAAATGAAGACCGGGGAAAAGGCGATGCAGTATATGAGTCGCTGCCAGACACTTCGTGACCTCCTGCTTCAGTGCGGAGGCACAATCACTGAAGAAAGCTTCGTGACACTTGTTCTCGTCGGGCTTGGACCACAATGGAGAACCACCCGCTCGCTTCTTCGCGCCCACGGACGATTTTCCGAGATGCACCTCTGCGCCGAACTTCATGCTGAACAACAGGAGATGGACCTATTTGAAGAAAGATAACCATGAAGCAAGCAGCAACCGTTAGTCTTCTACACTCAAAGAAGGGACAACAACAACCACAACCAACGCGACAAGCAGAACCGACACGACACCAGAGGCCTCACCATCGTGCCGCCGTTCTGCCACAACTGTCAGACATCCGGGCACTCCAAGGTCAACTGCACACGCCCTCGATTTTCTCGTCCAGCAGACCCGCAAGCCGCCTCCACTCAAGCAAATCCACGAAGACGTTCCTCTACACCTACACAAGGCGCACCAAATATCATTAACTGCATGGTACGAATCGACAGCTGCACACCCGGGTCACCACCCACTTACGCTCCAGACGAAGAAGAGCTGCCGCCGCCGCGCTCACAAGGCCTTCAGGTCAACCCCACGTATGCTGCAGTCGCCAACAACGAACCCACCGGGCGAAACACCTGGTTCTTGGACAGCTGCTGCGGTCAACACATGTGTTCCTCGGGGCGCTTCGTGCATCGAGAGCGACGTCTCAACCGCGACGTCGTCATCACCGTCGCCAACAATGAGAACCTGAAGACAAACAGACAAGGAGTGATTCAGCTTCAATCAATGCAGACAAACGTCATACTGCAACTCAACAAAGTTCTCATCGTCGACAATTTGGGATACAATTTATTAAGTGTCAGCCAGTTAATGGCAAACGGAATTCACCTGGAATGCGACTCGGATGCCAACGAGTTTCGCCTTTATCACGGGAAGGGCGGCCTCTTCAGCGATCGCGCTCTCCTGAAGTCGGGCGTCTTTGTGCTGGACTTCATCCCCGACCGCGGTACTGCCGACAGCGACGCCATCGTGCCGTTCGCCACCTAGACGCACCCGCCCGATCTTGACCCCGACTTTAATCCAGGCGGGTTCTAGTACTCCAACACCATTCCTGCAGTAGAGAGAACATGAGCATTAGCAGTCATTCGAAAAGAACGACAAGTACGAGCAAGTATCCCTTCCCCGACATCACCTGCAGTAGCAGCACCAAGACCCAGCCGTGCGCCATCACCAGCAGTCCGAGGACCGCCAACCAAAGCAGATCAGCTCATGCCCATCACCCAAGAAGTCTGCCGTAGTCCCGCTACGGTCATCGCGTTCTTCTCCAATGCCGACCTATACCGGCGTTCACCCGGCCATCGCGCTCCCGACGACATCTGGCATCAACGCCTCGGACACCCTGCAAACAGCACAATTCTTCAAACCATACAAGCCGGAGTATTAGAAAAAGACGCTCTCCTCACACCAAGCGGCCAGGAGCTTCGACGACCCCGCGCACGATGCTTCACGTGCCCCGAAGCTGATCTTCCCCATCAACCTTTCCTATCGCACTATAATCCAAGCGCACCTGCATACGCACCGATGGAAAAGGTTTATAGAGATATTTTGAATATGCCTCGAGACGACAGTGAAGCAGAGTACAACTACGTTATCACATTCATCGACGCAGCAATACGATACGCCTGGCACTTCAACCTCAAGACTCGTGACCAAGGGTTCGAAGCTTTCACGACGTGGCTCCCCATCGCTGAACGAGAATCGGGCTCCCAACTCAAGAGTTTCCTGTCAGAGGGGCACTGGAGTATCAGTCACAAAGGTTCAGGAGCTACTTGGCGGAAAGAGGCATCAAACGCCTGGTGTCCCTGCCCTACGCTCACCAGCAGTAGGGGGTCGCAGAGAGGATGAACCGCACCTTGCAGACGACGATGCGGAAGCTGCTCCTGGGGATGAGACTGCCCAACACCCTTTGGGCTGACGCGATGACACATGCAGCCCATCTCCACAACTTGCTGTCCTCGTCAACACTTCCCAACAGTGCATCACCGCACCTGCTGTGGACAAGAAAACTGGGCAGCACAAAATTACTTCGAGTTTTCGACTGCATGGTACAGTACAGACCCCACACAGCTTGAGGAGGACGATTTTCTCAACAAGCACGGTGGGGACTACACCTCGGCATCGCAAAACATTTTCACGCGTGGAAACTTCTCGACATCCAGGACAAAAACACCGTGGCCTCACGTGATGTGATTTTCTACGAGGGACTGAAGCTGCAGCATTACCTGAACAACGTCGCCAACACCGCAGACCCCACCGACGACTTCGAGGGCCATCGGTCCTTTGCCGACCCTGCTGCCGAAGCTGACGCAGCAGAAGAAGACGTACCTGAAGCCTCGGAAGCTGCCGGACCACTCCCTTACTGCTTCGTGCCCGTTCCACTCGACGACGACAACTCTCTCGATAGTAACAACATCGACACCTACTACCACTTCGCTGACCAGGGCTACACTACACCTCAACCGGTCGACACAAATGTCTCTGAACGCATCGGACCGAATTTCTTACCTGACCCCGAAGATGGCGACGAAGCAGCTTATACCGGGGATGAAAATTCCCCTCGACACACACACACGGGCCTGCAGATACTTGGACTATGAGTCGCCGTCCAGAGCCCGCCGCCGCCGTCGCCGCGCGAGCCAACGACTGTATCGCAGGCTCTGGGGGGGGGAACATAAGGCGAAATGGAAGGAAGCAATGGAAACACGGGGAAACTAGTACCTGCGACAAAGACCAACGGGAAGAATGTGCTCTCGAGGATGTGGGTGTACCGAATCAAGACTTATGCGGATGGCTCCATCGACTGCTTCAAGGCTCGCTGGGTCGTACGTGGATTTGATCAGCGATACGGAACCGACTACATGGAAACATTCGCCCCAGTCTCCCGACATACCTCCCTGCGCATTCTACTCGCCGACGCGGCCACGAAAAGGTTACCACTGCGGCAGATCGATGTCGCCAACGCTTTCTTGTACGCACCTGTGGACGCTGAGATCTTCGTCGAGCAGCCCCACGGCTTCATCGACGATCCTACAAAAGTGTGCCAGCTGATAAAATCTCTCTACGGAATCAAACAAGCCCCGCGGCTTTGGCAGCAACACCTTCACGGCCGCCTCGTCAGGATCGGCTTCCTGCAGCTGCCGCACGACCAAGGGATGTACCGACTGCAGAAGGGGGGTGACTTTGTCCTACTCATCGTACGTCGATGACCTGCTCTACGTCGACTCCACTACCGATGTTGTGACCTGGTTCGAAGGGGAGCTGAAGAGTGATTTAACACTCACGGTGTCAGACACCGTTACCCAGTACCTATGCCTGAACGCCGTCGAAGACGATTCGGCGTTCTACCTACACGCCGGAAAGTACGCAGGCGTCATCGCGAAGAAATTCGGACTAATGCCGGTCGCTGTCGCGACTCCCTATCGCTACGGGAACGACAACAGCGACACCTCCGCAAAGCTCCCCACTAAGCAGATCCAGGAATACCAACAGAAGCTCGGTTGTCTCCTGTTCGCAGCCGTAACCTGCCGACCGGATTTGTCCTACAGCGCTAGTCAACTGGCGACACACCTGAAGCAGCCGGAGCAAGAGCACCTCGAGGAGCGGAATCGGGCAGTGCTCTACTTCGTCTCTACGCCGACAGTCGGACTCACCAACAGCAAGGTGACACCGTCGTCCATACAACTACTCGGCTATGTCGACGCTGACCACACGGGAGACAAGGGAAATCGGTGTTCCAGAACGGGCTACATCTACCGACTAGAGCCTATCGGAACTATATCCTGGCAGTCGAGCAAGCAAGAACTAATCGCACTATCTTCGGCTGAAGCGGAATACATCGCTCTCTTCACTGCGACCAAAGAGGGACTTTACCTACGGGAGCTGCTCGAGGAAGCGAAAATTACGACCATGCCCGCCTTCTCGATATTCAGCGACAACCAATCTGCGATCAAAATCGCGAACAAAAACGGGATCGCCAATCGAACCAAGCACATCGCCATGCGGTATTTCTTCGTCAAGGATGAGATCGCGAAGGGGAGACTTCAACTCAATTACTGCCCCACGACAGAAATGGCTGCAGATTACCTGACGAAGAAACTGGCGAATGAAAAGTTCGATTACTGCATGCTGATGACCGGGCAGATAAACGTCACCGAATCCGGACGCGTCAGCACTCCAGAAATGAAGGGGAGTATTGGAAATACCTCGAAGACTTAAGCGTTTGTGAAGTGTAACATTACACTCGAGGAAAGTCGTATCGGGTACGCGAGTCAACGGAGGTTACACGAGGAGGTTGGACGAAAGAATACGAAAGGGCGAAGGGACTCGAAGGGTCACAACCGGAGGTTGCGATTGACTGTTGCGACTGCAAGGGCGGTAACCGAACCGATAATCGAGTCGCTGTGCGACTCGATAACCGTTCCTTCAACTGTATTCTACAACTGCTTCATTTCTTATTTTCTATATATTGCTGTATGCTTGTTTCTTTTAATCAATCACTTGCTCTCACATACTAGTGCAAGGGTTCAACTACTCAACACTCCCGCTGCACTAAAGCGTTTTGTACAAGTGGGACTTAGTCTCTGAAAAGGTCCTAAGGCTTTTTCTCAGCCCAACATAAGGCGTGGTAACTAACGAGCGAGTCCTCACTTCTCTGGTGGAGGAAGAATGCAGAGGATATAGTGTAAGAACGCAAAAACACAGGCCTCACACCCACCTCCCCCCACCACCGCATCCCCCACCTCCGTGACAACCACGCTGTAGGAGTGGTGGGAATAGCCGCGTCCGTGTATCAATGCGCGCTGAGAAGTGGGCCCCCTTCTCAGTAGTAGTGGTGATTCCACATGCACTCACTCTCCTGGCCTCACTTCTCAGGGTGGGGGCAGAATGTAGAGTAGATAGTGGATTAACGCACGCAAGTGCGCCTCGCCCACCTCCCACCAACCACCGCACCCCCCGCGTCCATGGCAACCACGTCGGAGTAGTGGTGGTCGCCTGGAAAAGCCTTGAACCAATGCACACTGATGATGATTCGGGTCTCACTTTTCATGTGGGGGGAGGATGTAGAGCAGGTAGTGTATGAACGCGCGCACGTGCGCCTCACCCACATCACCCACCACTGCATTCCCTGCGTCCGTGGCGACTATATAAGAGTAGTGATGGTCACCGGGAATCGCTGAGTCCGTGTACCGAGGTGCGTCTATCAGCCAGGTGTCCAGAATCGTAGCTGCTCCTGCCTGTATCTCATTCTGATGCGCATCTGTTTCCTCTTCTGTTTCCGGGTCTGCGTCTGCTGTTTCTTTTCCTGTTGCCTCAGCTTCCGAAGGTGATGAAGACAGGGTCGTCGGGGGACCTGAAGAGTCGGCATCAGTGTCTCTCGCCTCTCTTTCTCTCACGGGCTCTTCAAACATGAACCCTTCCCCTGGCAGCCATTGCAAGCGATCGTCTAGCCCCACCTGAACCTGCCCCTGCTTCCCCCTTCCACTACCCCTTTCTTCAAATCCTGCAATATCCTCCTCTCCTCCTCTTCCTCTCCCCCCCAGCACGATCCGCTTCAGCAGCGCGTTGACCGCCATACCCGCTCTATTCGTCCCCGGCCCACTGTACCAGCCATTGCAAGAGTTCCATTTCACCACAAACGAGGGGATGGTGCGGAAAACCGCCCGGCCTTTCCCGGGCGCAACGGCTGCAATACCCCAGCGCACAAACTCACGCAGGTGCACCCGGAGGGATTTAAGGGGTTGCCGGCAGAAGGAAGCTCCCCAGTACCCTCCCTCAAAGAGGGTGACGTCAGCAGTGGATGAGATGTTGGGGAACTGGGTCTCTCTCTGTGTGGTGGTGCCCCTGTGGCTACATCCAAACTCCCCATTCCTGTATATCCCATCGATCCAATAGAAGTTAATCTTCAACTCCCGCCCCTCACCATCCCTAGCCGAATAGAACAGATTATCGCGCCACTTCTGCACCCCCATGTCTGCCCGCCCTGTCAGCAGATAAAACAGATGCGCAATGAAATACCGCTGGTGCGAGTCCCCCACGATACTTATCTCGCGGATGCCCCGTTTTTCCAGCGCTGCTATCCAGCTAGACGGGGGAAGCTCTCTGTGGGCGCAAAAGTAGGGGGTCCAGTGGTACGTGCCGTTGCTCAGTTTCCACCGGGTGGGGACGGAAGTACCCGCACAGGGGTTTGCAGGGAGGAGAGAGCCTAGTCTGGGGTTGGCTTCGGGAGGGTTTAGGTGTGGCGTGGTTGCTTGGAGGTGGGGAAGTGAGGGGGTGGGTTTCTCGGGTGAGATTTGATCTGATTGTGGGGCGGGATAGTCGGCAGTTGCACCAGAGGCGAGACTCCTGCTGCTGCTGCTGTGAAGCTCCGCGTGTGTGGAGTTGGGTGTGGTGCGGTGCAGAACGGTGAGGCGCCAGGTGACAAGGTCGTGCTGAGCTGTCTTGTTGAGATGGGGGAAGAAGTGCGGTGAGAAGCGCAGGTTGGCGCACCCTATGTGGACCGTGGCCCTGCCGTTGAGGGGGGGATGGGGGGAGGGGGTGCGGGGAGGGTATGCGGGGAGGGAGAGAGCGTGAGAGAGAGTATGGGGAAAAGTGGGCTCAGGGGAAGAAGTGCGGGGAGGAGCGCAGGTTGGTGCAGCCTATGTGGATAGTGACCCTGGGATGGGATAGTTGGTAGGGAGGAGGGAGGGAGCGATGGCATCGCATGGCAACACTTGAGGATCGAGAGAGGTAGGAATGTGGGAAAACGAGGCATCAATTGCCTTACAGGTAACCATATGGTAACCATACTCACCAGTAGCAACGCATTCCACCCCCGGTACTCCCAGGGTTTCTTCCCACATCCCATAATCGGTAAGCCAAGCCGCACTCATCTCCCTGCGGCGCGGGGAATCCAGGCACCGCACGTCCCCCGCCCCCAAGGCCGGCCCCTCAATGCAACTGTCCGTTTTCACCGTTCTCCACCTCACAGAACCCCTTGTCCCCCATACTCATACTCACAAGTATTCCCCGACATCCCACAGCCGGTAGGCGACACTCATCTCCCTGCAGCGCGGGGGGTCCAGGCACCGCACGTCCCCCGCCCCCGAGGCGGCCCCCCGCATTGTAACGGTCAGCTCGCGCTTCCACCAGCTGCGCTTCCGCGCCTGCAGCACTTCCTCCGCCCAGTGCGCGGGCGCGCGCACGGACACGCGGAAGGCGCACAGCTCCCCCCTGCGGCAAGACGTGCAGTCGCGCCCGTGAATGGTGACTCCGGGGGGCGATGGGGAGGTGTAATCTGGGGAGGGAGCAGCAGGGGGAAGGGGGGGGGGGGGACGGGGTGGCAACGATACGTCATGCATGCGCGTGTAGCAGGCAGTCACGGGCATCATACATGCTGATTCGCCGCATACTAAGCATGCACTGCATGTGCGTATCGAAGGTGCCGCGTGTGCGCGACTCACCTCCCGACGACGTCCAGCAAACGTGCTCCGACGCCTGCTGCTGGTGTCGCCGCCGTGCGGCATCCTCGTCACCCGCGATAAAATCGCTCAACCCCGTCGCAGACACCCGCCCCACCTAGGAACAGCGCTTTCCGCAGTTTCCCCAGCATCAAACGCTTCCCCCAATGCTCCCACGACTCCCCCCAGGCGGACATGCGCAGCGACACTCCCCCCGCAATTGCGCCTTCCGCGGATGCGGCTTCCCCCGCTCCGCTGGCTGCTGGCACCACCCAGTGTTGCGGAGCGGATCGCGCTATAAAGAGTACAAGGAGCAACGCGTTAAGACCTAGAAGCATGTAGTGAAACCAATCCATAGTACCTCTGGGGCTTCTGCTCCCCTCGGTTACTAAGACACTTCCCGATTTTGAACTCACAAACGCGGACAGAGGATTCGATATAAGCCGGAATATTGGAGAAGACACGCGAACGAAGAAAGAGCTGGTTGAGGACTGTACATGCATGGCTCTAAACGCCGTGCCGTTTCGTTCGGTGATGCTGCCGGTTCTGTCCGCTTCCCGTCAACGTTCCGTCGGCGTCTGTCTCCTTAGCTAAGATGCTGAGAAAGCAGTGCTGCTCGTATCGAGTCAAATACGTCAAGGATTTCTCTGATGCTACTTGCAGACGGCGGCAGAGAGGAATCAGTTTTCCTGATCTTATACTGAAACGGCCTCGCGAGTCTGAAAAGCGAGTCTGACAAGCGATGGTTGTTAACCTGCGACTTTATCTACTATCTGCGATACGCAAAGCTCGCGGTGAACTAGAAGCAAGCAGGAAGAGAAAGGACGAGAATCTCACGCAGAAAAGGACCAAGATGCGTAAGGGTATTTGTAGGAGCTGACGTCGTGAATCGTGATTCCACGGGATGTGAGTCACGACTCATGGCGTGTCAGCGTGTCCTGTCTTGCCGCGAACTCATATCTCCCTTCCACGGCAAGGTGGACTGCCACAGATTGCACACGAAGCATCCGCGACTCGCATCGCGTGGTCTGATCATGGACCGTGCGAGTTGCAACGAGGTCACCGAAACCCGGTAACTCTGTATTCGGGGCGACTATACTGTGTCGTATGTGACTGACACAGTGAAGTCACATTTAGGAGATTAGTGCCGCGGACTGTCCACGAAATCTTTCATACTTTCGTGGACAGGCCCTACTTTCATGGTCTGCACATCAAACTTTTGCTTCTCGCGTGGACTCGGTCCATACTTTCGTTGACAGCCGGCATAGTTCCATGGACACACTCGAAATTGCAGTAAGAAACGTAATCAGAACTGTACATGTTGTGCCTCCATACCAAATCTGAAGCAGAATCCCACAATCATGGAAGTGGTAGTTACGATCTCTCAAACATAAAGGCGGGACTGTGCTTGATCAATACAGTCCCATCCGCATCCAGTCCCATTAAAATTCATTCTTGATACCATCATTAAGGCACATGGCATACTATGGGTTTTGAGAGAAAATACTAGATTGAATAGTATATGTATTGGTTGTAATACATATTTATTTATGGGATCAATATTTTAATTACACCACTAGCTTTTAAATTGAATATAAAGATATTTTTAATACCTTATGATTTTATTCGAATGTCGAACGCTATATATACGATTTTTATGCTAATAGATTGGATTTCATGTGAGGTGATGCTATCTGGTTTAATGACGAGATTTATTCCACTGCTGCTGATATACCCCTGGTGTCGACTGTAGCCCGTACGTTACAGTCTCTGAAATGGATTTTGAGTGTCACTGCAAGATATCCTAGATTTACGCGAAGCAGCTTTCTGACCTGGCTGGTTGCGGACACTGTAGCTTGCGACCCTTTGCGACGGTCCTGATTTTGGCAGTTTTGTTTTTCCACCTGTCACAACGTGTACAGTTCTCATCATGTTTTTTAACTGCAATTTCGAGAGTGTCCATGGATGTATGCCCGCTGTCCACGAAAGTATGGACCGAGTCCACGGGAGAAGCAAATGTTTGATGTGCAGTCCATGTAAGTAGGGCCTGTCCACGAAAGTATGAAAGATTTCGTGGACAGTCTACAGCACTAATTGCCCCTACATTCAGCCAAGTCGCATGTGTCAACGGACTGACATGAGCGCAAAGTGGTATTCGCTGAAACATGATTCGATATATCTTTACATTAGACCATTAGAAATATAGTGAAGTACGAGAGACGAGAGACCTTCGAGAATTGTGAATTCTTGTGGGTGTCGAATGAAGCAGCACACAGCGAAGCAGCAGTACATTCAGAACACCATCTTGTTCGCTGAATCTGACCCTCTTCTTCTTCGGCAGTCCCAAGGGCGTCCATCTTCGCCTTACCTGGAGAGTGCGTTGATGTAGTTGCCAGCTGCGCATAGCCCGTTGGTGCTCAAATCGACGAGCAGGCGGCCTCTCATCCCATCGCGCTAGTCGTAGTTGCTCTTGTAGAATACGACCCGTATACCTAAAATCTCACAAAAGCTGCCAGACCCTTTTGATCATGCTACCGTCGCAGTACAGTGCGTACTTGCAGCGAAGCATACGATTGCACATACAGAACTGCGTGTTGTCGAGAACCAGGATTCATTACAGTCCAGTACCAGTCGTGGGAGTAGGACGCGACCGGTGCAATGCACGTAGAAGGCACGGGGGATGCAACTGCGGTTCTCCTCTCCTCTCCATTCTCCTCTCCATTCTGCATTCCCCTGCTGGTAACAGTGGTCACAGTGCATTCTCTTGTTCAGAGGTACGAGGGGTGCGCGGTGTCAGGATGCACCTCATTCAGCAGCTCATGCGAGCACCGCTCGTTTTGCCTTCTATCCTGGAGCTGCAGCTACTGTACGACGCCCTCGTCGCTGGCTCCTCGCTGGCTCTCACTCCCCCTCGCCCTCTACAGTATCGTGCTGGCTCGACACTCGAACCAGCCCGAGTCGTGGAGAGATTATTCGATGTACACCCAAGTATTCGATGAAATAGCACATATTAGAGCCCTCTTTTTGTTACCATCACCCCAAGTTCGGTTCAGGTTTGCAATGTCGCACGGAGAGCGAGTCCCGTCGAACGTGGGTTTCTCAGGCAAGCGCAGTATAGCGTTACAGTGACCACGCAGATAAAACAATCGTTGCCATCGAATACTTGGTGTACTGTACTCTTGTAGTAGGATGCGTCTGCCGACGTGGAAGGGGCACAAGCCAGGTACAGTAGCGTTTCTCACCCTCCCCCCCACTACCCCCCTAGAACCATTCAAGGCTGGCCGCTATGAGTTTCCATCCTCACTCATCTCACTCGCCTCACTCGTCTCACTCGCCTCAGGCTGCACCTCTCGCCCGAAGAGAAAGAATCTTCCTCTTCGCGGACCAGCGGAGGGGTGTCACTGTCCTCCTCCCGTCCTGCGCGCCAGAAAGCGCTCCGATTCACCCATTGGCCAGGTTTTTTCTGCATACTGTAGACCGCTCTTCGCTACAGTACTACTGCGCAACAGCCCGACAGTATGGTACAGCCTGCACCGCTACCGAGTAGCGCCGTGAGTGGTGGATCCTTCCAGAATGGACGTGCTGCCTTCTAGCCACTCCTCCCTCCCTCTCACCGCTCCTCTTTCCTCCGGAGTTTCTCTTCGCCACTGCCTTGTCTGATCGAACTAGACCAGACTCTCTGCGTCGTCCCCTTGTCGCTTGGCAACGGACGTCCAATCGTTGTCCGCCTACGATCCTCTCTGCCTCAACCTCGAAAACGCTTCCTTCTCTCCGCCAGAGACATTCGCCCTGTATGAGCCCCTCTTTTAGACCCGCGACCAGCTGGAATCCGTGCTACTGACTCCCTGCGCGCCTCAGCCACGGTCATTTCCTCTTCGGTTGACTTCAGCCAACCACGGGATCCGCGTTCGAAGTAGCCGCTGGACGAGGCGCCATCCGGAGCAGCGCGTTTTCGACCAGCCTCATAATCCATGGCGGCTCCTTTCCACAGGGCCCACTCCGCCGACGAGAACCGCGTCGTCTCGCCCCCTGCTGCGCCGACACCGCGCGGAGAGGGGCAACCGGGGGCACCAGGAGGCAGAGGAGGCGGGGGAGGCGGGGGAGGCGGAGCAGCGGGGCGCATAGCTCACAGCCCGAGTTATCCCAACTCTGGGTATGCTACTAACGGGGATGGGAACCTTGGGGGCTCGCGGCGGTCTCTGGAGGGCGGAGGCGGGAGCTCCAAGGCGCTTTCGAGATCCAGTAGCGGGGCAGTTGCTAACGCGGATGCCACGGGTGGTAACGGAGAGGTGGGGAGCAGCAGGTGGCTAAGGCGGGGGGGAGAGCGGCGAGGGGAGCGGGAAGCATTGGTCCGGTACAAGCAGTGCGCTTTCTGCTAGTAGCGAAACGCCTCGTGCGTGGGCTAGCCAGCTGTCCGCCAGTGGTGACAATAGCGGGGGTGCTATCCTCGAGCTGGGTGACTACAACGATCAGATGGCCACATCCCCGTATCCAGAGGCGATCAAAGAGGAGGAAGGGTCCGTGGAGGGCCGGAATGTTCCAATGCCGGATGTGACTCTAGAGGAGGAGCTCTCCGAGTCTCTCATGCCGCTCAAGTGGGTGTTCTTCCCCGAGGCAGACCCCATTCAGCAGTTTCGTGGAAAGCCGTGGAGGGAGAAGATCTGGGTGTTCCTCAAGGGCGTGTTCCCGATCCTGGAGTGGCTGCCCAAGTACGACCTGCGGTACTACCTGCTGGGTGACATCATCGGGGGGGTGTCCATCGCTATAATGTCCGTGCCTCAGGTGAGCCGTTCACTGTGATCCAGTGCGTTGCCTTGCTGTGCCTTGGCATTGCAATGCATCGCTGCATTGCAGTGTGTGTGTTGTCGGATACCACCTCACTGCGCCAAGGAGGAGGGACCCCGGACCTGCATTTGTCATTTTCTCGGTCTCCTCTCCTCGGTGCATTCTCCCCACCCACATGGTCACATCCTGCCTCTCCTAGCCATCCTCCCTGCCGAGTCCGCTCTCCATGACGTGTCTCCCTCTCTCTCGCCTCAGAAGCCAACCTAGCGCCGTCTGTGTGTCCCTCTGTGCGTGTATCCAACTCAGACTCCCTGCCTCTCCCGCCCTCCCAGGACATCTCATACGCCAAGTACGCCAACCTCCCTGCCGAGTTTGCTCGCCCTGACAGCATCTGTCCGTCTCTCCCCACCAACCTTGCTCCGTTTGTGCGTGTCTCTGCATGGCTCCCGCCCTCCCAGGACGTCTCATACGCCAAGTACGCCAACCTCCCACTCTCGCCCCGCCACCAACCTAGCCCCGCCAACCTAGCCCCGCCAACCTAGCCCCGCTTGTGTGTCCCTCTGTGTGTGTGTCTACCTCCCCCTCGCCCTCTCGCGCCCTCCCAGGACGTGTCATACGCCAAGTACGCCAACCTCCCTGCCGAGTTCGCTCTCCGTGAGTGCCTCCATTGCCCCACCTTCCTTCTCCCCCCCTGCATCGTCACATCTCCCTCCCTGCATCGTTGCATCTCCCCCCTGCATCGTCACATCTCCCCCCTGCATCGTCACATCTCCCCCCTGCATCGTCAAATCTCCCCCCCTGCATCGTCACATCTCACCCCTGCATCGTCACATCTCCCCCCTGCATCGTCACATCTCCCCCCTTGCATCGTCACATCTCCCCCCTTGCATCGTCACATCTCCTCCCTGCATCGTCACATCTCCCCCCTGCATCGTCACATCTCCCCCCTGTATCGTCACATCTCCCCCCTGCATCGTCACATCTCCCCCCCTGCATCGTCACATCTCCCTCCCCATCCTTCTCCTTGCATTCCCTCCCTCCCTCACGCCCCGCATGCGTTGACGCTACCTCACGTACCATTCCCTCCCTTCGTACCAAGAAGCACAAGTGCTGCTTTTTAGTCGACTCAAAAGTTGACGCTACCTTACGTACCATTCCCTCCCGTCGTACCAAGAAGCACAAATCCCCTATCCTGCCTCTTTCCAAAACATCCCCACCCAACCCCCCCTTCCCCCCCAGGCACCAGCTTCGTCCCGCCTCTGCTGTACGCGATACAGGGCTCCTCCAAGCACCTGGTGATAGCGCCTGTCTCAGTGGTGTCTAGGCTGCTGGGCACCACCCTCAGCGCCATAGTAGAACCCAACGCTGACCCTGCTCTCCCTTCTCCTCCCTCCCGCCCATCCCCTTCCCCCCCCAGGCACCAGCTTCATCCCCCCTCTGCTGTACGCGATACAGGGCTCCTCCAAGCACCTGGTGATAGCGCCCGTGTCCGTCGTGTCTCAGCTGCTGGGCACCACACTCAGCGGCATAGTGGACCCCAGCGCCGACCCTGCTCTCTACACCAGTCTCGCCGTCACGGCCACCTTCTTCTGCGGCATCTTCCAACTCATCATGGGGCTCTGCAGGTGCGGGGCTCTGCAGGTGGGGGGGGTGTGGCTAGTGCATGCTGGTAGCAAATGTAATGTGCAGGTATGGAGGTGGTGCGGCAATCCCCAGCCACTCAGCAATTTTCTGCAGGCGCACCTTCTTCCACCCCGCGCTCTAGACGACCCGCCTCGCCGTCACAGCCACCTTTTTCTGTGGGATCGTCCAGCTCGTCATGGGGCTCTGCAGGTCCGTCCGAGTGCAGGCATGCGGGCATATGTGGGTGGGTGTCCACAGTCCAGTCATTCCGGAACGCGTGAGGGTTTGGACTTTGAGCACGATGCCCTAAACATCTTGCTCTGTCCGTCCCTCCTCTTGCTTCTCAGGTTCGGCTTCCTGGTGGAATTCCTCAGCCAGCCAAGCCGACCATCGTGGGCGTCCTGCCGGGGTGCCTCGATCGCTCATCATCGCCTTCCAGCAGCTCAAGCTCATCCCGGGCCACAAGCAGTTGGTTGAATTGATGCCAACACATCCTTCCCCCTCACTCCCTTCAGGTTCGGCTTCCTGGTGGAATTCCTCAACCCCAGCCAACCATCGTTGGGTTCCTGTCGGGGTGCCTCGATCGCTCACCATCGCCATTCAGCAGCTCAAGCTCATCCCGGGCCACAAGGACTTCACCCTCCCCTTACACCCTGCCCCTCCAACCTCCACCCCCTTCCGCCTCCCCCCGCCCCCATCTTCCCTTCCACCTGGAAAACCAGGTTCGGTTTCTTAGTCGATTTTCTCAACCAGCCAACGATCGTTGGGTTCCTGTCGGGGTGCTCGCTCACCATCGCCATCCAGCAGCTCAAGCTCATTCTGGGCTACAAGGACTTCACCCTCAGCACCAGCATCGTCAACATCATCGCTGCGATAGTGCAATACAGCTCGCAGGTGGGTTCCTCCTCCTTCTGCCACAAGGTGCATGGCTGCTTGCAGGTGGCTTCCGTGGTGGGCTGGCAGGACTTCACTCTCCTCTCAGCAGCACCAGCATCGTCGACATCATCGCCGCTATTGTGCAGTACAGCTCGCAGGTGGGTTCCTCCATCCTCCTTCTGAGTCGCGTCGCATCACAATGCACAGTACAGCTCGCCGGTGGCTCACTCTCCTCTCAGCAGCACCAGCATCGTCGACATCATCGCCGCTATTGTGCAGTACAGCTCGCAGGTGGGTTCCTCCATCCTCCTTCTGAGTCGCGTCGCATCACAATGCACAGTACAGCTCGCCGGTGGCTCACTCTCCTCTCAGCAGCACCAGCATCGTCGACATCATCGCCACCATTGTGCCGTACAGCTCGCAGGTGGGTTCAACATCATTGCTATCGCCCATGCCATTGCTTAGGTCCAGTGGTGGGCGTTCGGCATGGGCATGCTCGTCGTTGTCTGTTCGTGGATACCCGCGCCCACCACTCCTTGCCCGTGCCGCCCCTGCAGTTCCAGTGGAAGGAAGGCGTTCGGCATGGGCATGCCCTTCTTCGCCGGTCCATCCTCATATCGACGCCTGCGTTGCTCGTTCTGCTGCTGTTTCCCTTGCCGTTGCCTTTGCCGCCCCTGCAGTTCCAGTGGAAGGCGTTCGTGATGGGCATGTCTTTCTTCCTCTACCTCACCACCGTCCGCGCCCTGGTGGGTCCTCAACTGTCCGCGCCCTGGTGGGTCTTCAACTGTCCGCGCCCTGGTGGGTCTGCAACTGTCCGCGCCCTGGTGGGTCTTCAACTGTCCGCGCCCTGGTGGGTCTGCAACTGTCCGCGCCCTGGTGGGTCTTCAACTGTCCGCGCCCTGGTGGGTCTTCAACTGTCCGCGCCCTGGTGGGTCTTCAACTGTCCGCGCCCTGGTGGGTCTGCAACTGTCCGCGCCCTGGTGGGTCTTCAACTGTCCGCGCCCTGATAGGCCTTCAGCCGTCCTCGCCCTGGTGGGCTCTCCCCCGTTCTTGGTGAATTCTGAGTCAACTCCGAACCAGACACACATCGTGATGGGCATGTCTTTCTTCCTCTACCTCACCACCGTCCGCATCCTCGTACGCCCTTCCCCTCCCTGCTGCGTCCGCTCTCCCCATTGAGTTCCGAAATTGCCTCAAGCCTCCTACCTTTGGTTGGGAGGTCACTAGGAGCATTACCTGACAGCCAATCCTGCCCCCCGCCCAACCAACCTTCCTACCGTTTGAGCTACTTGGCACGGGGGGTTTCATTTACCGTTTGAGCTACTTGGCACGGGGGGTTTCATTTACCGTTTGAGCTACTTGGCACGGGGGGTTTCATTTACCGTTTGAGCTACTTGGCACGGGGGGTTTCATTTACCGTTTGAGCTACTTGGCACGGGGGGTTTCATTTACCGTTTGAGCTACTTGGCACGGGGGGTTTCATTTACCGTTTGAGCTACTTGGGCACGGGGGGGGGTTTCATTTACCGTTTTGAGCTACTTGGCACGGGGGGTTTCATTTACCGTTTGAGCTACTTGGCACGGGGGGTTTCATTTACCGTTTGAGCTACTTGGCACGGGGGGTTTCATTTACTTGGCTACTTGGGTTTCATTTACCGTTTGAGCTACTTGGCACGGGGGGTTTCATTTACCGTTTGAGCTACTTGGCACGGGGGTTTCATTTACCGTTTGAGCTACTTGGCACGGGGGTTTCATTTTACCGTTTGAGCTACTTGGCACGGGGGTTTCATTTACCGTTTGAGCTACTTGGCACGGGGGGTTTCATTTACCGTTTGAGCTACTTGGCACGGGGGGTTTCATTTACCGTTTGAGCTACTTGGCACGGGGGTTTCATTTACCGTTTGAGCTACTTGGCACGGGGGGTTTCATTTACCGTTTGAGCTACTTGGCACGGGGGGTTTCATTTACCGTTTGAGCTACTTGGCACGGGGGGTTTCATTTACCGTTTGAGCTACTTGGCACGGGGGGTTTCATTTACCGTTTGAGCTACTTGGCACGGGGGGTTTCATTTACCGTTTGAGCTACTTGGCACGGGGGGTTTCATTTACCGTTTGAGCTACTTGGCACGGGGGGTTTCATTTACCGTTTGAGCTACTTGGCACGGGGGTTTCATTTACCGTTTGAGCTACTTGGCACGGGGGGTTTCATTTACCGTTTGAGCTACTTGGCACGGGGGGTTTCATTTACCGTTTGAGCTACTTGGCACGGGGGGTTTTCATTTACCGTTTGAGCTACTTGGCACGGGGGGTTTCATTTACCGTTTGAGCTACTTGGCACGGGGGGTTTCATTTACCGTTTGAGCTACTTGGGCTACTGCACGGGGGGTTTCATTTACCGTTTGAGCTACTTGGCACGGGGGGTTTCATTTACCGTTTGAGCTACTTGGCACGGGGGGTTTCATTTACCGTTTGAGCTACTTGGCACGGGGGGTTTCATTTACCGTTTGAGCTACTTGGCACGGGGGGTTTCATTTACCGTTTGAGCTACTTGGCACGGGGGGGTTTCATTTACCGTTTGAGCTACTTGGCACGGGGGGTTTCATTTACCGTTTGAGCTACTTGGCACGGGGGGTTTCATTTACCGTTTGAGCTACTTGGCACGGGGGGTTTCATTTACCGTTTGAGCTACTTGGCACGGGGGGTTTCATTTACCGTTTGAGCTACTTGCACGGGGGGTTTCATTTACCGTTTGAGGCTACTTGGCACGGGGGGTTTCATTTACCGTTTGAGCTACTTGGCACGGGGGGTTTCATTTACCGTTTGAGCTACTTGCACGGGGGGTTTCATTTACCGTTTGAGCTACTTGGCACGGGGGGTTTCATTTACCGTTTGAGCTACTTGGCACGGGGGGTTTCATTTTACCGTTTGAGCTACTTGGCACGGGGGGTTTCATTTACCGTTTGAGCTACTTGGCACGGGGGGGTTTCATTTACCGTTTGAGCTACTTGGCACGGGGGGTTTCATTTACCGTTTGAGCTACTTGGCACGGGGGGTTTCATTTACCGTTTGAGCTACTTGGCACGGGGGGTTTCATTTACCGTTTGAGCTACTTGGCACGGGGGTTTTCATTTACCGTTTGAGCTACTTGGCACGGGGGGTTTCATTTACCGTTGAGCTACTTGGCACGGGGGTTTCATTTACCGTTTGAGCTACTTGGCACGGGGGGGTTTGGTTTCATTTACCGTTTGAGCTACTTGGCACGGGGGGTTTCATTTACCGTTTGAGCTACTTGGCACGGGGGGTTTCATTTACCGTTTGAGCTACTTGGCACGGGGGGTTTCATTTACCGTTTGAGCTACTTGGCACGGGGGGTTTCATTTACCGTTTGAGCTACTTGGCACGGGGGGTTTCATTTACCGTTTGAGCTACTTGGCACGGGGGGTTTCATTTACCGTTTGAGCTACTTGGCGGGGGGTTTCATTTACCGTTTGAGCTACTTGGCACGGGGGGTTTCATTTACCGTTTGAGCTACTTGGCACGGGGGGTTTCATTTACCGTTTGAGCTACTTGGCACGGGGGGTTTCATTTACCGTTTGAGCTACTTGGCACGGGGGGTTTCATTTACCGTTTGAGCTACTTGGCACGGGGGGTTTCATTTACCGTTTGAGCTACTTGGCACGGGGGTTTCATTTACCGTTTGAGCTACTTGGCACGGGGGGTTTCATTTACCGTTTGAGCTACTTGGCACGGGGGGTTTCATTTACCGTTTGAGCTACTTGGCACGGGGGGTTTCATTTACCGTTTGAGCTACTTGGCACGGGGGGTTTCATTTACCGTTTGAGCTACTTGGCACGGGGGGTTTCATTTACCGTTTGAGCTACTTGGCACGGGGGGTTTCATTTACCGTTTGAGCTACTTGGCACGGGGGGTTTCATTTACCGTTTGAGCTACTTGGCACGGGGGTTTCATTTACCGTTTGAGCTACTTGGCACGGGGGGTTTCATTTACCGTTTGAGCTACTTGGCACGGGGGGTTTCATTTACCGTTTGAGCTACTTGGCACGGGGGGTTTCATTTACCGTTTGAGCTACTTGGCACGGGGGGTTTCATTTACCGTTTGAGCTACTTGGCACGGGGGGTTTCATTTACCGTTTGAGCTACTTGGCACGGGGGGTTTCATTTACCGTTTGAGCTACTTGGCACGGGGGGTTTCATTTACCGTTTGAGCTACTTGGCACGGGGGGTTTCATTTACCGTTTGAGCTACTTGGCACGGGGGGTTTCATTTACCGTTTGAGCTACTTGGCACGGGGGGTTTCATTTACCGTTTGAGCTACTTGGCACGGGGGGTTTCATTTACCGTTTGAGCTACTTGGCACGGGGGGTTTCATTTACCGTTTGAGCTACTTGGCACGGGGGGTTTCATTTACCGTTTGAGCTACTTGGCACGGGGGTTTCATTTACCGTTTGAGCTACTTGGCACGGGGGGTTTCATTTACCGTTTGAGCTACTTGGCACGGGGGGTTTCATTTACCGTTTGAGCTACTTGGCACGGGGGGTTTCATTTACCGTTTGAGCTACTTGGCACGGGGGGTTTCATTTACTTTGAGTACTTGGCACGGGGGGTTTCATTTACCGTTTGAGCTACTTGGCACGGGGGGTTTCATTTACCGTTTGAGCTACTTGGCACTTTCATTTACGTTTGAGCTATTGGCAGGGGTTTCATTTACCGTTTGAGCTACTTGGCACGGGGGGTTTCCATTTACCGTTTGAGCTACTTGGCACGGGGGTTTCATTTACCGTTTGAGCTACTTGGCACGGGGGGTTTCATTTACCGTTTGAGCTACTTGGGCACGGGGGGTTTCATTTACCGTTTGAGCTACTTGGCACGGGGGGTTTCATTTACCGTTTGAGCTACTTGGCACGGGGGGTTTCATTTTACCGTTTGAGCTACTTGGCACGGGGGGTTTCATTTACCGTTTGAGCTACTTGGCACGGGGGGTTTCATTTACCGTTGAGCTATTGGCACGGGGGTTTTCATTTACGTTTGAGCTACTTGGCACGGGGGGTTTCATTTACCGTTTGAGCTACTTGGCACGGGGGTTTCATTTACCGTTTGAGCTACTTGGCACGGGGGGTTTCATTTACCGTTTGAGCTACTTGGCACGGGGGGTTTCATTTACCGTTTGAGCTACTTGGCACGGGGGGTTTCATTTACCGTTTGAGCTACTTGGCACGGGGGTTTCATTTACCGTTTGAGCTACTTGGCACGGGGGGTTTCATTTACCGTTTGAGCTACTTGGCACGGGGGTTTCATTTACCGTTTGAGCTACTTGGCACGGGGGGTTTCATTTTACCGTTTGAGCTACTTGGCACGGGGGGTTTCATTTACCGTTTGAGCTACTTGGCACGGGGGGTTTCATTTACCGTTTGAGCTACTTGGCACGGGGGGTTTCATTTACCGTTTGAGCTACTGGCACGGGGGGTTCATTACCGTTTGAGCTACTTGGCACGGGGGGTTTCATTTACCGTTTGAGCTACTTGGCACGGGGGGGTTTCATTTACCGTTTGAGCTACTTGGCACGGGGGGTTTCATTTACCGTTTGAGCTACTTGGCACGGGGGGTTTCATTTACCGTTTGAGCTACTTGGCCTACCGGGCACGGGGTTTCATTTACCGTTTGAGCTACTTGGCACGGGGGGTTTCATTTACCGTTTGAGCTACTTGGCACGGGGGTTTCATTTACCGTTTGAGCTACTTGGCACGGGGGGTTTCATTTACCGTTTGAGCTACTTGGCACGGGGGGTTTCATTTACCGTTTGAGCTACTTGGCACGGGGGGTTTCATTTACCGTTTGAGCTACTTGGCACGGGGGGTTTCATTTACCGTTTGAGCTACTTGGCACGGGGGGTTTCATTTCCGTTTTGAGCTACTTGGCACGGGGGGTTTCATTTACCGTTTGAGCTACTTGGCACGGGGGGTTTCATTTACCGTTTGAGCTACTTGGCACGGGGGGTTTCATTTACCGTTTGAGCTACTTGGCACGGGGGGGTTTCATTTACCGTTTGAGGCTACCTTGGCACGGGGGGTTTCATTTACCGTTTGAGCTACTTGGCACGGGGGGTTTCATTTACCGTTTGAGCTACTTGGCACGGGGGGTTTCATTTACCGTTTGAGCTACTTGGCACGGGGGGTTTTCATTTACCGTTTGAGCTACTTGGCACGGGGGGTTTCATTTACCGTTTGAGCTACTTGGCACGGGGGGTTTCATTTACCGTTTGAGCTACTTGGCAGGGGGGGTTTCATTTACCGTTTGAGCTACTTGGCAGGGGGGGTTTCATTTACCGTTTGAGCTACTTGGCACGGGGGGTTTCATTTACCGTTTGAGCTACTTGGCACGGGGGGTTTCATTTACCGTTTGAGCTACTTGGCAGGGGGGGTTTCATTTACCGTTTGAGCTACTTGGCAGGGGGGTTTCATTTACCGTTTGAGCTACTTGGCACGGGGGGTTTCATTTACCGTTTGAGCTACTTGGCACGGGGGTTTCATTTACCGTTTGAGCTACTTGGCACGGGGGGTTTCATTTACCGTTTGAGCTACTTGGCACGGGGGGTTTCATTTACCGTTTGAGCTACTTGGCACGGGGGTTTCATTTACCGTTTGAGCTACTTGGCACGGGGGGTTTCATTTACCGTTTGAGCTACTTGGCAGGGGGGTTGAATGCGCTCAGCTGTGTGCCTCTGTCTCCCGCACTCCACTCCTCCTCACCGAACCCTCTGGTGCACCTGAGGCCCTCGAACAAGGTGTTCCGCTGCCTCAATGCGCTCCGCTCTGCTGCTCCCTCCCGTTCTCCTCAGCTACCTCACTCTCCTCGTCCTTCCCCTAACATGACACGTGTACTTAAAGCCCAAGAACAGGGTGCTCTACCATGTCAACGCGTCCATATTCCTCTTCCCCTCCCCCTTCCTTCCCTCACTCCCCTCATCCTTCGCCTAACATGGCAGGTGTACCTGAGGCCCCGAACAAGGTGTTCCGCTGCCTCAATGCGCTCAGCTGTGCTGCTTTCTCTCCTTCTCTCCTTACGCCCGTCACCCATCACCCGTCACCCTTCACACCATCTTCTCACCTATCTCGCAGGTGTACTTAAAGCCCAAGAACAAGGTGCTCTACCATGCCAACGCGCTCATATTCCTCGTCCCCTTCCCCCTCCTTCCCTGTTACCTCACAGGTGTACTTAAAGCCCAAGAACAAGGTGTTCTACTACCTCAATGCGCTCGGCCCCTTGACATCCATTGTCATATCGACCATCATCGTTTCAGTTGCTGGACTCAGCACCAAAGGCATTCCCACGGTGAGTGAGCACCAAAGGCATTCCCACGGTGAGTGAGCACCAAAGGCATTCCCACGGTGAGTGAGCACCAAAGGCATTCCCACGGTGAGTGAACACCAAAGGCATTCCCACGGTGAGTGAGCACCAAAGGCATTCCCACGGTGAGTGAGCACCAAAGGCATTCCCACGGTGAGTGAGCACCAAAGGCATTCCCACGGTGAGTGAGCGCCAAATGCATTCCCACGGTGAGTGAGCACCAAAGGCATTCCCACGGTGAGTGAGCACCAAAGGCATTCCCACGGTGAGTGAGCACCAAAGGCATTCCCACGGTGAGTGAGCACCAAAGGCATTCCCACGGTGAGTGAGCACCAAAGGCATTCCCATGGTGAGTGAGCACCAAATGCATTCCCACGGTGAGTGAGCGCCAAAGGCATTCCCACGGTGAGTGAGCACCAAAGGCATTCCCACGGTGAGTGAGCACCAAATGCATTCCCACGGTGAGTGAGCACCAAATGCATTCCCACGGTGAGTGAGCACCAAATGCATTCCCACGGTGAGTGAGCACCAAAGGCATTCCCACGGTGAGTGAGCACCAAAGGCATTCCCACGGTGAGTGAGCACCAAAGGCATTCCCACGGTGAGTGAGCACCAAATGCATTCCCACGGTGAGTGAGCACCAAAGGCATTCCCACGGTGAGTGAGCACCAAAGGCATTCCCACGGTGAGTGAGCACCAAATGCATTCCCACGGTGAGTGAGCACCAAATGCATTCCCACGGTGAGTGAGCACCAAAGGCATTCCCACGGTGAGTGAGCACCAAAGGCATTCCCACGGTGAGTGAGCACCAAAGGCATTCCCACGGTGAGTGAGCGCCAAATGCATTCCCACGGTGAGTGAGCACCAAAGGCATTCCCACGGTGAGTGAGCACCAAAGGCATTCCCACGGTGAGTGAGCACCAAAGGCATTCCCACGGTGAGTGAGCACCAAAGGCATTCCCACGGTGAGTGAGCACCAAAGGCATTCCCATGGTGAGTGAGCACCAAATGCATTCCCACGGTGAGTGAGCGCCAAAGGCATTCCCACGGTGAGTGAGCACCAAAGGCATTCCCACGGTGAGTGAGCACCAAATGCATTCCCACGGTGAGTGAGCACCAAATGCATTCCCACGGTGAGTGAGCACCAAATGCATTCCCACGGTGAGTGAGCACCAAAGGCATTCCCACGGTGAGTGAGCACCAAAGGCATTCCCACGGTGAGTGAGCACCAAAGGCATTCCCACGGTGAGTGAGCACCAAATGCATTCCCACGGTGAGTGAGCACCAAAGGCATTCCCACGGTGAGTGAGCACCAAAGGCATTCCCACGGTGAGTGAGCACCAAATGCATTCCCACGGTGAGTGAGCACCAAATGCATTCCCACGGTGAGTGAGCACCAAATGCATTCCCACGGTGAGTGAACACCGATGTATGCGATTGGACTTTGATCTGCCGTTCTTTTTTTTCATGGTACACCGTCTGTTTCGGTGCGGCAACTTAACCTCCTCATACCTCCTCATACCTCCACATGCTAGCGTCGCCATGGGGCTGCACGGAACATTGGTACCGAACATTGCTGCACCTCGTCCATCTGGTACCTCACCTTCACGCCGGACCATGTGGATGAGGGAAGGAACTTTTTTTTTTTTTTTTTTTTTTAATTAATTAATTTATTTAAAATTTAGCCTTTCACACCTCCTCCGCCCTCCCCTTTTTCCCCCTCTCCAGTTTGGCAAGATAGGCACCAGGCTGCACAAGGCATCGTCCATCCTGCACCTCAACTTCTCTCCACCTGCTCTGTCCCCCTTCGCCGCTCTGCCCTGTGCCGCTCTGCTGTGTGCTGCTCTGCCCTGTGCCGCTCTGCCATGTGCCCTCTCCACAGATCGGCAAGATAGGCACCGGGCTGCACGGGGCGTCGTCCATCTCATACCTCAACTTCTCGTCGGAATTTGTGGCAGATGTGGCCACCGTTGGCTTCATCGCCTGCCTCGTTTGCCTCGCGGTAAGCGCTTTGTCTGTCACGTCTGCCTCGCGGTAGGCTGCCCTGCTTGCTCCTTTTTTGCTGTTCCCTTTGCTCCGAGCAAGCGTCTCGCCCATCTGGCATCTCACCTTCTCGCCGGACTATGTGGCCGATGTGGCCACTGTTGGCTTCATCGCCTGCCTCGTCTGCCCCGTGGTGAGCTGTCGTGTCTGCTTGGTCCTAGCTGTCCGTTTGGCTCCCAGTATGGTTCTTATCCACTGCATCTCGTACCTCATCTTCTCACCGGACCATGTGGCCGATGTGGCCACTGTTGGCTTCATCGCCTGTCGTGTCTGCCTCGCAGTGAGCTGAGCTGTCATGTCTGCTTGGTCCTAGCTGTCCGTTTGGCTCCCAGTACGGTTCGTATCCACTGCATCTCGTACCTCACCTTCTCGCCAGACTATGTGGCCGATGTGGTCACTGTTGGCTTCATCGCCGGCCGTGTCTGCCTCGCAGTGAGCTGAGCTGCCGTGTCTGCCTCGCAGTGAGTGCTTTGTGTCTCTCGCGGTGGGATGCGTCCTTATCTCTTCCCTTTGCCCCCTTCCTCGTGAATCCTCTTGTTTGTTTTCTCTCCCTCTTTCCTTTGAACTCCCATCAGTCTTTTCCTCTCCTTCATCCTCATCCTCCCATCGGTCTCCCAATCCTCATTCTAGCTCTTTTCTTTCTTTCTTCATCCTCTCTCTCCTCTTTCCTTCACTCCTCTTTCCTTTTTTCTTTTCTCTCCCTTTTTCCGGCTCTCGTTGCAGGAATCAGTGGGCATCGCCCGCACTTTTGCCAGCCTATATGGTTACCACATCGACGGTAACAAGGAGGTGCGCTGGTTACCACTTCGATGGTAACACTAGTAACATTCCTTCCATTTTGCCTTCCCTTCGGAAACCAGTCGTCCGTACCTGCCGGTTTTACGCCACAACCTGACTCCTCTTGTGGCGTCACCCTCGTGTCCCACCATCTCACTAACTTGTGAACCTTTTTCGCACTCCACCCTGTACAAATGGTGGCCTTCGGTTCAATGAATCGGGTCAATCCCTTTCGAGTCGACTCAGAAGTCACCCTTGTTGTGTGGCAGAACTTGTGCCTCACCATCTCACTCTTCTAGTTCTTTTCTCACTCTTATACTTATTTTCTCACTCTTCTACTTCTTTTCTCACTCTTCTACTACTTTTCTCACTCTTCTACTTCTTTTCTCACTCTTCTACTTCTTTTGTCACTCTTCTACTTCTTTTCTCACTCGTCTACTTCTTTTCTCACTCTTCTACTTCTTTTCTCACTCTTCTACTTCTTTTCTCACTCTTCTACTTCTTTTCTCACTCTTCTACTTCTTTTCTCACTCTTCTACTTCTTTTCTCACTCTTCTACTCCTTCCGCTTCAGATGGTGCCCTTCGGTTCAATGAATCTGGTCAATCCCTTTGAGTCAAATTTTATGCCCTTGTTGCTTTACAGATGGTGGCCTTCGGTTCGATGAATCTGGTCGGCTCCTTCACCTCCTGCTACGTCGCAACAGGTGAGGCAGTATGGCGAAACCAAGTGAAGTGCGGTGCGGTGCAATGCAGTGTGGTGCCGTGTGGTGAAACGCAGTGCGGTTCAGAACAGATGTAGATTGAAGCTGCAATCAAGGTACAAGTGCACGTGTATCAGCCAATCTAGGCTCTCACTTCACTCCATCACCGAACTTTGAAGTCCCCCCTCCCCTCTCCACATCCCCCCCTCCCCCCCCTCCCCTTCCTTTCATCCCCTTATCCCTCCTCCCCTCCCCTCGCCCCCCTTCCCTCACCCCCTCACCTCCTCATCCCTTCTCTCGCCCACCCCACCAGGGTCCTTCTCTCGCACGGCCGTGAACATGCTGGCAGGCGCACGGACCGCGGTCACTCAAGTCATCATGTCTGGCCTCATTCTGCTCGTGCTGCTCGTAGCCGCCCCACTCTTCAAGAACGTCCCCAATGTGAGGAAGAGGGTGGCCATTTCTCCCGCCCTCTCTTGCACTCGTCGCTCACTCAGCTCATCATGTCGGCCTCATGCTGCTCATGCGGCTCATGCGGCTCATGCTGCTCGTGCTGCTCATGCTGCTCGTGCTGCTCATGCTGCTCATGCTTCTCGTGCTGCTCATGCTGCTGTGCTGCTCATGCTGCTCGTGCTGCTCATGCTGCTCATGCTGCTCATGCTGCTCGTGCTGCTCGTGCTGCTCATGCTGCTCGTGCCATGCCCAAGTCATCATGCCCAAGTCATCATGCCCAAGTCATCATGCCCAAGTCATCATACCCATCGTGCTCCCCCTTCCATCCTCTTTTCATCCCCGTCCTCCCCCGTCCTCCCCCGTCCTCCCCCGTCCTCCCCCGTTCATCTCCTTTGCACCTCCGTTCACCCCTGTTAACCCCCATCCCATTTCCTCCCCTCTCAGTGCATCATGGGTACTGTCCTCGCCAATGCTGCCCTCAATATGGCACCCGCCAAGCTTCATTGCCCTTCTGACAGTCAACGTTTCCCCTTTCTTTCCCCCCACCCGCCCTTGCCTCCCTGTCTCAGTGCGTCGTGGGTGCTGTCATCGCCAACGCTGCCCTCAACTTGGTAAGCTCCCTGCGATCCGCACGCAACTCCCCCTGGAAGGGGATGGGAAGGGGTTGGGAAGGGGACGGGAAGGGGATGGGAAGGGGAGTGTTTTTCCCGCGACTTTCGCGGCTGGAAAGAGTGTCCAAGTGTTCCTGTCGTGCTGCGCGTTGAGCCCCTTTCCTTTGCCTCCTTTCATTTTCCCCCCTCGAGAGCCTTCTTCGCTGTAGTAGGCTTGAAGATATGGGCACATTAATGGTGGCAACGAGGCCAAGGATTTGCAGGCCATTGGCGGTGTAGGGAAGGGGATGGGGAAGGGGATGGGGAAGGGGATGGGAAGGGGATGGGGAAGGGGATGGGGAAGGGGATGGGGAAGGGGATGGGGAAGGGGATGGGGAAGGGGATGGGGAAGGGGATGGGGAAGGGGATGGGGAAGGGGATGGGGAAGGGGATGGGGAAGGGGATGGGGAAGGGGATGGGGAAGGGGATGGGGAAGGGGACGGGAAGGGGACGGGAAGGGGACGGAAGGGGTTGAAACGGGGTAAGCTGCCCTCACATGGCAAGCTGCCCTCAACATGGTTTTCTCGCTGCTCTCCTTCCCTCTTCCCCGGACCCTGCGCGCGCTGCGCCTCCACATCTGCCTCCTGGGGCTGCTGCTTCCCTCATTCTCTCCTCCCCCAACTTCCCCCATCCCCTCCTGGCAGCTTGACTTCCACGCCGCCCGGGCTCTCTGGAAGGTGGACCAGATGGACTTTGCTTTTGAGTCGACTCAAAAGGTGGACCAGATGGACTTTCTGGATGTCGGGCTGCTTCCTCGCCATCCTCTTCGGCTCGCCAGAGATCAGTCTCCTCGTTGCCATCCTCCTCTCGCTCATCAAGATCCTCCTGCGCCCGCTGGGGCCCTTCCCCTCTCCCCCACCCCCCTTGGCAGCTTGACTTCCATGCTGCTTGGTCTCTGTGGAAAGTCGACAAGATGGATTTCCTCGTCATGTCGGGCTGCTTCCTCGCCATCCTCTTCGGCTCCCCCGAGATCGGTCTCCTCGTTGCCATCCTGCTCTCACTCATCAAGATCCTCCTGCGCTCGCTGCGCCCCCACATCCGCCTGCTCGGGCTGCTCCCCAACGCCGCCGCCACGGCCGTGAGCGTGCTGCAGTTCCCCAACAGCACCTTGTGCGAGGGCATTGTCATGCTGCGAATTGAGTCGCCGCTGTACTTCCCCGGGGCGAATTTCGTGCGGCAGCGGGTGAAGAAGCTGTGCGACGCGTACGCCAGGGGATACCAGCAGCCAGTCAAGGTGAGCGATAAAGGAGCGTGCTACAGTTGGCCAGGGTGAGAGTGTCTGCTTGGGCTGCTCCCCAATGCGTCCGCTGAGGCGGTGAGTGTGCTGCAGGTCCCCAACGCCACGCTCTGCGAGGAGTCTATTTTTTAGGCGCCTCAAAAATAGACTCCTCACGCGTGCTGCAGTTCCCCAACGCCACGCTCTGCGAGGAGATCGTGAATCGTGATGCTTGGAGTAGAGTCGCTCCTGTACTTTCCCCGGGCCGAATTCGTGCAGCCGCTGAAACTCTGGTTCAGCGGGTGAGCGGGTGAGCGGGTGAGAGGGTGAGCGGGTGGGCGGGTGAGAGGGTGAGCGGGTGAGCGGGTGAGCGGGTGAGAGGGTGAGCGGGTGAGCGGGTGGGCGGTGAGCGGGTGAGCGGGTGATAGGGTGAGCGGTGAGCGGGTGAGCGGGTGAGCGGGTGGGCGGGTGGGCGGGGTGGGCGGGTGAGCGGGTGAGCGGGTGAGAGGGTGAGAGGGTGAGAGAGTGAGTGGGTGGGCGGGTGAGCGGGTGAGCGGGTGAGCGGGTGAGCATGTCCGTGGAACAGGTCAGACGTGCTTGGCATTGATGTGATGGCTACCGAGGCTTTGAGGGACTCGAGTGACCAAAGCTCTTGGATCTTCATTTTACAGACAAGCCCACCCCTCCCGTCCTTGTACAACTACCTCTTCCCTCCCCTGCTCCGTACCCCTCCCCATCCTCCTCCCTCCTCCATTCCGTTCAGCACTGCTCGTGGACCTGTCAGTCATGCACGGCATTGACGTGACGGCCATAGAGGATATGAGGGACCTGCCTAAGTTACTAGTACATTGATGAAGACGCACCTCCCGACCCCCTGCTTGTCTCCTTTTGGCAGCACTGCTCGTGGACCTGTCAGTCATGCACGACATTGACGTGAGAGCCATTGAGGCCGTGTGGACCTGCCTCTGTGACTCATGCCAACCCCTTTCCCGGTCACCCTCCCCGCCCCCTTTCGCTCCCTCTCTTCCTCTTTCACAGCACTGCGCGCTGGACGTGTCAGTCGTGCACAACATTGACGTCACGGCCGTCGAGGCAATGAGGGACCAACCTATGTGGTGCATTGTTATAGAGGCATCTCAGTCACTACATACTGCAATGAGGGACCATCATCTCCGTACGCTCCCTCCTCCTTGTCCCTCCCTTGGCAGCACTGCGTGTTGGACCTCTCAGTCATGCATGACATCGATGTGACGGCCATCGAGGCAATGAGGGATCTGCACCGCGACTTGACACAGACTGGCATTCAGGTGAGCTGACCTGGCATTCGGGTGTGATTAGGCTCTGCCAACTGTGGGGCTCACACCTTCCCGAGCTGGGAAAGATTGGGCAGCAGTCGCTCGCTCCATGGCTCTTATGCAATGAGCTGCCTCGAAACACAGCCCTGTCCCTTTCTCCCCCACCACACCCTCGTCGCCTTTCCCGCGTCTCACCCCTGTTTTGAGGCGCCTCAAAATAGGAGTCTAGTTTTGAGGCGCCTCAAAACTAGGTCCCATTCTCCCCCACCACACCCTCGTCGCCTTTCCCACGTCTCACCCTTGTTTTGAGGCGCCTCAAAATAGGAGTGCCAGTGCCGCCTCTCACCCTTGTCCCTTCACCCTCCAGCTATGCGTGGCCAGTGCCAGCAGGGACGTGCTCCGCTATACTTTTGACGCTCAACTCCCTGGCTTACATAGGCGAGCAGTGGCTCTTGGTCACCCCTGCTCCCTTTCATTCCCTCCCCTACTGCTGTTCCTCCCCCTCCCCCCCCCCCCATTGCAATCTCCTTGCCATGTTGCCCCTGCAGCTGTGTCTGGCCACCGTCAACACGGACGTGCTAAGGAAGATGTTAGATGCTCAGCTGCTAGCAGAGATGGGCGAGCAGTGGCTGTTTGTCACTCTGTGTTCACCCACCTCTCTCCCCGCCTCCCCGCCCCCTCGCCCCGACAATCCCTTGCAACCACTTCCCTGCAGCTGTGTCTGGCCAGCGCCAACAGGGACGTGCTGAGGAAGATGTTTGACGCCCAGCTCTTGGCTGAGATCGGGGAGCAGTGGCTCTTCGTCACTCCTGCCGATGCCGTCAAGCTGTGCCGCGCTGTGGCGCTCTCACAACCCGCTGCTAAGGAGAGTGAACAGCTGCTAACATCTGTGGAGACTTACGATATCTAAAGCGGTGGCAGCAGCAGCAGCTGTAGCAGCAGGGGGGATGGCGGAGAGCAGTGGCTACTTTTCGTGTCAAGCCAATTGAGACAAGTTTTGGCACAGCGTGGCTCTCTCGCTTTTGGTACTTATGCATGGGAGTGATATGTGTCTGTGTAATGTACGCAGTGTTAATTACTAAGTTACGTATGATTTTGTTCTACGAAATATTAACACAAAGGTAGTTTAAATACTTTTTGTGGATGGATAGGTAGTAATTTCTATACAGCAGGCGTTCTGTGACAGTATGTATTCATAGGAATCATTACCAGAGCCCAGAGGTTATGATGTACAGTGTTCCACCAAGCATTCTCTTACCCAAACAAGAAGTATGGTAGCTGAAGCTCTCATATTTTAATATAACTAGCTGTACAAGTGCTACACCTGCTAGAAGCATCATCTCCAGGGGTTTCAAACCAGACACTCGGAAACACAGCCTTTCCCATCACCAGCCATCTAGAGGGATTCAAATCGAATCAGTCCTGCGGATGCCAGTACCCGCATGCGATCTGTGGCTCGGCACCCGACTACTTATCGAGGGGCTTCAGGTCCGAGGCGATCGGGAGCACCACGGGCTTGCCATCGTCCCCCTCCACCGCCACCCCACGCGTGTACGTCACCAACGGATCCATCTCGCTCTTGCTGAACGGATCCCGCGGCACGCCCGCGCCCGCGTTCGGCGGCGCCTTGGAAATATCCGGCGGGTTGTTGATCACCACCCACCCGCCCAGCAGCCCGCCCAGGAGCAAAAATGTGAGTCCCGCGAGGAAGGGGAATCGGATGGTCAAGGGATCGACTCCCAGCTGGCCGAAAACGCCCTTCCCCGTAAGGACTTCCATCACGAGCGCGCTCGCGAAGCCGACCATCGCGAGGCGACCCACGCTGAGCTCCTGAAACTGCCCGAACCCGAACCACGTGCCTGGGCCGCCCAGCCCGAACCCAGGATTCACGGAGGTTGAACTCGGTGCGGAGGGCTCGGCGGGTGTGGAGGATTCCGTGGATTGCGCGCGAACAGACAGCCGCGTGACGACGGGAGATGATATCGATGATTGGGAAGGGGTCGACGAAACGCGGTACACTGGAAACCGAGAGCCGCTGACAAGATTTGGGCTGGAGAGAGGGCGGCTGGGGGTTGCGTTGAGGCTCTGAACTCGCAGTGCTGCGGCGCTAGCTGATGCGGTGGAAGAAGCGGCGAGAGTAGCCATTGGTGGGACGCGGAGTAGCTTCAAAGGATGGATGAAGTATTTCGAGGTGAGTGAGTCGCGAGGATTGCTCAGACGAGATGCCTACGAGCGCCACGAGGTTTCGGGAAGTCAAGTGACGAGTCTGGTGTAGATATTGTGTGTTTCATGGAGGTATGAATTTATGCATTGCTGGAAGAGCAAGGCGCTGGGCAGGAATGACGCCGATTCGAAGCGCGTGTCGGTCTGCCCACACGTCACCCTGAAAAGGCCATGGGTCACGTCGGTCAATGCTGAAGTGGCCGGTGGGCCACGCAAAGCTGTGCGATGTGGAGCAGCGAGAGCGAGCCACGCTGCACACGAAGTGCACCTGGTGAAGCGAACTCCACGTGGACACAGCATGTCGCTCGCACCGCCAAGCCCGGTTTGAGGGCGTGGGGGAATGTTTTATCGAGAGGCCGTGGTCACCAAAAATAACCACAACATACAGCTTGTACATAATTATAAGGCCTCGCATAGAACAAGCCAAGCTTCACCTTTTTATAGGCTTGAACGCAAAATGTGTTGGCTCGGTGATTCGGTGTACCTTGAAAACCAAATGTTCGTGTTAGTAGAACATGAAAAGGTTCAATACCCTACATAGACAGCTGCATTTACAACATAGCAGTCGTCATTACGATCACCAAGTGCTTCAAGTGCCACCCCGCTTGAACAGATAAGGCCACCATCCACCACTTCAACTGCAATAATCTCACCACTGGCAGCACAGTAGAATTTATGGAAGGCATGATCGCTTTTGCGTGAAATCCAAATGTCAGCTTGCATGCAAATGCTGTAAACGAGTGAAAGCTATGGTGTGAATTCAAGGAGGAAGGGTGAGGAGGAACACGAGAGGGGGCACTCACTAAAGGAAGACTACTTGGGGCACTGAAACTGAAGACCCTTGGGCACTTTCTAAAAGAACGCTCACTAGATGCAGGGGAAAACGGGGGACACTCACTGACTAGGGCACACTCACTAGGGGAAGACGGCCTTGACTTGGGCAAGATCGAGGTCCGCCTGAAGCTCCCTGGGCACTCCTAGCCGCACCTGAAGCTTCATCTGCTGCCACGACACACCTGGGATGGCACCTGACGGGTGCACGGAGGAGGGGAGGGGAAAAAATCACCTGAGGCTTCATCTGCTCCCACGACACACCTGGGATGGGATGGCACCTGATGGATGCACGGAGGAGGGGAGGGGAAAAAATCACCTGAAGCTTCATCTGCTCCCACGACACACCTGGGATGGCACCTGACTGGTGAGTGGAGGGGAGGGAAGAAAACCACCTGAAGCTTCAGGACACTACCCTCCGGAACACTGCCCTCCGGAACACTACCCTCCGGGACACTACCCTCCGGGACACTACCCCCCGGGACACTACCCGGCGGGACACTACCCTCCGGGGCACTACCCCCCGGGACACTACCCTCCGGGACACTACCCTCCGGGACAATAGCCCCAGGACACTACCCTCCGGGACAATACCCCCCAGGACACTACCCTCCGGGACGATACCCCCCGGGACACTACCCCCTGGGACACTACCCGGCGGGACACTACCCGGCGGGACACTACCTGGCAGGACACTACCCCCCACCCGGGACACTCCCCCCCAGGACACTACCCCCCAAGACAGTACCCCCCGGGGCACTACCCCCCAGGACACTACCCTCCGGGACACTACCCCCCGGGACACTACTCCCCGGGACACTACCCTCCGGGTACTACTCTTTGGGACACAAAGTGAAGCACGGAGTGGTCTGGAGGCAGTGCTGGGGGTGCAGGCATGGGAGGCGGTGCCCCTGCAGTACAGGGAGAGGTGGGATCTCAAGCTCAGGTTCATCTGCAACTATGGTGCCTCGTATGTTGAGAGATTTGATTCACACATAGTGGAGGAGATCTGTGATGGGGTTGTAGGGATGGGAGGCAGTGCAGGGGGTGCAGGCATGGGAGGCGGTGCCCCTGCAGTACAGGGAGAGGCTGGACTTGGAGCTCATAGTCATCTGCAACCATGGACTCTCTGCAAGATTTCTTGTAGGTTTAAAAGCACTCCGGTACAGATGAGTTCGGTTCAGTTCGGTTGACCACTCTACATTGGAAGAAGCTCCTCGTGCAACCCAGTTTTCTCACCAATCTCGCCTTCCTGGCTCTAGCACCGGGCTGGAGCACTGGGCTGTAGCATTGGGCTGTAGCATCGGGCTGTAGCACCGGGCTCTACCCCCTCCGGACACCACTTCCCCAGACACCGTCCCCCGGGACAGTGGAGTGATGGGAAAGAAGGAAGGCGATTGGGACGAGTGGAGGTGTGAGGGGAGGAGGAATGCGTTTCATGTCGACACTATACGCTTTGGTATCACTTCTGCATCTCACCTCGATGCCTGATGGTGACGTTGACATGCCGTAAAAGGAAGACCTGGCAAGAGGCAAGCTCTACCTGTGCTAACGGAGTGAGGCTCACCCTACCCAAGACACACCCTTACCTGTGCGGAAGGCGGAGATGGAGTTGGAAGAGATGGCGTTTCTACGGAACGACAGAAGGGGAGGAGAGACCCTACCAGAGCAAGACCGGAAAGGACAGATAACGTTGGAGAACGTAAGACACACCCTTACCTGTGCGGAAGGCCGGGATGGAGTTGGAAGTGATGGCGTTTCGACACGCCTTTATTGCTGCCTTCGTCACATTCTGCCTGCCACGTGGCATGAGGGGATTGGAAGGACAGGAGACTAAGGAATCAGCTGTGAATATAGTGGAAAGTTCCAGGAAGCAGTACCCGCACTATAATGGACCTCCACAATAATGGTTAACAGCAAGCCATGGCTGCATTGCATTGGTCATGATAATGGCAAGCGATAACGAAAGGTAACTCGCTCGCATCCGTGCTGGTCGGTGCCACGTGTTAACATCTACCGAGACGCACCCGTGCTGGTCGTATCCCACGCCCATCTCCACGAAAAGCACTTTCATGCGACTCCCCTCAGTTGCCTGCGACGCCCCTGCGACGTCGCTCGCCTCCGCCATGGCAGTAATTCGTCGCCGAGAAACGGACGAATCCCTACGCGATACCTCGGGCGATAGTCGCACAGGCGCTCGCAGAGGCGCAGAGAGCGGAGCGGAGACTAGCAGATGCCTCGACGCATCAACGGAGACGCTAGATTTGAGGTTCCTTATAACTGGACCGTGTGGATTCACGGCGAACCTATGGCTACTGGTGAGAGGAGAGAGGGAGATGCGATGGGACACAGCGAGGAGAGGCATTGCCTGGTCGCCTGATCGCCTGATGACCTGATCGCCTGATGACGTGATCGCCTGACCGCCTGGGTGCCTGACTGTCTGCACGCGACAACTAGACCGACTGGCTTGGTTGATTCGAGTTCGACGACTAACAGCTTCCGATCGCTTGCTTAGCGACTGTTGAACCGAATCAAAGACAGCTCCTCAGACCGGGAAGAATGCGCAGCGCGGGGCTAACGCGTGCAGCGTAGCCGCGAGATTTAGGATGCTCGGAAATCTTAAATTCTTGGGAATGCCGACATCCGCGGTGGTCATTCACATTTCAGAAATCAATTGGATTGGATTCCTGTGGTGCGTTTTCGGAGATTTTCACTGTACAGTAAATGAGCAGAATCGATTCACTGTAGCTCCTGTATCTTAAATGAAGCATTCACAGGCGAGAACATGCAAAGCAAATCAGCACTCCTCGCTTTTGCTCTATTCACTTTCTCCTCAGCGGTAGGCTGGTAGCGCTACCTGTTAGCCGCAACTACTCTCTTTTTGCCTTCCCAATCCTCACACTCTCGGCTATCGCGCCACTCGTCGCTGCCGCGTTTCCCGCCGCTCTTCGTCGCCCGCTTCTGCTTGCCACAATCGAGAGCGCTGCTGCTGTCGATTGCTTCCTGTCCAGAACTCAACCAAACGCACGACGCCTCGTCTCGTTTCCGCTTCGCCGTTCCGCGGTAGCTCCGCAGCGCTGCTTCCGTAGCTCCGCCGTCGCCCCTCTCCTTCGCGCCTCGCCTCTTTTCCCGCGATGATATCGGATAGGATCTCCAAGGCTCTACTCATAGCGTGCGGAGTAGGCACAATAGCGGGTATGTCGATAACGGGTTCGCACGCCAACGCATATACTTCTCTCCGTTGTTGTTAGCTGTTTTCCTCGCGCCAAGAACGTGCCCTTGCTTGCGAGAAAAGCATCGATGTCTGCGAGCGCCCTTCATCTTTGCACTCAGCCAGCCGTTCCTTGCCCCGTCTATTCCGTACCTCCACTGCACATTCTTACCCACTCCTCATGCGCTCTCCGATCCTCCTTTCGCCCCCACTTCCCCTCTTCCTCCCCTGCACCCCACTTCCCCCTTCCTCCCTGTGTCCCCTGCCGTTCCCTCTCGTCCCTTCACACTTCCCCATTCCTCCTTTCCTCCCCACTCCCCCCTCACCCTAGTCCTTCATCTGCTTCTCTCCCCCCCCCCCCCCCTTCCCCCCCCCCCCCTTTCCACATCCACCATCATCGATTTCCTTCCATTACTCCTCCCCTTCACCATTCGTCTCACCCTTCTTTCCCCACCCTCCTCTGCCCCTTCTCTGCTCGACGCTCACCAGGCCTGCTGCTGACATCAGCGGATCGCAAGGCCCAATCGCGAGCGCAGGGGCCAGTGTCGGTTGAAGAGAAGCTGAAGCAACTCGATAAGAGCATGTCCCGATAGCGTGTGCTGAGCAACTCGATAAGAGCATGTTCCGAAGGGGGGTGGGGATAGGGGGGCGGGTGGGGCTGTCAGAAGTAGATTTGGTGGTTAGCAGGTTAGCACCTCCATAAGAGCATGTCCCAATAGGGGTGTATCTCAGAAGCAGTTTTTCTCAAGTGGGGTAGAAGTAGCTCTGGCGCTTTAGCTCGGGGAGTTGCAGCATGACTGCTAGAGGCACACACAGGGAGAGTAACCTCCTGCCAACCTGAGTGAGTGACGGTGCTTTGGATTGGATGGTGGCGCAATAATGTGGCCAGGCCACTGTGTCGGAGATCCGCTGGGGTTCCCCTTGAGATCCTCGGGGAAGGGCCACAGGTGCAGAGCCTGGGGGGTTATGGGCGCACTTACCCGCTACGGAACACGCCCTTTTAACTTAGAGGTTGATGACAGAGTTCTGACACACTGAACAATAAACCCCAAGCCTAGTGGAAGTCTTTCCACAGAATCCCACCCTCAATCAACAATTTAACTCCTGAAAGGTGATCAACACCGGATCTCAGCATGTTGTGCTTGTGTGTGCCATGCCCATAGGCAGTATTGAATTAGTAGTCAAATGCCTAATTATTATGATTCCTTGTCATGATATTTAGTTGCAATGAAAGAGAGTGACCTTTCCTTACGGTATGTTATTTCGAAGAGGCTTTTATCCTGACCATTCAACCTCCTCCAACATCCCAACCCAAACCCAGCCCACAATCCCTCTCCGCCCGTCTCACCAACTACTTTTCGTGTGTGCTACCTCGTCGCATTCCATCGACGGGCGAGCCGCGCGCATTCCGGTCTGATATCTTGATCGGACGGTCCAGATTTCGCCGGCAATGGCGGGCGGTTTGGCAGCGCTAGCGGAGGTATCGCCGGCGAAAGATAAGATCGTATTGGATGAGGAGGATTGGAACGCGATTCTCGACGCCATGCGACCGTACGAGAACCGTACGGCCGATGACACGACGAACCGTACGCCGAGTCGTACGCCGAATGGTACGACGGCGGCAAAGAGACGGAACGGCGCGACGAGTGTCATCTGCAAAGCGACTAGCGCCGTTACGAAGACACTCGGATCGATCACTGTAACGAAAACGAGCAGTACAACGAAGAAGAGCGTTATAACGAGGACAACTGAGGCAGAGGCGGCGTCCCCGCCGTCTACCAAGCGCCGAAAGCTCGATAGCGCAGGCAAGGATAAGCCAAGGAGCGCCAAGGGTGACGGAGAGGAGAGGGAAGCAGAATCAGCGGCAGCGAGAATAAGCAATGAGGAGGAGAAGAAGCAGGGAGAGAAAATCAAGCAGAGCGTGTGGTGGTCGTTTAAGCTGCCGGAAGTGAGTCTCAAGGACCCCAGTAAGCCGCTAATGAGTGAGCTTGTAACGCGGAAAATCGGCGGAGGTTCAGGGGCGAAGGGCGGGGGTTTTGGGGAGAAGAACGGGCGCTTGAGGGGGGAGGGGGGGAATGCGGCGCATGCGGCACATGCGGCGGTTAGGTTTAGCGCGGAGGAAACGGAAGGGATGATGAACGGGTATGCAGCAGAGGAAGCAGGGATTGCCGCGGAGGGAGGGGGGGCAGGAATGGCATCCTCTGTAGCGGCACCGTCTGTAGCGGCACCGTCTGTAGCGGCGACACACAAGAGGAAACTGCCGACTTGGGCAGATGCCAAGGGGGCGTTGGACGTGCTGAAGAAGGGCGCGGATCAGGTGGTGGTGAACAATAGTGTCAAGGCGGGAGACTTCTCGTTCCGAAGAGACGTGCACGGTGCGCTGGGTGGTTAGTGTGTTGGCTGTTCAGTGTGTTGACTGACAGGGTAGGGTTTCAGGTTTAGGGTGCAACACGGGCGTGGATCAGGTGGTTGTGAACAATAGCATTGAGGCTGGATACTTCTCATTCCGAAGAGACGTGCAAGGTGCGTGGGGTGGTTAGGGTGCTGGCTAAGGGGGTTGGGGTTTGGGGTTTTTGGGAGCAACAATCGCCGGCCAGATGGTTGTGAACAATCGCCGGGCTCGAGACTTGTTGTTTCGGGGAGACGTGCGACGTGCGCTGGATGGTGGGATGGGGTTCAGGGAGTGGAAATGTTGAACAAGTGCATTGTTGTGCACAGGGGGGATCGCGTTGTTGCCAAGGATTTCAAAGCTTCACACTTGTCCTTCCGAAGTGACGTCCCTGCTGCACTGACGATTGATTAATACAAACAAGAGGTGCGTGAGGCTGAGCACCAGGTGGTAGAAGGTGCGGCAAGGAGAGGGGGTCTCAAAACCATTGTTACAGGGTGAGAGAAGGGGAGGGGGTGGTGAAGCAAGGGAATCACAGAAAAAAAATCTCTCCAATTCTCCATACCTAGTATTTTAGTTGGCAGAAAACATACCCTTGAAAGTGAAAGGTCTTGGGTTCAAATCCGCCCACCGCCCACCGCCCACCGCCCGCGTGCTTGTCGGGTGTTGTAACCTCCCTTTAATGCCCTTCCCCACACACTCTTCTCTCCCCTCCCCCTGTGCAGCAACATCGCTCTTCCCCTCCATCCCAGTGCTGGCCCACGACATCTACGCTCGCTTCCCTGGGAAGGTGGTATACCGCAGGGAGCGCAAGGGGGTGGAGGCAGCCGCGAGGGAGCTGTACTCGGCTATCAAAAACGGTAAGCTATGGGTTGGTATGCCTGTATTGAGCGGGGAGGAGTTCGGGTTGTAAACTGCAGGGAACGCAAGGGAGTGGAGGTAGCAGCGAGCAAGCTGTACTCAGCTATCAAGAACGGTAGGCTAGAGGGAGGATGGGCATGGTAGGCTGGACTATAGGGCTCTAGATGCTGTGTGTTGTGCTGTGGATCGCAGGGAGCGCAAACGGTGGAGGCAGCCTCGAGGGAGCTGTACTCAGCTATCAAGAATGGTTGGCTCGAAGTATTCACGGAACCGTTAGCGTGTAGGGTCTCGGGGTTTGGTGCGAGCTGTTTCGCGCAGGGACTGCCGTGCCGCGGAGGCTGCAGCAAGACAGCTGTACTCTGAGTTGACTCTTCTCTCTCCCTATCCCTCTCCTCCCCTCCCCCCCCCCCCTTACACATTTTGACCACCAAGAGCGGCAGGGTCAGAATGACTGGGGCGCTGGCCTGCGAGTGGCTTTAGTGTTGACTTGAGTCGCCTTCTCCCTCCCGTTGTCCCTCATAATCACCCCCCTCCCTCCCCATGGGCAGGAGCCAATGGCAGCGGCAGAATGGCAGTGGGGCTGGACTGCGAGTGGCGGCCCACGTGGGGGAAAGGTGAGGGCGGTGGTTGGTGTATGGGTGATGAAGGGTGCGGGTGGGAAGGGGTTGGGGTTGAGAGAGCGTGGAGCGGGAGTGGTGTGTTCTCGCGCTTTCAATTGGGTACTTGTTGTGAGGCGCTTTCATATGGAATGGATGTTTGCTACCATTTTTGAGGTGCCTAAAGGAATGGTGGGGTGTGTGTGTGCAGCGCACGATGCATCTGTGTGGGGTGTGTGGGGTGGTTCCTTTCTCCTCAAATATCGCCTCCCTCCCTCTCCCCCACCTCCCCCCTTCCCCCCCCCTCTCCGTCACCTAGTTTTGAGGCGCCTCAAAACTACACCTCACCGGAGGTCCTGAGAACCCCTGTGCGCTCCTGCAATTGTGTGCCAATGCACCTTTTCCATCTCAAGTTCACTGGCATTCCCAAGACGCTCCTTGCATCTCTCTCTCTCTCTCTCCACCACCCTCCCCCCACCCCTCCCTTCCCCCTCTACCCCCCATTCCCCTATTCCCCCATGATCATCAGTGTGTAATGAGTCGATTTTTGAGTCGACTCAAAAATCGACTCATTACACACGCATTATCATCGGGTCCTGAGAACCCCTGTGCGCTCCTGCAGCTGTGTGCCAACGCCGACGTGTGCTACCTTTCCACCTTAAGTTCACTGGCATTCTCGAGACGCTGCAAGCATCTCTCTCTACCCCCCCTTCCCCTATTTCGTCAGGTCCTGAGAACCCCTGTGCGCTCCTGCAGCTGTGTGCCAACGCCGACGTGTGCTACCTCTTTCACCTCAAGTTCACCGGTGTTCCTGAGACTCTCCAAGCGCTGTTGAAGGACGCCAGTGTGGTGAAGGTGCGTGTGTGAGTGCGCAAGAGTGCCGACGTGTGCTACCTCTTTCACCTCAAGTTCACCGGTGTTCCTGAGACTCTCCAAGCGCTGTTGAAGGACGCCAGTGTGGTGAAGGTGCGTGTGTGAGTGCGCAAGAGTGCCGACGTGTGCTACCTCTTTCACCTCAAGTTCACCGGTGTTCCTGAGACTCTCCAAGCGCTGTTGAAGGACGCCAGTGTGGTGAAGGTGCGTGTGTGAGTGCGCAAGAGTGCCGACGTGTGCTACCTCTTTCACCTCAAGTTCACCGGTGTTCCTGAGACTCTCCAAGCGCTGTTGAAGGACGCCAGTGTGGTGAAGGTGCGTGTGTGAGTGCGCAAGAGTGCCGACGTGTGCTACCTCTTTCACCTCAAGTTCACCGGTGTTCCTGAGACGCTCCAAGCGCTGTTGAAGGACGCCAGTGTGGTGAAGGTGCGTGTGTGAGTGCACATGAGTGCCGACGTGTGCTACCTCTTTCACCTCAAGTTCACCGGTGTTCCTGAGACTCTCCAAGCGTTACTAAGAGATGCTAGTGTGGTCAAGGTACGTGCGGGCGTGTGTATGCATGCGTGCATACCTCTCTGTGTGTGCATGCGTGCGTGTCCACGAGAGTGCTGACGTGTGTCACCTCTTTCACCTCAAGTTAACCAGAAACAGCCGAGAAGCTCCAGGGGGGTTTCAAACGAATACCCTGCCCTTCCTCCCGTCCCTCCCCGCTTCCCTCTCCTGTGGTCCCTCCCGACGTCCAGACAGGTGTAGGTGTACTGGAGGACGGCAGGAAGCTCAAGAAGGACTTTGGTGTTGAGGTCAGTGGTGGTGTGCGGTGCGGTACGGTGGGTGGTGGTGTGGGTGTGAGATGGTGAGGCAAGGCACTCACCACCTCTTGTGTGAAGAAGTGTGCCTGTACACTTGTGTTTGCGTACAGGTGTTAGACTGTGGGCACGCGGGGCGGTGGGGGATGGGTTTGTTTGATAGACTGTTCCCCCCGCCAGCCAAGCACAAGGCCTTGGCTCCTGACAGCGGTTAGATGGTGGAGCTCTACACACTCACAGTCCAGCTTAGGGTGCCGGCGTCCAGCTAAGGGTGCTGCCGTCCAGCTAAGGGTGCTGGCGACCACCTAAGGGTGCTGGCGTCCACCTAAGGGTGCTGGCGTCCACCTAAGGGTGCTGGCGTCCACCTAAGGGTGCTGGCGTCCAGCTAAGGGTGCTGGCGTCCACCTAAGGTTGCTAGCGTCCAGCTAAGGGTGCTGCCGTCCACCTAAGGGTGCTGGCGTCCAGCTAAGGGTGCTGCGTCCACCTAAGGGTGCTGGCGTCCACCTAAGGGTGCTGGCGTCCACCTAAGGGTGCTGGCGTCCAGCTAAGGGTGCTGCCGTCCAGCTAAGGGTGCTGGCGTCCAGCTAAGGGTGCTGGCGTCCAGCTAAGGGTGCTGGCGTCCACCTAAGGGTGCTGGCGTCCAGCTAAGGGTGCTGGCGTCCAGCTAAGGGTGCTGGCGTCCACCTAAGGGTGCTGGCGTCCACCTAAGGGTGCTGGCGTCCACCTAAGGGTGCTGGCGTCCACCTAAGGGTGCTGGCGTCCACCTAAGGGTGCTGGCGTCCACCTAAGGGTGCTGGCGTCCACCTAAGGGTGCTGGCGTCCAGCTAAGGGTGCTGGCGTCCACCTAAGGTTGCTAGCGTCCAGCTAAGGGTGCTGCCGTCCACCTAAGGGTGCTGGCGTCCAGCTAAGGGTGCTGCCGTCCACCTAAGGGTGCTGGCGTCCACCTAAGGGTGCTGGCGTCCAGCTAAGGGTGCTGGCGTCCAGCTAAGGGTGCTGCGTCCACCTAAGGGTGCTGGCGTCCAGCTAAGGGTGCTGGCGTCCACCTAAGGGTGCTGGCGTCCACCTAAGGGTGCTGGCGTCCAGCTAAGGGTGCTGGCGTCCAGCTAAGGGTGCTGGCGTCCAGCTAAGGGTGCTGGCGTCCAGCTAAGGGTGCTGGCGTCCAGCTAAGGGTGCTGCCGTCCACCTAAGGGTGCTGCCGTCCAGCTAAGGGTGCTGGCGTCCACCTAAGGGTGCTGCCGTCCAGCTAAGGGTGCTGGCGTCCACCTAAGGGTGCTGGCGTCCACCTAAGGGTGCTGGCGTCCACCTAAGGGTGCTGGCGTCCACCTAAGGGTGCTGGCGTATGCCTAAATGCATGTGTGCACGTGGGGTGATAGTGGTTGATGGTGGGTGATGGCGGTGAATGGGCTGGTCGACTCTCCCCCAAGCCAAGCAGAAGGCCCTGGTGCCTGACGACTGGCAGATGCTTGGGCTCAAGGCATTCACCGGCCTCGTCTCCGTGTGCGCATGCCTGAACCTATGTGAAACTATGTGCACCTGTGTGCATGCGTGTGCCTCTTTGCAGGTGAATGGGCTGGTGGACTGCTCCCCTCTGGCCAAGGAGAAGGCGCTGGTGCCTGACGACGGCCAGATGATTGGGCTAAAGGCTCTCACCCGCCTCGTGCTGCAGAAAGAGGTGCGCTGTGTTGCTGTGCTGTGGCTGGTGGTTAAATGGGGGGATTGAAGATTCTCACTAGCGGATTCTCACCCACCTTGTGCTCCAGAAAGAGGTGCGCTGTGTTGCTGAGCTGTGACTCATGGTTAAATGGGGGGCTTAAAGAATCTCACTAGCGGATTCTCACCCGCCTCGTGCTGCAGCTGTGTTGCTGAGCTGTGAGGTGGGCAGTGCTGCCAGGCTGTGCTGTGACTGATGGCTGGATGATGGGGCTGAGGCACTCACCCGCCTTGTGCTGCAGAAAGAGGTGCGCTGTGTTGCTGAGCCATGATGTGATGTGGGCACTGGGCTGTGTTGTGACTGATGGCTAGATGATGGGGCTAAGGCACTCACCCTCCTTGTGCTCCAGAAAGAGGTGTGTTGTGTTACAGTGCTTGCATTTGACGCACGAGGCAAATTGTTTTTTTCTTTTCTTTTTTCACTCACACTCATTTTTAAGCTCTTGACTCAGTACTCCCCTCCCGTACCTTCAACTCTTGCGACTGTCCTCATTGCCTCCGCGTTGCAGCTAGCGAAACCCAAGCAAGTGCAGTGCAGCAGCTGGGAGACCTTCCCCCTCACAGATGCGTGTCCACCGACGTGCCTTTATGACTCTGCACACGACCTCAGTCTCTCTTCTGGAATCCCTTGCCCCTTTTACGTCTCCAGTCAGCTAGCCAAGCCCAAGAGAGTGCAGTGCAGCAACAGGGAGACCTTTCCGCTCACAGACGCTCTTCTTGAATCAAGCCTCCCCTCCTGCACCTTCAATTCTTGCGTTCCTTTCACCCGCCCCCTCCCCTCCCTCCCCGTTGCAGCTTGCCAAGCCCAAGAGGGTGCAGTGCAGCAACTGGGAGACCTTCCCCCTCACAGGCGCCCAATTCATCTTTGCATCCACCGACGCCTTTGCACATTCATATTCCCCTCTCGCTATCCCTTTCCCCTTCCCTTCCCTCCCCATTGCAGCTAGCCAAGCCCAAGAGGGTGCAGTGCAGCAACTGGGAGACCTTTCCCCTCACAGACGCCCAGCTCATCTACGCATCCACCGACGCCTTTGTGTCGCTGAGAATCTTCCAGGAACTTGACGCCATGCCCAGCCACACAGGGCACGGAGGGCAGCTGGTGGCAGCAGCAGCAGCAGCAACGGCCGTTTCTGCTGTGATTGTATCGGGTTTTGAGCCCTTTGGTAACAAGACCGGGCACGTTGCAGCAGCAGCAGCATCGACTGTGACTGTATCGGTAGCAGCTGCTAAAACGGCAAGAGTACCAGTACCAGTAGCAGGAGGAGGAGGATCATTGGGAGAAGCAGTGGCAACAGTGACAGCAACATCATCAGTAGCAGCATCAGTAGCAGCACCAGTAGCAGTGACACAATCAGGAAAAGTGGAGACGCTTGAGGGGAGTGCGAGAAAAGGTGCAGACAGAAAGGGGAGGAAGGAGAAGAGGAAGAAAGAGAAGGTGGGGCAGCTGGCGCCAGGGGTCCAGCAGGAGAAAGAAGGGCAGGCAGAGATGGAAGCGAAGAAAGCAAAGAAGAACAAGAGGAAGCAGGATGCAAGTGAGGAGAGCAAAGAGGCAGCAGCAGCAGCGGCTGGTGAGAGGGGAGGAGCAGAAGCAGAAGGGCCGAGGAAGAAGAGAAGGAAAGGGACGAGCGGAGATGGCAAGCAAGGGAGTAGTGTCAAGCTTGCGGGTTTGAAAGTGGCTGCAGCAGACACGGCAAGCAGGTGGATGGAGCTAATCAAGAAAGCAACCACCAGGCAAAAATAGTGTCAGGAAGTTAACAGCTGCAGGAAGCACTTGAGTGGGATTGGGCTCTTACCGCCTGTGCCCTAAGCTTTCATTTGATGAGCTCGTGCCATGTTTGGCAAATTGGCAATACTTGGCCTGGTTGTGGTTATAAATGACCAAAACGCAAGTCTGATACACAAGGGAGGTCTGCCTCATTCACGCTTGATATGCATACCTTGCCAGTTTTTAACTGGTTCACGTTACTGTGCACAACTCTCAAGGTTCTCAACTGTAACCATCTACTGGAACACTGCAGCTGATGGAGAACACTACCAGTACTTATGGAAGGGCGCGTTAGAGTTTACATGGTAGCTGAGTGGGAAAGCAGATATACATGACTGAACCACTCCACCACTGAGTCACTCAAAGTGACTTTTGAGTCGACAGTCACTCAAAAGTCACTCCACCACAGAGTCGCTCAAAGCACACTACCGCTGCGCTTTTGCTGACCGGCGGGTGACACGTCTAGCTGGCAGGTCTCCCCCGGTCCTCGCCCCTACTTCCCTCACCTGCCCCTCCTCCCCTTGCGGCACCCCTCTGTTCCCCTTCTCCCTGCTCTTCTGGCCACAGGTCCTCCCCCTTCCTGCACCAGCACACCCACCTTCTGCACTGTGCCCACTATTTGCACTCCCTACCGTATGCGTCCTTGCTGCCACCTCTTCCCGCCCACCCTTCTGTACCCTCCCTTTCTCGACTGCTGCTTGGCAGTCAATCTCCTGCAGGACGCCCCCCTTCCTCGTGCCCTGGCCAGTCGTTCCCTCTGCCTCCTTCCCATGTAAGCCTGCCGCCTCTCCTTCTCCCTCCTCCTCCGCTTCTCTCACCCTTGTCTCCATCTCACTCTCACGAACCCCCCCTCCTCCCACCTCTCCTCCCTCCCTCGTCAATCTCTTGTGAAACCACGTACCACTCCCACCACCAATCCTCCCCTCTCCATCCCCCCCTCCTCCCTCCCCTCGTGCCCCCCTTCCCAGCCCCTCTCCCCGCCCCTCTCCCCGCCCCTCTCCCCTTCCCTCTCCCCTCCTCTCTCTCACCCTGGGCACGCTCACAGTCCTGAGAACAGGGGTCTTGTTCCCATGCTCCTCTATATCCCTGATAATAGCCGCTGCTCTCGCCGCTGCCTGCACTGCTGCCTGCGCCCTCTCCTCCTCACTCTGCTCCTCCCCTTGGTCTTCCTCGTCCTGCCCCTGCCCGTCCTCCTCTGTACTTGCCAGTCCACTCCTGCCGAACCTCTCGTTCCCGAGCCTGCTTCTGCTGCGGGATCTGGTTCGGCTGGGAGGATTGGGCGTGACAAAGAGCGGGCTGCAGAGGTTACTAGCAGACAGCACGTTGGAATGACTAGCAGCAGCACCAGCAGGAGAAGCAGGAGCCCCAGCAGATGCCACGGCGGCAGCTGGAGGAGTGCCAACAGCAGCAGCACCATCACCACATGCTGCACCGGCAACTTGAGCAGCATCAACAGATTCCGCAGCTGCAGCTCTGTCCTTAGTCGGGGTTCTGAATTCGGCTGACTTTCTTCTGCTCCTCGCCCCTGCCTCCTGTTCCCTGCTCTCTTCCTCCCCGTCACCCTCCTCCCTCCCCACCGCTGCAGCATCCGCAGCATCAGCAGCTTCAGCAGCATCAGCAGACTCAGTATCCACAGTCCCAGCAGCCTCAGCAACAAACGGAGCAGCAGCAGCATCGACATCACTAGCAGCAGCAGCAGCAGCGCCAGAACCACCACCACCACCACCACCACTGCCACCAGCAGCACCACCAGCACAAGCCCGTGAAGCAGCAGCAACAGCGCGTGCCCTCGCAGCCTCGTGTTTCTGAATGTCATACACCAACTCCTTAGCCAGCTGGGGGTCCGCCGCCAACAAATCCTCTATCTCCGCCCTGTACTCCTTGAACAGGCACCGCAGACACCCCATCAGCGCCCCCTGCAGCGGGCTGTTCTGGGCCTCTAGCAGCCTCTTGAGCTCGATGAGAATGGGGATAGTGTTCTCTACTAGGTTCTTTTTCATTAGCTGAGTCACCACCCGCCCTTTCACTGCATTCGCTGCTGCCCCTCCTCCTCCTGCTGCTGCTGCTGCCCTTGCACCCCCCCCAACTCCGCCTCCTCCTCCCCCTGCGGCCCCTCCAGGACTTCCCCCAGCCTCCTCGTCCCCGTCCTCGTCCCCACCTGCCGCCTTGCCTGAGCCTGGGCGCATCTCCTTGCACGAGAGGATGTCCAGAGCATCGCCCACTACCGCTTGCACTGAAGGGCAGGAGAGAGGCAGGGCGCCATCCAGCACGGGCGCGAGCACCTGTGAGTAGGGGAGTAGGGGATGCAGGAAGCGAATGACAGTAGAGATCAGAAGGGTGGTTCCTCCTCCCTGTCCTCGTCCCCGCCTGCCGCCTTGCCTGAGCCTGGGCGCATCTCCCTGCACGAGAGGATGTCCAGGGCATCGCCCACCACCGCCTGCACCGAGGGGCAGGAGGCAGGGCGCCGTCTAGTAAGGGCGCCAGCACCTGTGGGTAGGGATGCAGAAAGAGAAAGGCAGTAAGGTTAGAGTAATCTGAAGGGGTTGCACCCAGCTGCTTTCAGAGAGATTTGAGAATCCCCCACAACGGCTTGCACAGAGGCGCAGAAGAGAGGCAGGGCGCCATCTAGCAAGGGCGCGAGCACCTTTAGGTGGGGATTGGGAGCGAGGAAAATGGCTAACATGTTGCAACATGGTTCAGTCGACAACAGCATGAACGACAGGATTGGATTGGTAGAACCAAAAGGATTACATAGAACCAGGGAATGACAGTACCCGGAATAGATGGAATTTGCACCAGATAGTACCTGGAGGCAGAGCTTGGCAGAGAGGGCGAGATGGTGTTCGCGAGCCATGAGGCGGAGAAGAGTGCGGTACACAGTGGTTCTCGCTGCATGGCGGGTGGGGCCACTGGGGCGGAAAGAGGAGAGGAGATAACAAGGGTTCAGGTTTCAGGGGTTGGCAGCAGAAAAGTACGCGCATGAGGCGGAGAAGAGTGCGGTACACAGTGGTTCTTGATGCACGGCGGGTGGGGCCACTGCGGAGGGGATAGGGAGGAGAGGACAGTGAAGCGGCAGCAGAAGACAAAACGCATGGCTAGAGAAGAGTGCGGTACAAAGTGGTTCTTGCCACAGGGCGTGATGGCCACTGGGAGGGATGGGGAGATGGGACGAGAGAGAACAGTGAAAGCATTCAGGCTCGTCTTCTAAGCACCCGTTTCTGCTGCTCTGCCTCCATTCCCAGTCCATCTCACGTGTAAAGCGTAGGACAATTGGCATGTACGCCATTATTCGAACCTCAATGAAAACCGCTCCAGCTCCTCATCTAAGCCCTTCCTCGCTGCTCCTGCACCCATCACTCCCAGTCCATCCCAAATGCAAAGCGCTGAAAGCAGGCATGGATGCCATTTCTCTCACCTCAATGAAAACCGCTCTAGCTTCTCCTCCAAGCCCTCCTTCTGTGCCGCTCCCCTCCTCTCTCCCAGATGTGTTGGGTCTGAATCACCACGGAACTCACCTCAATGAAAACCGCTCGAACTCCTCCTCTAAGCCCCCCCTCTCTGCCCCTGCACCCCTCACTCCCACCCCAGTGCGCCTCCCTCTCCTCCCCGACCACCCCTCTTCCTCAGGGGTGCTCCCGCCAGGGGAAGTTGAATTGGCACGGTTGGGTTGTGAGGGATTGGAAGGGGCGGGCTGGGATGAGGCAGGGTTGGAGGAGGAGGCAGGATTGGGAAGGCTGGGAATGGGAGGTCGGGGTCCGGAGGAGGGGAGAGGCGGAGCGGTGGTGGTGGAGGAGGGGGCGAAGGGGCAGGCGTTGAGGGCAAAGAGGGCCTCAATGAAGATGTTGTAGGGGACCAAGGGCACACGGCCTGTGGAGGGATGGAGAGGGGCGGAGAGGGGTGGAAAGTGGTAAAAGGGGACGGAAGCAATGAAAGCGGTTAGTAGGAATGGGTGGAAAGGGGTGACAGCGGCAGGTGTTGAGGGTACAGACGGCTTCCATACAGATGCAGAGGGGTGGAGAGAGGTGCAGGAGACTTTCGAGGCGACTCACAGCCCACCCTTCTACTTACGAGGGACGTGTGTGAAGAGATGAAATGCCGCCTCCTTGATTTTCTGTGATTCACCCACTAGGGACAGCTGCATGCGTGGCACCAGCCTGCCCCGCCATTTTTGACATAGCCCCGCTGCAGCAGCCCACCCGTTACCAGCACTTCGCCTACACCCCAACATTTCGACTTACGAGGAACAACGTGTGCGAGGAGATGGAGCGCCACCTTCCTGATCGCATGTGATGCATCCACCAGCGAGTGCAGCATGCGCAGCACCAGCGTCCCTCTCCACTTGACATAGTCTCTCCGTAACAGCTCACCCAGTAACAGAACTACAACCACACCCCGCCCTTCTACTTACGAGGAACGACGTGTGTGAAGAGATGGAGCGCCACCTCCCTAATTGCCTGTGATGCGTCCACCAGAGACAGCAGCATGCGCAGCACCAGCGTCCCTCTCCACTTGACGTAGTCCCGCTGCAGCAGCCCTGCCAGCAGCACGAGCGCCTGGCGCCTGACGAGCTCGCAGGGGTCGCGCAGGCAGGCGGAGAGGCAGGGCACGTGGGGGTCCACCAGCGCAGTGTAGCGCACACAGAGGTCGGTCAGAACGATGACTATGTTGTTGCGGACCGAGGGGAGAGGGCTGCATTGCAGCTCCTGTTTGGATGGGAAAGGGGGTGGGGGAGGGAGAGGGGGTTGGTATGCCGTGGGGTGGGTTGGCATGACACACGGAGGAGAGGCAGGTGGAGGGGCAGGGCACGTGGGGGTCAAGGAGCGCGGTGTAGCGCACACAGATGTCCATGAGAAGGACCACGAGGTTGTTGCGCACCGAGGGGAGAGGGCTGCGCTGTGACTCCTGCTTAGACAGAATCGGCCCAGAGCCGGCCATCCGTGCTTTTTTTAGGCGACTCAAGAATCGCCCCAGAGCCGGCCATCCATGGTTGCAGTGACACAGAGGAACAGCGGAGAGAGCCAACACAGTCAGGAAGGGAGGGCGCTGACGCAAGAAAGGTCAGGAAGGGAGGGAGCTGACGCAAGAAAGGTCAGGAAGGGAGGGCGCTGACGCAAGAAAGGTCAGGAAGGGGGGCTGGAGGGAGGGTATGGAAGGGTTTGGGATGCTTGCCTGGACGAAGAGCGGCACGCATGTCTTGGCGAGTGCATGGTCCACGAGACAGAACCGCCCCTGAGCCAGCCATCCGTGCGCCAACACTGGAGCCTGCAACACCTGCATCCCCGCAGCAGCAGCAGCAGCAGCGGCTGCAGTGCCTGCAGTTGCTGCAATACCAGCGTTTGCAGCAGCAGCAGTGGGCGCTGGAATGGGAGCTGGTGCTGCGGAGGCCCCCAGGAGCAGCTCCAGGACGCACTGAGACGCTTCCTTCAACGCACTCTGCAGGGCTGCGAGCTGCTCACTCACTTCGCTTCTGCTGCTTTTGCCCCCCCGACTGCTTCTGCCCCCACTGCTTCCCTTGCCCTTCCCCGTCCTCCCTTGCCTCCCGCCGTTAGCAGCAGCAGTGCCATCGCCATCGCTATCACTGTCATCACCAGCAACCGTTGCAGCACAAGCAGCAGCAGCAGCAGCAGCAGCAGCAGCAGTAGAGCCAGCAGTGGCTGTTGCACCAGCAGCCTGTGTCTCTGCGAGCTCGCCAGCAATGAGCGCCAGCTGACCACACACAAACACGGCACACTCTAGCCTCTGCGCCTCAGCCTGTCCGTCTGCCCCTTCCCGCAACTCCTTCTGCAGCGGCCCCTGCTCCTGCTCTTGCTCCTCCCCCCCATCCTTCTCCTCCTGCTGCGCCTCCCTCAATCTCTCCCTTCTCTGGCCAGGGCTCCCCAGCTGGCTGCCACCTGCAATGAGATGTGATCGCACGATGGCAGTGGCTTGCGTGCACAGCTCCAGACACCATGTGGCAATGGCTGCTTCCGGTGATTGGCTGATAGAGGATCCTGCTTCCGCTGCTCGACCACCTCCAGGAGCAGGTATGCTGCTGTTGCTTCTGTGGTTGCTGTTGCTGTTGCTGTTGCTTCTGTTGCTACTGTTTCTGCCGCTGTTGGTGGTGTTGCCGCTGCCAGCAGCTGCACGGCGGTTGAGAGTGGCAAGAGCGACCATGTGCACCCCAGCCTGTTATCAAGGGAGGTGATGGGAAAACGGGTTGGGGTTGAAAGAAGAGAAAAAGGGTTCTAACTCGGGTGTTGCTACACCAACGAACAGGGTTCTGCTAGCGTGTTGATTAGGGCGAGCTTAGAGACTGCAAAAACGAGTAAGCAGGCGCAGCCTACGATAACAGCATGCTCCTACACGCCGCACAAGAGGACAAATCAGGCCACTTGCACACACAGCCACACCTCTTCCGGCGATAGCTGGAAGCTGCGCAGGTTGTGCAGCAGGCCTGCTGCCACGTCAACAGCCTTCTCGCCCGGAATCCGTGCAGCGATGTTGCAGAGCGCCTTGAGGACGTGCACCTGCGCCTCCCTCTCTTGCCCGCCCAGCTCCCTGGAATCACGCTCTGGACTAGCTGTGCCGTCAGCAGCACGGCTTGGGGTAGCAGTGTCGTCAACAGAACTGCCTGGCATTGCAGCATCCCCCGCAATGCTGCTGTTTCCTGCCTCCTGCTGCGTCCTGCCGTCCCGCCACCTGGAGATCAGAAACTCCCACCTGACCCCCTGCGGAGAGAAGGAGGTCACTTCCTGCAGTAGCAGCCACGCGCCCCTCACCACCCACCTCCATAGACTGCTTCCCGCTTCCTGCTCGCGAGTATTCCGCTGCTGCTGCTGCTGCTGCTGCTGTTGCTGGTATATTGGGCTTCCCCCTTGCTCCGGCTGCTGCTGCTGCTGCTGCACGATCTGCCATCCCTCTGCCGCTTCGATCACGGCCTGCAGCCCTTCCACAAGCCTCGTATTGAGCCCATTTCGCCGGGCTAGAACCGCACATGCGCGGTGCAGCAGGGGCGCCACAGACGAGCTCCTTTGACCAACCGCCATCAGCCACGCCAATGTGCTCCGCACTGACCCATCTGCTGCTGCTGCTGCTGCTGCTCCACTTCCTCCTCCTCCTCCTGCTGCTGCTGCATTTCCTCCTCCTACTGCTCCCACACCCTCTCCCCTAGCAGGCCCCTCACACGCCTCGCACACCCCTTCTCCCTCACACAGCACCGGAGCAGGAGGCACCCCCCTCCCCTTCACACACACGTGCAGCGGCCTATCCTTGCACAGGCCCACCCTTGTGGAGGCAGAGGGGCGGGAAGAAGTGGAGATTTGGCCGAGGGGTTGGAGGAGCAGGGAGGCGAGGAGGTCCAAGGCCTGGTCTTGCACGCACGCCTCGTTGTCGAGGATGAGCACGAGGGCGGATTGCAGCCACTTGGCGCGCAGCCACACGTGGCCTGGGTTGGACACGGTCAGCTGAGAGGATATGGGGAGAAGGAGAGGGAAGGAGCAACGATGAGAGGAGGAGATGAGAAGGCGAGAAACCTGGCCCTCACAGTGCAGACAAGGAGCACGAGGGTATGAGGATGGGGCATGAGGATGGGGCATGAGGATGGGGCATGAGGATGGGGCATGAGGATGGGGCATGAGGATGGGGCAGGATGCCAAAGGGTGAAACCAGCGTTTCGGTTACTCATGGTGAACTTACCTTGGACAACGCTGTGAGAGCCTCTCTCCTGACGCTCAGCAGCGAGTCGGAGCACAGCTCCCCCACCGCCTCCGCCATCTCTTCCCTCAGCGGCAGCCTTGTCACACCCACTAGTTCCTCCAGAGGGTGAACCCAGAGTTTAAGTTTCACAAGGTGAACCTACCTTAGATAATGCCGTGAGAGCCACTCTCCTGACGCTCAGCAGCGAGTCGGAGCACAGCTCGCCAATAGCGTCAACGAGCTCCTCCCTCAGCGGCAGGCTCGACAGCCCCACGATCTCCTCCAGAGCGCCCACTGCCGCCTTGCGCACCAGCCCCTTCTCGTCCTCCAGCCGCCTCCTCACCATGCCCAGTACCTCCTCCACACCCAGCCCTGAACACCCAACCCCCACTCCTGCACCAGGCACGGGTTGTCCCCTCAGCCCTGGCCCACCACCCGGAGTTGCTCCTGGGTCCGCTGCTCCCGCCAGATTACTGGCCCGTGCATGGTCAGCAAGAACAGAGTCCAAGAGCGAGGGGCGGCCCTTCAGCGTGCGAAGAGACGCAGTGAGCGCCACGAGGGCGCGAGCTCGCACGGTGGGACTGACGTCCGAGGCTCTGCGGTACATGAGCTCCAAACAGCTGCCCACACGAGCGATCAGAACGGCTCGGCCGTTTCCAACCCCCCTGCCGTTTCCATTCTCCCTGCCAGTCTGGGCATCGCCCTGTGAAGGTGACCCCTGGCTCATTCCGTCCCTGCCCTCACTCCCTTCGTCCCCCTCCCCATCTCTTCCTTCCTCATCACCCCCATCCCCCCCTTCCCCAGCACCTGCCTCCTCCGCTCTCCTCCCAATTCCCCCATCCCCCTCTTCCCCATCCTGGCTCCCATCCACACCACCGTCTTCCCTATCCCCCCACCCCATCCTCCCCTCCCCCCCCTCCCTTCTCCCCCAAGTCAGCGCCATCTTTTCAACCAGAGCAGCACTCAAATCGACAGCCACCACCCTCGCGGCTGCTCTATCAACCCGCGCCAGCTTCCCCACGAACAGGAAGAACCTCTCCCTCTCCTTCCTCCCCACCGCTCCGTACACCTTCACAACGGCCTCCACCGCTGCCGCTCTCCCTTCCGCTCTCTCAGGCGCGTGCAGGCACAGATACCGCATTAGGGACTCAACCGCAGGGATCGTTTCCTTTGGCGCTCTCGTGAGGATATCCGATGTGACAAAATCGAGGCCGCGAGACCGCAGCTGCGAGGGGAAAACGAGGCTGGGTGTCTGTGTGCCGTTGCTGGTGCTGCTGCTGGTGGCGACGGTGACGTCAGCGTGCGTCATGAGGATGTACGGGCCAAGGGCCATGAGAACACGAGCGGCTGACTCCAGAGGTTTGCCGTGCTGCGGATCCATTAGCTTGAGAAGCATGTGGTACGGAAGTCTCCAGGCCTCCACCGTCCGGCCTCCGCCCACCGTAACCCTCGTCCGATCCGCACCGACGCGTCCCCTGCCTCCCTCCCCCCACTGCTGATCGTCCAGCGAAAACCGCGCGACCTCCACTAGCATCCCCAGCAGCGCCTTACGTGCCTCGCTCTGATTCGCCAGCTTCAGAACCTCGAGCGCTTGCGAGAGGTTACCCAACACGGACAAGAGCGTAACGCCTAGCCTGCTCTGAGTCTCGTCGCCGCCACGCTGGTTACCATCTTCGTCCGAGAAGTCGCCCGTTTCGTCCTCGTCAATCCTCATCGACGATTTCCGCTGCTTATCTGTACCCTTCCCTTTCCTATGGTTCCTCTTCTTCCTCCCACTGTCATTCGTTGGTGCATCCGTGCCGACATTTGAGGCACTGGGGGGGTTCCCTACGATAACCTGTCGGAGGGTCTGTATCATTGTGCTAAAAGCGAGCGGATTGAAGACACTATAAACGGGGCAGTTGGGTAGTAGAAACAGGTTCAGGAAGACTGCAGCGGCTGTGAGCCTGACGACGGGAGGCTTCTGGGAAGATTCCATTGTGAGGCGGAGGGACTCGACGACGGAAGAGATGGAGACACCAGTTGCTGCCAGAGACTCCCAGACCTGCGAAAGAAACGGAGAACGTGCGAGACGGTAGCTGTAGCTTTAGAATATCACATGTCGTGAGTCAGGAAGAAATGGCTGACTGAATAGATTGGGATTTCATCTGGCGCCAGGTACTCTCAAATCTGCAAGAAACCCTCGACAAAGGTTCAAGTCGGAATCATCGTGAGGCGACGAGAATCGACGACGGGAGAAAATCAGTACTGCAGCAAAGAACTGCAATATCGAGACGGGGAAAATGCAAATGCTGGGGTGAACAAGCATGACTTGAGAGAAAGAAAGTCCTGCGAAGAAGAGTATGTGAGCCCCAACCACTTGTTCCTTGTCGTCGTGGTTGTAGGACAGCATATGCTAGGAAGCTCTCCATCTCTCCGAGAGTCAGCGGCCGTTGGTCGACCGGCGCCTCTCTAGGTGTGTTTTGAGTCGACTCAAAGCAAGCCTCACCTCTTGTTCCTGATCCTCGTGGTTGTAGGACAGCATGTGTTGGAGGAAGTTCTCCATCTCTGCGAGAGTCAGCGGCTCTTGCGCGACGGGCCTCTCCCCAGGAGCGGAAGCGTCGCCAGGACTCCTCGCCATCGCGTGCAGGAATTCGGAAGTCCGTGAATCCATGAATCCTGAAGTCTAGATCGATAGCTCTGAGACGGCTGAAAGTCTCCTGATGATTCCAGGTCGACGGCCTTTCTGAAAGCTTACGACGATAATGAGTAACCCCTGACAACTGAGAATCGATAGCTCCGGAAGCTTATAAATAACTCCTGAAAAGTTTTTAACGATAGCAGTGGATGCTCATGAATAACTCCTGATATCCATACATTGATAACTCCGCAAGCATATAAATAACTCCTGCTCTAATCTGATAGCTCCTAAAGCTCAAGAGTAACTCCAAAATACTAGATCGATTATTCCTGACGCTTAGCACCGAAATCGACACGGCTCCGAATTTTGCAGAACGAGATGCTTCGCAGGTCGGCTTCGCAGTCCATACGGTGGTAGACAAGTCAGCAGTGTCAGTCAATGGAGTGCATGCAGGCCTAAAGCCTTGAGAAGCAAGATAGCTTTTATGCCTGGCGAGGAAACCTATAACTAGTCAGAGAACTGGCGAATATCCCTGAAGAAACAGCACCTAAAAGGTGCTGATGTTTCCTGAACTCTGCTTCTGGAGGAATTCACGCCAGCTCTTTCTGAGCTCTTTGCCTTGGGAATTCACGGGAGCTGGCCAGTGTTGCATGAGGAAACGTTTCAGAACCGGTGTACTTGCTCCGTACCGTGCTCTGAACGTAAGGTACCGTACCGATGTCATCATGCTCCCGACTTCTGCCCTTCCTCTGATGCAGAAGCCGAGTTCCTCGTGTCAGAGAATTCAGGTTCAAAATTCCCGCCAATGTTCTGACCTCTGCTGGGAAGTCCACTCTGACAACTGTGTTTGTAGCGAATGACGCTTTACTGTATGACAGTTCATAGCGAAAAGCCGAAGTCCAAAAAGTGGAGACTAGTAAAGAACAACTAACTATGATTTCACTCATGTTTGCCAAATTCTTACTATCGATTGTATATATTGCCAAAATTGCACTCCATAAGCCCTTTAGGGCTGTAAAATTAGATGACGTATCAAATATCTGACTAAAAATGTAGGGTGATATGAGCCGTGAGGTTTTTTTCGTAGACTCATTTATCTAGACAACTATACATTTTCAGGTAAGAATGCTTATTCACTATCAGAACATCATTCATCACAATAGATTTACATGTAGGTACTGGCTAAATTTGGGGCGAATCTTAAGGTATAGTAACACTGATGTAGCAAAGCCACTGTTGCGCCTTCTTCAATGTCCCTGCCTTGTCTGTCGAATTCTGCTTCTTTTCCCCCTCAGCCGCTGTTCCTCCTCGAATTCCCTGTCTGCCCCCATAGTTCGATTCGCTAGCAGTCCCTTTTTAGAGCCGATTCGAGTACGCGCTTCGCCTTCTCTCCTGTCGAGCTGACGGCGCTGAATCGTAGCCTGGTCAGTCAGTGGTCCTCAGTTCACAGAACCCCAGGTTCTGTCCGATTCACTTTCCAACCGACACGATCTCGGTTTTACCCACCGTTTTTTCGCTGATTCCCCGCCATTGCACGGCGGGATCCACTCCCAACCAACCGTAGAGTTTTTTTTTGTTTCGCGACGCGTAGAATTTGCAGTGCGGCGAACCTTTTTGGTTGCCGCGCAGCTTTGTGCAGCGCGCAGCGAGAATCGAGTTGGGAAATTCACTGGGAATTCCAGTTGGTTGGGAAGTTGGGAAGTTGGGAATCCCTCCGCGCGAGATGCGTAGGCCATTGGGAACCCCGAGGAGATATTGCCACCGCTACCTCGTTTCCGCCTCATTTTCCACTCCAACGCTCGTTTTTTGCGCCGAGCCAGAGACACTGCTCATCATTTGCCTCTCTTGCTCATAGTAGCCGCGCAACTCATTTCGGAGCTTCGTTCGTTGCGCCATCCGCCAGTTTTCACCATCATCCTGCGTTCCACTTGATCGTCCGACGGATTACTCCGTCCTCCGCGGTTTTGCTCGGTCGTCTGCGACTCTACTCGTTCCTATGCGGCTCTCCTCGGTCATTCGCGTTTTCACTCGGTCGTCCGCCGTTTCACACGATTGTCCGGCAATTTTCACCGTCATCCCGCCGTTATTCCGCTTCGAGGTAAGCGCTTGCTGAATTTGCACAACGCTTCTTTTCACTCCATTCACTCGTCGTCCTTAACGCTCCGTTTCCCTCTCTCCCCAGGCCTGACTCGTTCTCGTTTCGCCTCGCAGGCCTGCCGCGCCCGTCTCTCGCGGACGGTCTTCCGCGGTCTCGCGGTCTCTCCGCACTCTGCACGGTCTTGCGCGCGATCGTCCGCGCGCTCGTCCGCCGTCATACGCGCCGTCGCTCGCCGTCGCGCACGATCGTCCGCGCTCCTACGCGTTCGTCTTCAAGCCATCTGTCCGAGCCATCTGTCGTCGACGTCGCTACGCACCTGTCCGACGCCGTCGCTCGTTACTTCTCGGTCTCTCGCCATCCTTCGCGTCGCTCGCCATTCGCGGTCGTTCGCTGTCGTTCGCCATCCTTCGCCGTCGTTCGCCGTTCTTCGCGCCGCTCGTCTTCAAGCCCGCGCGCTCATCCGAGCCATCCGTCGCCGCCGTCTTTCCGCACCCGTCTGATGCCGTCGCTCGTAACTTCGCGATCGTTCGCCATCCTCCGCCGTCGTTCGCCGTTCTTCGCGGCGTCGCTCGCCATCCTTCCCGTTCGTCCACCCTCCCGCGTTCGTCTGCCGTCCCGCGCGGCTATCCGCGCTCGTGCGCCGTCCTGCGTTGCCGTCCGCGCTACCGCGCGGCTGTCCGCCGTTCTGCACGATCGTCCGCCGTCGTCCGCCGTACGGGCTCGTCCGCTCGTCCGCCGCCCATCACCGCGCGGCAGCAAGCAGTGGGCGGCAAAGTCAGCAAGCAAGTGTTTCGCGTGGTAAGTCCAGGGAAAGCGCACGTGGGGGGGATGATCGAGTCACTAGCCGCGCATAGGGCGTCTCGAGTCAACTCCATGTTGCATTGAGTCTTTCTCTCGTCCCACACGTTGCCAACGACCGTGTCTTTGCGCTTGTGCTTTTGTGTGGGTCCCTTGTGCTTCTGAGGGGTTGCTTGGGTTGGCGTGCGTGGGCATGGCGCGGCCCCCAAGCATTCAATCCCGCCACACTCTCGTGTGGAGGCTGGAGGGATGTGTGGGGGCGTGTGGGGAGCTTCGAGTGTGGGCGGCAGTGGCGGCAAGCAGAGGGCGGCAGTGGCAACGAGCAATGGGCGGCAGCATCAGCTGCGAGCGATGGGCAATCCTACATGGTAAGTCCGGGGGGAATGCATGTGGGGGGAATGATCGAGTCAGTAGCCGCGCATGGAGTGTCTCGAGTCTCTCTCATGCCCTGAGTCGTTGACGGATTTCCACTTCCTGCTAACGACCCTTCCTGTGTGCTTGTGTGTGCTGGTGGGTGGTGCTGGTGGGCTCACGGTCCCCAACCCATTTACCACCTCACAGGCTTGTGGGTCTTGGTGGGAGGGAGGGGGAGGCGGCGGAAGGAAGGGCTGACGGGAGGGGGAGAGCGGCAGTGGCACAAGCACCGGGAGGCAAGACCAGGAGGCAAGGGGACAAGCGCCTTGGTTCACCATCCACCCTGCGTGGTAAGTCCAGGGAAATGCATGTGGGGGGGGATGATCGAGTCACTAGCCTGCGCATAGAGCGTCTCGAGTCCCTTTCACGCCTTGAGTCGATGATGGATCCCGGCCTGCGGCTAACGACCCTGCTTGTGTGTGCTGGCGCTTGTGCTGCTGGTGTTTCTTGGTGGTGCTGTGTGCTTGCTGCCTGGAGCATCTACTACTGGCTCCAAGCCATTGGCGGAGTGGATGGAGGACAGGGGGAGGACGGGAGGAGGAGAGGAGAGGAGGGGAGGAGAGGAGGCGAGGAGGAGGAGAGGCATCAGCAGCATCAACCCACTGCATCTTGAGAAAGGGGGTCCTTGCTGCTTTTTCCTTTCGTTTCCTTCCGTTTTTCACGTCAGTTAGTCTCTGCTTTCGGCTCACACACCTTGAGAAGTTAAGGTCACTCGCATGTCTCGCTTGGTGCTTTCCCCCCCTCCCCTTACTCCTCCCTTCCCTCTCCACCCCCCCACTCCCCACCCCCCACCCCTCTGCAGGAATGCTGGCATGAGGCAACAGGGTTGGGACGGGCGGTGCCAGGAAGGGAAGGGCTGCAGCAGGGGAGGGAAGGGCGGCAGCAGAACGACCAAGGGCGACTCAGAGGGTCTTGGACATGGAAAGATAAGTACCCTCTCCCTGCTGCTGCCTGCCTTGACCCATTTACCATGCCACTCCACACCGTACCACACCATACCACACCATGCCATGCCATGCCATACCACACCATACCACACCATGCCATGCCATGCCATACCACACCGTACCACACCATACCATGTCATGCCATGCACCCTTCACCATGCCATGTATCCTTCAAACAGCACCATTGGTTGGAGCACAGTGCACAGGCCACAGACCAGGCACTCTATGTAAGTACCCTCCCTTCCCCCCCCCCCCCCTTGGTACCCCCCTCCCTGGTTATGCCATCCCCCAAGCCCTAGAGCCCTTACTAGAACCTCCCCCCTCCCCCTCTCAGTCCAACACCTACCCCTGGTCTGTGCCCTGTGTCTGCTGCTGTTGCAATAATGGTCTCCTATGCGTACCGTGCTGTAAGTCCTTTGTTATTCCATACCAGCCCATGACCACCCATTACCACCCATCACCACCCACCACCACCCATCACCACCCATCACCATCCATAACCATCCATTTCCGCCCATTACCACCCATGACCACCCATCACCAGCTTTTAGCATCCAGCTCTCCGCATCTAATCCCCCCTCAGCTATCCTCCCCCTCCCCCTCCCCCCAACCCGCCGTCCCCCCCCCAATCCCCCGCAGACTGGCGAAGGAGGGGCGAGGAGGGGCGAGGAGGGGTGAGGCGGGGTGGAGAGGGACGAAGAGGGGCGAAGAGGGGGTGGAGAGAGTGAGAGTGAGGTGGCAGCCAGCAGCAGGGAGAGTATGGGGGTTGGGTCCAGCAGAGAAGGTAAGCCACCTCCCTATCCCCTCCCTTCCCCTCCCTATCCCCTCCCTATCCCCTCCTATCCCTCCCTATCCCCTCCTATTTCCTCCTATTTCCTCCTTGAGTTACTTCTGTCGTTTCGGTCTCTTGTGCTACTGTATGCAGCATCCATTGCCTTTTGACTCTACTCCTGGCTTCACGTGTCATTCTGCACCTGCCTTGCTCTCACTCTTCCCGTCCCCTCCCCCCCTCCCCTCCGCCTCCTCTTTCTTTCCCTCCCTAACAGGTCGATTGGCCGCACTTGGTAGAAGCAGCAGCAGCAGCAGATGGTAGGCGGCAGCAGGGGAGGGAAGCACGGTGGTGGGGTGGGGAAGGAGGGAAGCAGGGTGTGCTGGGCAACAGCAAGGCTTGCTTGCTGGTCAACGCTCTACAATGAGAAGCTAAGTGCTCCCTCCCTGGTACCTGCCTTCACCCCGTACCATGCCATGCCATGCCATGCCATGCCTTGCCATGCCATGCCATGCCATGCCTTGCCATGCCATGCCATGCCATGCCATGCCATGCCTTGCCATGCCATGCCATGCCATCCCTCCTCCACCCACCATGCGCACCATCCCATGCCATGCCATAACATGCATTTTACCCTTGAAATTTCCGCCACTGGTTGCAGCACAATGCACAGGGCCCAGACCAGCTACATCAGGTAACCCCCCCCCCCCCTCCAAGGTTATGCCACCCCTAAGAGCCAATACTAGATACTACTTAAAGCCCCTCCCACACCCCCCTGGTCTGTGCCCTGTGTGCGCTGCTCCTGCAACTGTGGTCCTCTCTGCACTTCGCTCTGTAAACGCACCCATCACCACCCATTGCCACCAAATCACCACCCATCTCCACCCAATCACCACCCATCTCGACCCAATCACCACCCATCACCACCCATCACCACCCATCACCACCCATCACCACTCATCCATCATGCATAAACCCCCCACGTCTCATGCTCCATGCCTCCTGCTTCTCCAGCTGTTTCTAAGCTTCCTTCTGCTATTCCCTCCCTCCGCTCACCCCTCCCCCCCTCCCTCCCCCCTCCCCCTCACCCTCTCACCCCCCCCCCTCCCCTCACTGCAGGACCTCTTCGTGCAGCTGGTGCTGTGAGGCGTTGTGGCAGTGGGGAGTGGAGGCGGAGGAGGGGGAGGGGGGGGTGATGGAGGGGGTGTGGTTGAGGGATGGGATGGAGGGAGCAACACCAAGGGCAGGGATGGAGGGAGCAACACCAAGGGCAGGGATGGAGGGAGCAACACCAAGGGCAGGGATGGAGGGAGCAACACCAAGGGCAGGGATGGAGGGAGCAACACCAAGGGCAGGGATGGAGGGAGCAACACCAAGGGCAGGGATGGAGGGAGCAACACCAACGACAGGGATGGAGGGAGCAACACCAAGGGCAGCAACAACCACAGCATGATGGATACCAGATAAGTCACTCCCTCCCTGCCTGCTATTGACTTCTGTCTTCCCCCTCCGCCCCGCCCATTCCCTCCCTCCCCACCCCCAACCACCCAATCCGCATCCCCCACCCGGCTCTCCCCACCAGCTGCAACCCCCGCCCCCCGTCTCTTAAATTGGACCACTGGTAGCAGCAGCCAAGCTAGCCACAGACCCGCCACTCTCATTACAGCCCTCAGGTAAGACCTCCCTTTAAGGCTTAAAGACACTACTAGAGCCCTTACTAGCAGGTATTCCCCCTTGCAGGTTTTTCCCCTTGCCGGCATCCTTTTGCAGGTATTGCCCTTGTTGCAGGTAACCCCTTGGACCTGTGGCTAGTAGGCGGCTGCACCAGTGGTCTATCATGTGCTCTCTCCTCTCTCCGCCTTTCTATCTTGCACTGTTCGTTCACCTCTTAGCACCGTGACTCTGTACTGAGTCGACTCAAAAGTCTCCTCTCTCTGCCTTTCTATCTTGCACCGTTCGTTCACCTCTTAGCACTGACTCTCTACTGACTGTGGCCGTGTCTGGCTGTTGCAGGTGGTGGGGGAGGGGCGTGGGGGAGGGGCGTGGGGGTCAACAGCGACACTTCCCTGCGCTCTTCCCCTTTTGGCCGTGCATTGGCTGCCTGGGAGTGGGGGAGCAGGGAATCACCGGGCAGCAAAGGTTTTTGAGGCGCCTCAAAGAGTGGGGGAGCAGGGAATCACCGGGCAGCAAAGGTTTTTGAGGCGCCTCAAAGAGTGGGGGAGCAGGGAATCACCGGGCAGCAAAGGTTTTTGAGGCGCCTCAAAGAGTGGGGGAGCAGGGAATCACCGGGCAGCAAAGGTTTTTGAGGCGCCTCAAAGAGTGGGGGAGCAGGGAATCACCGGGCAGCAAAGGTTTTTGAGGCGCCTCAAAGAGTGGGGGAGCAGGGAATCACCGGGCAGCAAAGGTTTTTGAGGCGCCTCAAAGAGTGGGGGAGCAGGGAATCACCGGGCAGCAAAGGTTTTTGAGGCGCCTCAAAGAGTGGGGGAGCAGGGAATCACCGGGCAGCAAAGGTTTTTGAGGCGCCTCAAAGAGTGGGGGAGCAGGGAATCACCGGGCAGCAAAGGGAGAGTACGGGGTGGAGGGTCGAGCAGTGAAGGTAAGCCCGATGCCTGCAACCTCCCCCTACCCTCTCTCCCCCCTCCCTTCCGTCCTTCCTCTTCCTTTTTATTCCTACTGTTGGCTTGCATTCATTCCTTTCTGACTGTTGTCCATCTTTCACATTTGGAACCTGCATTCATGCAACCTGCCTTGCTCTCGTCGCCTCCCTCCCCTCTGCCTCCCCTTTCCCCTCCCGAGCAGGTCAGTGGCACTTGAAGCAGCAGCAGCAGCAGCAGCAGCAGAAGCCGTTGTAGCAGTTACAGCAGCAGAAGCAGCAGCAGGAGCAGCCGGGCAGGGGTTTAGTGGGACTTAGGCCAGATGTGATAGAGAGGTATGGTGAGGTGTGGTCCGGTATAAGGTAAGGTAAGGTATGGTAAGGTGTGGTATGGTACGGTAAGGCAGGTGTGGCAGCATGGATCAGGCGATGGATGGAGGCGCCACCCCCTCTCACTCTTCCTCCCCCTTCTTTCCCTCCCTGCAATTAGTGCAGCACGGACGAGCATGGACGGAGGAGAGGGGCAGCATGGATGGAGCGAGCGAGGTCAGCTGGATAGGGCGAGCTCAGCAGGTGCTGGTTTGAGGCGCCTCCCCCTCTCACTTTCCCTTCACCCCTCCCTGCAGCAGGTGCAGCACGGATGGAGCGACGTCAGCTGGATAGGGTGGGCTCAGCAGGTGCTCGTTTGAGGCGCCACTGCTTCCCACTCTCCCTTCCCTCCTCCCCCTCTCTCTGCGGCAGGCCCAGTGCAGGATGGATGGAGTAAGGACACAGCTGGATAGGGCGAGGTCAGCTGGATAGGGCGAGGTCAGCTGGTTTGAGGCGCCACCCCCCTCACTCTCCCTTCACCCTCCCTGCAGCAGGTTCAAGTGATGAAGTGCGGTCACAGAGTGAGTCCTCCCACTTAACACCCCCCCCCCCCCTCCACTTCCCAGCAGCATCACACACTAAGGTACTCTGCACGGCTGTGGTAGGTAGAGGTAAGGAGGTTTGGAGGCACAGGGAAAGGGGTTGCTGGGAGGGAAGGGGTTGGTGGGAGGAGGGGTAAGGCATGGGAGCAGGCATGCAGCTCGCTCCCTTAGGGGCAGCACCCGCTGTGGTTCTGGCTTGTGGCTCGGGTGTGGTCGGTGGAAAGTGTGTGGCACGGCAGTCGGTGCTCAAGTAACAATACTGGCGTATCGTATAATGGAACCGGCCAGAGCCGTGCGCGCCGGCTCTGGTTGGGAGTCCCCTCCTACGACGCTTTCGTAAGCGGGATTTGAGTCTTGGGCCGCCCGTGCACTTTCCACTGCCACTCCTCGCACCACAAGGCGGAGCCATGGGGGGTGCTGTTTCCGAAGGGGAGTGGGTTGCATGCTGCTCCTAGTGCTGGGAGGGGGGAGGGGGGGAGGGGGAAGGGGGGCTTGGGAGGTAAACTGGGATGGTGAGGGGGTCGGAAACCCCCTGGGTAAGTTGTCATATGGGCACCTGGGAGGCGTCTGCAACCGCCATTGTATGTTGAGTGAGAGGGAGAGAGGGGAAGGGGGGGCTGAAACCCCACAGGGTAAGTTGGGTAAGAGGGAGGGGAGAAGGGGGGCTGAAATCCCCAGTAAAGTTGAGTGACGGGCAATCGCGGCATCTGCAACCACCACTAAAACGAGAGAGGGGCAAGGGGGGTTGGAACCCCCTAGGTAAGTTGAGTGATGGGTAAAGGAGGCGCCTGCCACCATCACGGTAGGTTGAGCGAGAGTTGGAGGAGAAGGGGGATTGAAACCCCCCAGGGTAAGTTGGGTGATGGGCAAAGGAGGCGTCTGCACCACGACTGTAAGTTGAGCGAGAGTTGGAGGAGGAGGGGGATTGAAACCCCCCAGGGTAAGTCGCGCGATGGGCAAAGGAGGCGTCTGCACCACGACTGTAAGTTGAGCGAGAGTTGGAGGAGAAGGGGGATTAAAACCTCCCAGGGTAAGTTGAGTGATGGGCAAAGGAGGCGCCTGCACCACGACTGTAAGTTGAGTGAGAGTTGGAGGAGAAGGGGGATTGAAACCCCCCAGGGTAGTGTGAGGTGCAGAGGATGAGTGGGGAAATTCTCATGGTAGGGTGAGAGCAAGGCAGGGGAGGGAGGTTGCAACTCCCAGTGGTAAGGCTGGCGAGGGGCAGGGGGGGAGAGGGGGGCTGAAACCCTAGGGGTGGGGCGAGCAAGGGGCAGAGGAACCCCCCTCTTCTGCCTCCGGTTCACCTAACCCCAGGGGTTTCATCCCCCCTCTCTTGCCCCTCAAATGCCTTTCCGTGGGAGTTTCAGCACCCCTCCCATGTCTTTCCCTCATGTTGCCTTGAAGCTTTCACGCCCTTCTTCTGCCACTCCCTCTCCTTGCTCTCTCCACTGGCCCTAAGCGGTTGCAATTGCTGCAGGGTTCCGCCCTGGGAGTTGAAACCTCTTCACGCCTAGGGGAGCTGGAGCCAAGAATGTGGGGCTAAAACCCCCTGGGTTCTGTGAGTCGGTGGGAGTGAATGGGGCTGAAGCCCTAACGCGGGTGAGAGTGAAACAAGCAGAACCCATAGGGTGGGTGAGTGAAAGAGTAAGGGGTTTGAGCCCTGAGGTGGGGGAGTGGAAGTGAAAGAGAGTAGAGGAAGGAACGGACTCCCCAAGGGGAGTGAGAGGAAGGAAAAAGATGTGCCTAGAGCTCCACATGACAGGCGGCAAATGATGATGCCCCACGAGTTGCCTGATGCAGTAAACCCTATCATGTGGGTTCGTTGGTTCACCCCTTTCCAGTGTGAGGCAAGGGAGGGGGTTTCAGACCCCAAGTTGCAAGGTGAGGCAAGGGAGGGGGTTTCAGACCCCAAGTTGCAAGGTGAGGCAAGGGAGGGGGTTTCAGACCCCAAGGTAAAAGGTGAGGCAAGTGTGGGGGTTTCAGACCCCAAGTTACAAGGCGAGGCAAGGGAGGGGGGTTCAGACCCCAAGGTAAAAGGTGAGGCAAGTGTGGGGGTTTCAGACCCCAAGTTACAAGGTGAGGCAAGGGAGGGGGTTGCAGACCCCACGTTACAAGGTGAGGCTTGGGAGGGGGAGGTAAGGAAGGGTGTTTCAGACCCCAAGGTAAAAGGTGAGGCAAGGGAGGGGGTTGCAGACCCCAAGTTACTATGTGAGGCAAGGGAGGGGGTTTCAAACCCCAAGTTACTATGTGAGGCAAGGGAGGAGGTTTCAAACCCCAAGTTTGAAGGTGAGGCAAGTGCTTGGTTTTCAGTCCCCAAGGGACCCACCGCCCGGCTCTGTCCGTCACCGCCAGTCACCAGCCACCGCCCGTCACCACCTGTCACACGACCCAGCACCGGACGTCACCACTTGTCACCACCCACCGCCCGTCGTCGCCCACCGTCTGCTGATTCAGTGGGTGCTGCTGCAGGGGAATCAAGGAACAGCATCACTGCAGTAGAGAATGGAGCCCTAGTTGCTGCGGTCAGCCATTGTTACTTAGGGCGAATTTGTACAGTTCGCGTCAGACTCGACCTTGCATCAAACTCGCGACGAAGCGAGACGCACCGCATGGAATTGCGAGATCAAGCCTGTGCACCGCGCAGGACCACATGAGTCTGACGTGAGGTGGTCTGACGCGAGGTCATAGAAATCTGCCCTTTGGTGGCATGGAAAATATGTGCAGTAGTGATTGTTTTGGTTATGCTACTAAGCCTTCTTGTGTACTTTGCTCGTGCTAAAAAGAACCTTTGTTGGTGGGCCTTGATGTGTGATTCTACTAGTGAACCATGTACGCACTTCGGAAGCCAAACCACGAACACATGACACCCGAAAATCATGCAATGTGCTTGGCGTGAGGCGGGTGATATGCCCAGTCCAAGCTGTCAACATGTTGATGTATATTGTTATAGGCTAGATAGGTGCATGACATAGCGAGTACAACACCTTGAGTCAAGACGCTAGACCAGGAGAGAAGCCATTGAAATGGCATGAGGGTTTAGGTGCTAGGAGAAAGTTTGGAGAGAAGTTGGAGAGAGAAAAGAGATCCACTAGGAAAGAGGAGGAGACACAAGAAGGGGGGGGGTTGCTATCTAACTTGAAAATTGAATAATAGATAGAGTGAGAGTACACAAAGATATACCTAAGTATTGTACTCTCTAAGAGGCAACCCTATACAGTCTATACAAACATGACAAATACACATGTTTGACACACCCCCTAGACTGCATAGGGGAATGCCCTAAACAAACAGCTCAGGGCGGCACAACTAGTCCAACCTCTGAGACAAGGGTCTGAGAGACCAGTCAGAAAGAGTACAAACAAGGCAAGAACAAGGGCAGGGCGGCACTACTAGTCCAGCCACTGCGAGAGGACACAAGTCCAGTCTGAGTATACGTATAAAGGACAGTACAAAGTCAAGGTCCTAGCAAGTGAGAGGCTACAGGAACTAGACCAAGCTGTACACAGTGCCGCTGATGATCTTTAGGCGCAAGCGCCTTCGTAAAGATATCAGCCGTGTTGGCACCTGAGGCCAAGTGTACTACGCGAGCCTGACGTCGCTGCTGTAGCTCACGCAGGAGGAAGTACCGCAGCTGAATGTGCTTCGCTCTGCCCTCGAGTCGAGGCTCCTGACACAGGAGGATCATGGCCCTGTTGTCAGCGAACAGGACCGGGGTTGAGCTAGGCCTCTCACCTAAGTCAGTGAGCAAAAAGGTCAGCTAGCGGAGCTCCTGTGCCGCCATGGCACCAGCGTAGATCTCGGCCTCACAGCTGGACTGCGCAACAGACGAGGAGCGGGTAGCTCTCCACGAAACGGCACCTAAGCCAAGGCTGAAGCAGTAGCCCTGGGTAGACCTGAGTGTCTCAGCGTCGTCTGCCCACGAAGCGTCTGTGTGTCCAGTAAGGACCACTGGCCCACGTCCTCCTAGCACTAACCCCATGCCCGATGTACTAGCAAGATAACGCAAAACCCTCTTAGCGGCAGACCAGTGCTGCGGTCGGTGTCTGCCTGTGGCCACAAAGCGCGCCAGGATGCTGAGAGGGTATGCGAGATCTGGGCGAGTGCAAGTCATCAGGTACATGAGGCAACCCACCAGCTCTGCGTAGGGGCCGCTGGGCTCTACCAACTCCTCAGACACTGGAGCGGAGAGTCTGTGGTCTACAGGCCGAGGGGTGGGCTGTGCAGAGGAGAACTGAAGGCTGAACCTCTGAAGGACCTGGCGCACCAAGTGTGACTGAGTCAGGGTGATGGTGCGCGCAGCTCTGTCCCTGGAGATCTGCAAGCCAAGGTAATGGCGCAGTTCTCCAAGGTCAGTGCACGTGTGTCTCTTCAGCAGCTCTGCCTTCACGGAGGCCAGTGCGTCCCTGTCAGCTGTGGCAAAGACCAGGTCGTCGACGTAAACAAGGATGTAGAACGGAGTCTGGCCAGCACGAACGAAGAGTGAAGGGTCTGCGGAAGACGGAAAGAACTGCAGGTCAGCAAGCGTAGCACGCAGAGTGTCGTGCCACTCACGGGGAGCCTGGCGCAGGCCGTAGACGGGGCGCCGCAGGAGCCACTGGGTCCCAGGAGGGAAGGTGCCAGTGAAGCCCTGAGGGCGCTGCAGGTAGACCTGCTCGTATAGGCTGCCCTGAAGGAAGGCAGTGGAGAAGTCGAGGGAGTGAAGCTCGTAGTCACGCTGAGCAGCTAGGTGTAACAGATTCCGAAGAGTAGTCATCTTCGGGGTCGGAGCGAAGGTCTGGAAGAAGTCCACCCCCTCGCGCTGACTGAAGCCTCTAGCCACATAGCGCGCCTTGAAGACAGGCGGCTCTCCAGGAGGGCGCTTCACCTTGAAGAGCCAGCGGCCATCGACTACGTTCACCCCAGGTGGGGGAACTGCGTCGACGAAGGTGCCGGTGGATCTCCAAGATGCCATCTCCTGCTCCATGGCAGCTATCCACTGCGAGGCCCAGGGTCCCGAAGTCGCCTCAGCGTAAGTGCGAGGGGTCGGGATGTCGAAAGCGTCTGGGTCACCCTCAGGGACTAGCAGCATGGAACAGAGATGGGGAGCAGCCTCGGAGAGGAAAGCAAGCTCGAACTGGCGGTCCTCCAGGACGTCACTGCCAAGGGCAGGAGCACCCCCGACAGACGGAGGACAGGCAGGGTCAGAGACCAGAGCGGTGGCGTAGTCAAGGCGGCGGGTAGAGGCGAAGTCAGCGACAGCAGCGACAAGAGCGTCAAGGCACGAGGCCGGAACAGACGGGTCGGTAACGAGAGAGGCAAGGACCCGAGGAACAAGGGGACGAGCGGTACGAAGGTAGTCAGACAACGGGGGGGGTGCAACAACAAGGGAGGACGGAGGAGGCGACGGCAGAAGGGGAGGACGAGACGCGTGGGAACGAAGCAACATAGGGTGAGAGCGCAAGACAGGCGAGGTAGGACGAGCACGGGAGGGACGGTGAGACCAGACGTGCGACGGAGGAGTCGGGTCAGGAGACAGAGGAGGGGACACAGGAGGGGAACGAGGGGGGAGACGGGCCGGGGACGAGTCCGGCGGAGGGAAGACAGGGCCGTAGACAGGAAGAGGAGGAGACGGCCGAGGAGGAACCGACGGAGGGTCGGGGGACGGAAGGCCGAGCAGGCGAAGGGCTGACACCGGCGGGGACTGCTGCTGCGGCGGCACAACGGCGACACCGGGACCGCAAGCCGCTCCTCGGCTACCACCGGCACTCTCCACACCAGCACCCCCAGAGGGACCACCCCCAAGGCTACCGGGACGAGCACCCCCAGAGTCAGCGAACGGGTGCTGCGACGGCGGCGGCAGTGGCGGCAGTGGCGGCGGCGGCAGCGACAACGACGGCTGCAAAGGCGGCAGAGGCGGTGGAGGAGGGGACTGTGGAGGGGCAGCCGGGGAGGACTGCATAGGAGGGCCACCAGAGTCAGAGGACTCCTCAACCGGGTCCACCGACGGAAGGGGGGTGACGTGGGACACACCAGAGGGGGCGGGACGGGGAGGAGGAGGAGGAGGGGCAGGGACTACCGGGGAAGGGGTGGCCAGGAACAGGGGAGGGGTAACCGGGGGACCACGGTGGGGGAAGCGACGGTAGTAGGGGACGGACTCGTCAAAGGTGACGTCACGAGAGTGAAAGAAGCGGTGAGACGGCGGGTGGTAAAAGTGCCAGTCGGACGCGTCAAGGGGAAAACCGAGGAAGACGCAGGGAAGAGTGCGGGCGGTGAGCTTGTCCGTGCCGGAGGCACGAACGTGAGCAAGGCAGCCCCAGACGCGGAACGCAGACGCGTCACCAGGAGACCCAGTCCAAAGACGGGTCGGCGAAACCTGCGGCTGCTGAGGGTGCGGCCACAAGTTAAGCTGGTGAGAAGCGTAGCGCACAGCGAACGGCCACAGAAAATGGGGTGCACCGGCATGGATCATGGAGGTGCGAGCCACCTCCATGACCAAACCGATGCGTCGCTCAGCGACCCCATTCTGCTGTGGGGAGTCCGGTAGGGTGAACGTCTGGGTGATGCCCTCCGCACGACAAAAGCGACCAAGGACACCGGAGGCAAACTCGCCACCACGGTCTGAGTGAAGACGCAAGACAGGGAGACCGCGGTGGACACGCGCAGAGACAAGCCAGGGGATGAGAGCGCCAGGCACGTCGGCCTTGCGCTCCAGGGGAAAGACTGTGGTGTAACGAGTGAAGTCGTCGACGAGCACAAGGAAGTAGCGCTCTCGACGCGGCCCATGGACGGGGGCGGGGCCCCAGACGTCCAGGTGCAGGGTCTGCAGCGGCGCGGCGGTAGGGGGAAACGAGGAGGAGTGAGGGGCACAACGAAGCCGACCCTCGACGCAGGGCATGCAAGGTGGGGCTGGGGAGGAGGGAAACGCGGGGCAAGACCACGAACACACAAGGAGGGGCGCTACGGGGCCCAGGAGGGGCGCGACGTGGCCCAGTAGGGGCGCTACGGAGTCTGGGAGGGGCGCGACGGGGCCTGGGAGGGGCGCGACGGGGCCGGGGAGGAGCGTGACGAGGCCCAGGAGGGGCGCTACGGGACCCAAGAGGGGCGCTACGGGGCCTGGGAGGAGCGCGACTGGGCCTGGGAGGGGCGCGACGGGGCCTGGGAGGGGCGCGACGGGGCCGGGGAGGAGCGCGACGAGGCCCAGGAGGGGCGCTATGGGACCCAGGAAGGGCGCTACGGGGCCTAGGAGGAGCGCGACGGGGCCTGGGAGGGGCGCTACGGGGCCCAGGAGGGGCGCGACGGGGCCCAGTAGGGGCACGACGGAGCCTGGGAGGAGCGCGACGAGGCCCAGGAGGGGCGCTACGGGGGCCTGGGAGGGGCGCGACGGGGCCTGGGAGGTGTGCGACGGGGCCTGGGAGGGGCGCTACGAAGCCCAGGAGGGGCGCCAGGGGTCCTGGGAGGGGCGCGACGGGGCCCAGTGAGGGGTGAGCGGAAGTGATAGGTGGGGGGGGGGGGGATCCTACCTACGCGTGATACCATATCTAACTTGAAAATTGAATAATAGATAGAGTGAGAGTACACAAAGATATACCTAAGTGTTGTACTCTCTAAGAGGCAACCCTATACAGTCTATACAAACATGACAAATACACATGTTTGACAGTTGCCCCCTCTACCTTAGGATCCAGCAAAGTAGCACACCTACCAATACCAAGCCTATACAAATATATATATATATATATAATTTGACACCTAGCACAAAACTACCCAGTACCACCCTTCCTAGTTCAATTCGTTACTCTGAGATGGTATCAC